TTTTTAATAAATCCAATAAAAAATGGTCATCTTACGTCTATATCACATATTCTACTACTAAGTTCTATGTGCAGTAGAATTGTGTAAAATTCGTCAAAATCACGATATTTTTAAAATCGGTAAGTATATGTAATTAAATATTTATTTCAAGTGGCATTCTGTATTTAATATTTATTAAATTTTTGTACTAAATTTATTTTAAGCACGGATACCGTTTACCCGATGAAGAACATTCATATTACACAGTTCGCTTTTGGCGAGGAGACCCACTAACATACCCTGAAATTTGCCTTACAGAAAGTTTACCTATTATAATTCCAGCGGCTAAAGTGTCTGATGTGAGTTTCAGTAAACTTTTTGAAATCTTACTAATATTATAATTGTGAAAGTTTAGATGGGATAGATTTGTTTCTATGGATAGACTTGTTCCCGTGGGATAGATTTGTTTCTGTTTATTAAGAGGCAAATCCGAACGAAGCGAGGTTGAGTCGTTAGTAATAAATAAATTCCTTTTGAGATATTGTGTGGAGCCAGAAAACGTTTACCACCACTAGCCACAGAAATCAATTTAAAGTATTCCACTTTGGAAGTGATTTTTTCTATATTTATATAGGACTTCAATAAAAAGAATAATGAGAATGAGAAAGAGAAGAAAATAGAATACACATCCGAATTGACTACCTCCTTCTTTTTGACGTCGCGTCGGTCAAAATAACTTTAAATATTTACCTTTCTATGCTATCTGTTTTGTATTTGTTTATTATTAATTATAATTTGGTAGGTATGTTCAAAATACTTCAATTTCAACAGGTTTCAATTATCTCGAGATTTATAAATTGTTTAAAACAAAAGATGCCGCATGTCATGAGTTTCCCACTATTGATTGAACCTATACATGTACAAAATAATTCTGAATGCGTAAGTCATTATTTGTTATTAATATTCTATTTCAACAAATAAATTGTTTTCTAAAAAAAATTTTTTTTAGGCAAATAATGAGAAATTAGCGGAAACACAAGCAGTGAGTCTTTGTACTCCCTCACAAAGTAACTGATTTATAATTGTAAATTTCTAAATAAAAGGTTATGATATGAATGAAATTATTTTATTTTAAATAATTTTGATTATAAAAATTGTTTTTAAAAAGTATTTTACATTATGGTAATGCACTAATGACATTCATGACTCAATGAAACCGTTGTGTTAAAGGTTGCGCAGTGCTAATCATCCATGAAAGAAATAGGTAAATTGTAAATCACTGACAATTCTGTTTTGATAAATTAAAACCAATAGCATTAATTATTGCGTCATAATAAAATATTTTTCAGAATTCATTAAGTTCATTAGCTCATTACTACAGTCATCGCGTATTTGATGAGTTCCTACAATATCTACACTTTAAAATGTCATTTCAAAAAATATGATTAGTGCGAAGTCACATTATGAAATATTTGAATATAGAATCCACCTTGTCAAATCTTTTTAAGAAACAAAGGTTAAAAATATACATATTTAAGATATTTTAAGCAGTGGATATGGCATTAATATATTATCTATATTATTTCAGCTATATTATATTTATTATCTACTGTTAAAACATTCTATAAAATACATATACATACATAATTTCATCATTTCTTTTGAAATACAAGTACGGCATGTCGTTGTTTTTATTATACATAAAATATTTGTCATTATAAAATAAGCAATTTAACTATAGAATAATTACTTATACATTATTCTACAATTAAATTGACAAATTTATTATGACGAAGATTACATTCGTTGAGCAGGAGAAGACAATATTGGTATAATTGGACTATGGGGTAAAGTTAAAGACGGCTGATTAGCGGTTAAATCAAAAAATCGTGCAACCGACGGAGATAAATTTTTATGCTGTGTGTTTTGTCCATTTCGGGTATCCTGAAATATGAAAGAAATTTTGTTTAATTTGCTCAAAAGAATTTTACATTCGTTTTAATAAAAATGTGCAAATAGTTAATACTGTTATCCACTACCATTCTGGCTATTCGAGGAGACGAATTGGGCGTTACTTGAAGATTGTTCTGGATGACTGGAATATTTAATAAATTGTGTAATTTATAACCTTTGGCCAAGGTTTCCACTGTTTTACCTGTAATTAATTCACGTATATTAAAAGCTAAGGAAGGAGTTACAAAATAAATCTGTATCTGGTTTTCTCAAATAGATACGGTATGCTCTTTAACAATGAAAATTACAATTACGCATAGCTCTAGTTCCGAGATACTTATAGCTTAATAATTCAAACCCAGATCGGTTTAGCTATCTCCAAGAAACCGTTAAACATATAAAAAACTAGCATTGCTCGCGGCTCCGCCCGCGTTCAGATGACCAAAAACCAAATTCTTAGGCTTTACATATTAGTTATACAATGAAGTTTTTGTATTTTTTATCAGAAATGAGATATTTTCCCGCGATAAAAAGTATCCTATATGTTGACGCGGATAACCAGCTATCACCATAGCAAATTTCATCAAAATCTGTCCAGTGGTTTTCTCGTGATGCGGTGACAGACAGACAGACATACAGACAAAAATTCTAAAAACTATAGATTCGGACTCTGTATCGATAATAATGTCTATTTCAATTAGATTTTCCAAAAAATATTTAATGTACAGATGCGACTTTATTACAATTTTATTATAATACTAGCGGCTCACCCTCGCTTCGCTCGGGTTCGCCTCTAGAAAAACACTAATAGAAATCTATTAGTTCCCACGGGAACCGTTCATTTTTCCCGGATGAAAAGTAACCTGTTGTTTGACCGGTAATATAAAGTATCAGAATGTTAAATTTTACTAAATTAGGTGCATAAGCTGTATAAGTTATAATAGTTTTTTAACTATCCCACGGGAACTATTTAATTTTCAGGGATAAAAAATATCTAAGACGTTGTCCGGGGATATAAGGTACCACCATGCAAAATTTCATTTAAATCGGTCAAATAGATTCGGAGATTAGCCCGTACAAACAGACAAACAGACAGAGAAACAAAAAAATTGAAAAAAATCTGGATTTGTTCTATTTGTCTTCTAACATCCCCCTGACTCGCGATGGCTTATTATTAGCGTATTTCATGTATAACTTCGGTGTTTCTATACCGATTTCTATGATTCTTTTTTATGGAATAGTTTATAATGTTAACTTTTTTAATTAGGGATGACTGAGAGTGTTATAAACGTAAGAGTAGACAAATATATATCAGAAAGCTTCGAACTGCTAAGCTATCGGCAGTTACACGTGTTATTGTGAGTCAACCATCAATGCTAGTAAAAGATAGACATATGCTGTCGTGGGATATTTTTTATATAATTTTAAGGAGAACATTTCCGTCATACATGATTTCTGTGTAGCTTTAACCATTAAGGTTGCACACGCGACGGAAGCTTAAAAAATGGAGTAACTTCTCCTGTTTTCCCAACATTTCCCTTCACTGCTCTGCTCCTATTGATTGTAGCGTGATGAAAAGTATACTTTAACCAGCTCAGGAGTATGAAAAATAATTGTACCAAGTTTCGTTAAAATCCGTCGAGTAGTTTTTGTTTCTATAACGGTTATACAGACAGACAGACAGACAGACAAAAATTTTACTGATTGCATTTTTGGCATCAGTATTGATCCCTTATCACCCCCTGATAGTTATTTTGGAAATATATTTCATGTACAGAATTGACCTCTCTACAGATAAGATATTATAAGTATAGAAGATGTATGGATATACCTGCACAATTAGCACTTCTTTCTTTTTAGAAGTGAATCTAATATATGCTATAGGCTTATTTTATTGTAAGAGCAATATATATATATATATATATATATATATATATATATATATATATATATATATATATATATATATATATATATATATATATATAAAGATGAACCCAATCTGTTCTCCTAGCCATGGCGGCCAATCTCAATGAGATTAGCCAACTGCGCAGGAGATATTATAGTGCTCAAGTGTACGCGCAGACACAAAGTGCACTCTCTATTCCTATCACTCTCATACTCCGGTGGGACGACCACTCGACACGACCGGTGAGAGTTAAGGCGCAGGACCGACGGCTTTACGTGCTCTCCGAGGCACAGGGGTGAAACACCGCCAACTTCCCAACTCCGGGCTGTTACTGAGACTTACTATACAGGAAGACTCAATAACTAAACTTGGCCCGACTCGGGACTCGAACCCAGGACCTCCGGGTGTGCAGCCGTACATGCTAGCCACTACACCACCGAGGCAGTTATAAACCATAAACAATAGCATTCCCAAGAAGGGTTGACGTCATGCAGGCGGCCGGTCGTAAAACTTTTGCTAAATCCTATCAGCAGTATAACAGAACACGTACTGCACCGACCCCAAGTGTTTGGGAAATAGGCAGGGAGAAGAAGAATACATATTGTTTTATAATTTTAAAAATGTAAAATTTAAAAGGTATTAATCTTAATTAAAATATGTGTAGCATTTTTTTTCTCTTTATAACGTAAATGTAAGGATAAAAATAGTTATTGCGAGTGTAACTACCTACCTACTTTAGGAGATAGACATATATTATTGAGGACTTTTCTGTAGGCTATTTTAAGACCTACAATTTTCTAGTACATACATTGTTTTGATGTACTTATACCTTAAGGTTTAACCAATGTTAGACATATTTCTAAGGACGACTTGATAGAACCAGTTATTGTTTTCCCGTGGGATTTAAAGATTTTCCTGCAGTAAAAGGTATCTTAAAAGTTGACCCGAATAATAAATAAGTTATTACTAACACAAAATTTATTTAAAATCGGTTCAGTACTTTTTGCGTGAAAGTCGAACACCCAAACAGACTAAAATTTTAATAAGTATTATTTTGGGGTCTATATTCTGTATAGAATACGTTACAGTCATTGTTTTAAAAAAATACTTCATGTACAGATTTCGCTAAGTTATTTTTTTATATGTACCATAGATTCTAACCTGTCAGTGTTGTAGGTATATTTGTATTGCATCGTCCTGTTTGGATAATTTTAGATAAAGCTGCTACATTATTGAAAATAATAGCAACAGCAGCACCATCGGCCAATTGAGATGAATCGCAACATGATAATAAATCCGTCCAGCCATCCGTGTCCCACTGCAAACCAGAATACACGGCCAGCTGCAAAGTTGACGCTCCTGCGAATTACATTTATGTCTTAAAACTATCTTAATGTTTGAAATCATAATATACTGAAAAACGTAATATTTAATTATTTAAACCAAAACATTAGACATTCACATTTTTACCTGCTTCACTTAATGCGTGTGGATTAGCACCAAACTGGATGAATAATTTAACTATAGAATGAAGTCCATATCTGGCTGCTAATCTTATAGGCCACCCATTTTCAAAATTCGGGTCAAAACCATTCTGCAGTAGCTCAATTATTTCTCTTTCATTGTTGCTTAATATAAAATTTCTCATTTTTTCTTTGTGTCTATCCATCTCCTAATACATTTAAAAATCGTTATGGATTTCTATTTCTATAATATTCTCGTTAAACTTATGTTATTTCATAAAACATTTTGATATACGTGACTTAATATGCTATTCTTAAACATTATCCTACCTCCAAAAAAAATAGCAAAAAATGTATGTAATTCTAAAGAATAAAAAAAGTAAATGCACTACCTACTACATAGGACACCGTCTTGATAATATTTTTCGATTGGCAATGAGCAGATTGCCTAAGGGCAAGTCGCTAAACTAATTCATAACTGATAAAATCACTAACATTAAGTATAATAACATAATATATTACACGTGTATGAAGGTAGTGTTTAATTTGACGACACGTTTGGCTCAGTATGTAGTGACCCTACTTGCTGTGCCAGCGGTCGCGGGTTCGAGTCCCGCTGGGGGCATTCATTTGTGTGATGACGAATGTTTGTACTCCAGTCATGGGTATTTATATTTATGATATGTATGTATTTAAAGTTGTATATGTGTAGTGTATCAACTATTTGGTATCCATAACACAAGTCTCGTAGCTTACCATGGAACTAGATGGCGCTGTGTGTTAATGTCCCAATATATTTATTTATTATTTATTTAATAATTATAATATATATGTATATAAATTAGTGGATTCGTCAGAAATATTTAAGTCATTCATATTTGATGATTGTGCTGAGTGGTGACCAGGACTGCATTACAGTTCATCATAACCACTATCGTAGAGATTTTAGGAGGCAAGGAGTGGAATATGTAGAATACAAGCTTCGAGATAGCGGTTTTGGTCATTATAATCAGATATATAATATGGAGTAGGGTATATAATTTATGTGATTTAATTTTGGTTACCATTTTTAATGTGTCAGCTATAAACAAAATAAATAATTTGTCTACATCTTGATTACTAGTTCCATTTTTTTTCTACTCTAAATGGGTTTTACGTAATCTAAAATCCTGACTCAAAGAATTTCATCTGATGATTTGAAAAAACCTGTTCTACAAATCATCAGATGAAAATAAAAAATACCATTTATTTGGTCATCCATACAAAAATCATGAATTGCACTTCCTTTTTAAATTAATGTGGTTAACACTTAGTGTTGGTTTTGAAGGTAAGTTTGTGTAAGAACAAATATAAATAAAAAATACATTACACTAATCTAAGTCAAATACTAAAAATGATTGCAAAAAAGTGAAGTAAGGTGATTTAAAAAAAACAGTATTTTTTTTAAGGCCGTATAAATTAAGTTATTATCTACTAGCGACTCGGCCTCGCTTCGCTCGGGTTCGTCCCTAGCTTGCTTCCCAATACAAACTTTCATCCCCATTTTTACCCTCTTAAGAGATGATTTTCGGGATAAAAAGTCTAGTCCTATGTCCTTCCCAGGATCTTAAACTCTCTTCTTACCAAATTTCATCTAAATCGGTTCAGTAGATCCAGAGATTGCCCCCTACAACGTCAAAAACTCACAATCTCACAAACTTTGCCTCTTTATAATATTAGTATAGAGGAAAACCAGTGCCAGACAAATTTCGATAAATAGCCGGACCCGTCTGTGTCAGTCTTAATAAAACATAAATTTATGAATATATTATATCTATGCATTGGCGTATTCCAATTACAGTACTAAAGCGCATTATGCTGCATAATACTCGACTTTGAATTTTCAACTACAGCAACGCTCCGTACAATCGAGCACTTTGAAAAGTACTGCTTTGGCGTGATCAGTGACGATACCAACTCAGTAGCAGAAAATATAAGAAGTGTTTTTTCGCATTGTTCGTGTTTGTGCGCCAAAATGCGGCATTATAAAACAGAGCTTATGTTCCCTACTTATCTATTTTACTAATTAATCTAGTCTGTGGCTTGTCAATTTAACGTCATTTACTCTGTGAGTCTGTTCTCCTGTTTATGTATTATTTTGCTGAACAATGAATTCCACATTTATTATTATTTTTAATTTATTTTATCACAATTTCTAAATCTAATAATCATACACAAGAGTATTTGAATTGGATTGTTCACTCAATTTCATAAATAATTGTCAAAGCATTAGCGTGTTTTTTGAGGATATGGGAAAGTAAATATTATGTATTTGTGTACATTTTATTGTTTTAATCCTACCCAAAAATCTTTACTAAAGAAAGAATAATGTTTTATTTGATTTCATTTAGACATAAAGAATGGCGCAAATTTGTTAAGAGAGAACGGAGAAGAAAAATTCGTACTCAAAAAGCTAAAGAAAGAGGTAAGTAATTATTCGTTCAGAGAAGAGAAAGTAAAGAATAAACTTGAAACGAAACTGAATTTATTTACATGTTTATGAAAATATGATTTTTATTTAAAGAGTACATCCCATTTGGAGATTACGAAGAGTGGCACAAGACACAAGAAGCTATAGAGCAATTTGAGATTGAGCAGATAGAAAAAGCTAATAAAATAGAGAATGAGAAATGGTTTAAAGCTGAGCAAGAATCAATGGAGCAGTGGAGAGAACTTCAGACTAAGAATGAGCTGTTGCTTCAAAAGAAACTTCAACAGCAAGCTAAGTTAAAATTAGTGAGTAATTTTGCATATAATCAACATTGAATAATTTTTGTTGCTCTTAATTTATTCGTAATCTGTATTATTCCACTTGCTTTGGTTTGGTTCTATAGATGCATGTTTTCAAATGCTTAAAATTAATTAAAAATGATTATTTGTATTTTTAAGTAGAAATACATCAATGTATTATATGTATGAATATTTAATTATAATTTTAGGAATGGGAAAAAGAAAAAGAAAAGAGAAGGCTAGATGAAGAGAGGTTAAAAGAAATTGAAGAGGAAAACAGAAAAAGACAAGAGCTCTTTATAAATAATTTAGAAAAATTTTTAAGTGGAGATTTAGTAGAACCTCCGAAAGAGTTGTTAATTTTATATGAAAGTAAACCAAATAACCCACCATGCCCATTTTTTACAAAAACAGCTTGTTGCCGTTTTGGTGATGAATGTTCTCGTAATCATATATACCCTGGTATTAGTAAGGTATATTGAGATTGTATGTTTACCAGTAGTTTATTTAATTTGGATATGAAATTTTTTTTTTTACTTTTTAAACTCTTTTTAATTTAGATACTTTTAGCTACAAACATGTTTGGACACTTTGGCTTAGAAAATGCAAATTTCAATGAGTATGACACAGACATCATGCTTGAATATGATGATAGTGATACATATAAAGACTTCCGGGATTTCTTTTTTGATATATTACCAGAATTTGAAAAGTTTGGCAAAGTGGTGCAGTTAAAGGTTTGTTTAGTTTGAAATATTTTGATTTTAGCAAAACAAGAAAAGTATCCTTTAAAAATTATGATGAATTTTGATTATGGCCAAGTCTATTTATTACCTATTATTTTTAGATATTTTAGGAAAAAAAAGTTTTCATATATAAGTTGAGCGTATATGTTAATTTTGTTGTTATATACAAAATATTATGTTGATTATCTTAACTCATGTCTCATAATATATATAGGCAGAGGAAATAGGACTTAACTTTTTTCATTGGGAAGTCCATGGAATGATAAATATAAGAAGAGGTTTGTATATAAAACATTTTGCCATAACTTCTATTATTTAAGTATTTTAAAAATTATTATAATAATGAAGATGATTTATTAAACTATGTCATTCTATAAAATTCAGGTGTGTAATAATTATGAAAAACACCTTCGTGGAAATACTTACATAGAGTATGCAGATTTGCGAAATGCAGTTTCGGCTTACAGAGCTCTGCATGCGCGTTGGTATGGAGGGAAACAACTGTCTCTCCAGTTTTGTCAGCTTGCTTCATGGAAAAATGCTATATGTGGTATGTCTTTTTAAAAAGTCATTATAAATATTTTGCTATAACTGTGGCACATAACATGCTTTTACCAATATTTAATGAATATTTTTAAATGCATTTTTTTGGATAAGGCTGGATTTAACCATCTCTGTTTTATTTAATTTGTTTTGAAATTTCTCGCTTCATTGAAACCAATAAAACTCAGACAAGTTATTAATTTATAAAATGCACATTTTTTTATTATATAAAAAATAACAAACCATATATCAAAGAAATCATAATAAAACATAGAAAATATTTACTTTCCAATATGCTTCAAGTAGATTCTGAAGTAGTTAACATACTACCTCAAAAACTTTCATACGAATATGCTACTGTATTAAAGAATACACTTCTGCTTCAGGTCTACAATCTAGCAAAAGATGTCCAAAGGGCCGCACTTGTAATTTTCTTCATGTTTTTAAGAATCCAATAACATTACAACTAGACGATATACAAATATCTGAAAGGTATATTAAATTACTACATATTTATACAATTTTACGATTTAATAATGTAGGTATATTGTATACTGAATTTGCTTATGTGTAGGTGGTATATGTGTATGTGTTAGTATATTTTACAAGTCAGCTAAGTTGAAAACATAATTTTGACTATACATGTTGGATATTTATTTAAAATATTATTGTATTCAGCCCTTTTTAACGTCCCACTGCTGGGCACGGGCCTCCCTTCAATACGAGAGGGATCAGGCCATAGTCCACCACGCTGGCCAAATGTGGGTTGGCGGACTTCACACGTCTTTCGAAAACTTGCTAGGTTCTCTCAGACATGCAGGTTTCCTCACGATGTTTTCCTTCTCCGTAAGACAATTGGTAATCATGTTAGAAATGATTCGCACATGAAAATATCAGAGGTGCGAGACCCAGGATTTGAACCCGCTTCACTCGGTTTCCCAAGCGAGCGCATTATCACTGGGCTACTACTGAATATTTTATTAAATTATTATAAAATATTAATCTTTATAAAAATCACAACAACAGTTATCACAAGTACTTCAATTCTTGAAATAATATTTGCCATTTGATATACTGTAAAGGACAATACAAAATGGCTACACGAAATACCCCTGCAACATACTTTGTTTTGTTGACATTTTAAACAAAAACCGCACGAACGTCTACGTAAACGGAAATCCTAGGCCCTTGCAGTCGTGGTCGAAATTGGCCAAGACGATATAATAAGTATAAATGTATTGTAACGATATATATATATATATATAGGTTATATATATATATATATATATATATATATATATATATAGGTTATATATATATATATATATATATATATATATATATATATATATATGATACATGTTAGGAATCAAACCTATAAAACTGTGCTATTTCTAACAAAAAACAATTTCTGTAGATGTCGCCGATTAAAGGTAGTTGTCAATAAAAACTTCCGTCCCAATAGGGGTTCCTTGATGCTTTGCACTGACTACTGCCCCACAACGATCATTAAATCAAATACACACTAATTATGAAGTTCATCTAAAACTATTATCGAAGTTTCTTATTTTTTTTAAACATATTTTCAGACATAAACAATATTCGCGTTCCTGGAGATGGTCAGAGTCACCTGACAGAGAGATATCGAGAAAACCTATGAACCAAGAAATAGAAAGCAAAGATAGAATCAAACAAAAGGATCGAGTGAGGGAGAGGGACAAAAATATGGATAGAGAGACGGAAAATAATAGAGCGAGAGATAGGAAATCCGAAAAGAATAAAATCAATGACAGAAACCGTCATGGAGATTCTTCTCGTCGTCGTCGTAGATACAAAGATTAATTATTGATGAGGATGTATATATCCATATATTATGAAAGATAACATAATTAAAATAGTAGAAATACATATTTTTATTTGTTTACCTTAGGGTGAAGAGAAATATCATGAGAAAACCTTTTTTTTTTAACGTTGGGAAGTGCATTTACGCACGAGGTGTGGGCCTCACCGGCAAAGCCAGTACTACCCACTAAAACCCAACAAAACCTTCCCCCGTCTTAATGGGGCGTCGCAGGATCGCTTACGCATTCAACTACGACGCCCCGACGGGAGGTCTGCCGAAGCAGACCACAACATCCATGGGGTTACTCCAAGGTCCACTCTGCTATCAGAGAAGTACCAGGAGCAACCCGGATGGTACACCGCCCCCCGAAGAGGGCCACCTCCCTCCGCCCACCGAAGTGGGCCACATTCCTGTGCGTTTCTTGATTTCGCACCCGGCTGGATTGCCGGGCACTACTGAGCCCCCCCCATCACGACAAGGTTTTACTTACAAGGACTTTACTAAACTTAATTAGTTGAAAGACATGTGAAATCGAAGCGGAGCGAGAATTAGTTTGTAATATAAGATGCTGTAAATAAGTATAAAATAAATCAGGATTCCTCAAATGTGTTACATTTTAATTACTTTCACAATCATATTATAATAAAACATTCATTTAACTTCGTTAATTATTTTTTAGCACACTAGAAGTTTTCATTGACCACAGTACCTAGTAACGTGGGCTCCCCTAATATAAGTAAACTTGTACTATCTATCCACTTCCCTAGTCTAAAAAGTTTCTAAAATAAAATTTGATTCAAGATATCAAACAATTCCATTCTCCTATAATAAAACTATAACAACCCTACATCAACAAGAAAAAGTAAAATTATTTCAAATAATTGCACTAGATGGCATTATGTGTATCGTTTTGTTATTAGTTTGTATAAAATTGACAAAAGATGATATTAAATAGATTCAAAAATAGTATATTAGTTTAAAAAAATATTCTATAATAGTTGAAGGAAAATGAAATAATGTGCTCGTAAATCAAAGTAATTCTACTGAATATTGAAAAATCACTAATGTTGGTTGATTGGTGATATTTCAAAATTAATGTAGTTAATTAGTGTGCTTCCCAAAGTTAAAAAAAATAATGGGTTTATGGCACATATACTCAAATGGCGCTTTTACGAGATTTTTACCGCTTAAGGACTGCTAGTCACTGAAATTTCTTTAATTAAATTCAAGATAAATTTTACAATACTTTACATACTTTAGTTTACACATAATATTATTCAAAAATAAAATAGTTCGAAAGTTTGAAAACTAACGACATCTATTATCTATTCAAGTAAACAGAACGCGCTGTATAATTTCTTTGTTAGGCTGTAGTATTATATTGTCATCTCTGCTAGTAAATAAAATGAAATAAATAAAAAACCTAACTGCGAAAAAATGACTAAAAGTTGCGTTAGGAGTACCGACCAAACAAGCGCCAACTATTGTCATTAGGCGTTGGCTGCCGCATGCTCGTTTGGCATATAAGGTACGTGATACGTCCAAAAAAGTACATTTGGTGGATTGAATTTTGAACTTTAAACAGCAATAGCTCGGACTTGAATCCAGTAAGCACTAAGGCTACAAGCAATCAAATTAAAAATGTTTATTTTGAAGCTTCACGTTGGTGAAATTGTAATTAAAAATGTTTGCAATTTCATTCTAGCAATCATTTCGTTTATTTTTTAATTTTTATTCTACATATGTAGGGCATATTGGGAAGCTTCGAGTTAGTTCAATTGCGTTTGTAATAGGGCAGATTTCTCGAAAAGAGGGCGCCACACAAATCGCCTATATACATTCAGTCTGAGGTTAAGCAGTTTAATATCATACCTCTTTTGTACCTGGTTTTTTGCTTCTATTGTGTTTGAATCTTACCTGTGCAATGTATTGTACCTGGAAATTAAGCCAGCTGAAAAAAGAGTTCAGAAGGAGAGGTGCATCTTGTGGTGGTCCTGACTGACTGATGGATCAACACATAGCCAATAACCATTGGTCGTAGAAACGTGAAAATTGGAGGAGGTATTTCTTATATGATGCAGGCATCTGATATGATAGAATTTTTTTGAAATCACCCCCTGAGTGGGTAAAATAGGGGATTAAAGACTGTATGAAACCCTGTCATTCTTAATGTGAAATACATAAAGTGTTGTTTAGTTTTATTTATAAAAATAAGCAATACATTTATTTGTTTTTTTTTTCGAAATTCATCCCTTAAAGGAGTAGAAGGGGGTAATAAAGTTTATATGGGCAAAGAATTATTTAGGATCAGAATTACCTGAAAGTTGGTATTAATGCTCTTCAATACAATTAAATAAATACGTGTTTTAGTATTTTCCAAAATTCAATCCCATAAGGAAGTAAAATAGGGGATGAAAATTTGTATGAAGCTCTGAAATTAATATGTAAAAAAATACAACAAATAAAAAAAATATTCACCAGCAGATTTAAGTTTTAAAATCACCTTCTTTAAAATGATGCTGATATAGCCACGGTAATGCTATATATATACCATTACCGTGTTTATATATATAATATGGTGGTCTTATTGCTTTAGCTTAAAATTTCTTCAGTTTTTGTCTTTTAGGAACAAATGATATCCGTTTTCATTGCATTCTGGTACTGCACAATTTGTCAGTTTTATTAAATTTCACATAAAGTGAAAAAAATCCAACGCTATAAAGCTGTACAATATAAGCACTATAGTGTTCGCGACATCTGGCGGGAGAAAAAGGCAAAATTCTTCATTTTATTCTAGCAATCATTTCTTTTATTTTATAATTTTTATTCTGAATAAGTAGGTAGGAGTAAGTTAACAAGAACGTATATTATTATCTTTAGTCCATTCTATGTTTTTCTCAATTATTAGTTTTTTCTTGTACACATACGAAAAAACATAAAACATCTACTTGCTAGAACATAGGGTAGATATGCTAGACTCTTGCTCAAATGGCGATTCGGTGACCGCCGAAAAAATTTAACGTGATGTGTTCCCAGACAGACAGACAAAATTTTAAAAAACTGTAGAGTGCGCCTCTGTATCAATAATAATGACTGTTTCAATATTATATGCAAAAAATATTTAATGTACAGATTCCACTTAGTTAGAATTTTAGTGTGTGTAGGTATGTATATTTTTAATTTTATTATTATAAAGATTAACAAGCCCATTCCTTGGACTGGTTCTAGAAGATTAAAATATGTAACAAAAGTTAATGCGTAGATTAAGTTGAAAAATTCTAATTGAACCTACAAATTATAATTCGACGAATAAACCGGCGCAAAAAATTTAAAGTAAGGTAACTAGCTAAATCTACTTTCTGTGATATTTAAAATGATTAAAAAGTATTCCTAATCTGTTATAACTTGAGTGATGTCTCTAATCAGTTTATAACTATACTCTTTGCTCTAATCTCTATTTGTTCTAGTTTCTGGTAGGTAGTTTCTGGTCCTGTACTCTCAAGTCTCAACCATAGAGTATGTAACCCTTTTTAGTCTCAACTCTGTGATTTGAGATTTCTATTTAGTATTTACCATTTAACCTGTGGTCAAGAGAAAAATATTTTTCGCCGTTCACCTTCAACTTCGAGTTGAAAGTTCATTATTTTTCTAGGATAGGCTTAACTAATTACAATATTTATGAAATAATGTAAAACGCTGTAAAATGTTTGTCAAATATCTTACTTCGGTTTTATTCACCAAATCTTTCTATAATAATTTAAAGATTATTACTGTTTCGTCGATACATTATAATAATCGTCTGACAAATAGTAGACTTACATACAGTATCTTTTATAAAAATTACATTAATAATTTTAATAGAACTCTCAGTACACGAAATCAAATTATTAAAGCTGAAGGTATAATTTATAAATTTAACGAATTATTAATAATTTTTAGAAAACGATTTGACATAGGATGTTATCTTGCAGATGCATATAAAGAAAAAATAATAAAAAGCTTAAATTTCCATTCTGAAAAAGACGCTATACCATTTTATAATTTGCCTCATAAATCCCTGCTCCAAATTTATAACACTACTAAGAAAGACAAAGATAGTGGTTTCTGTGAGAATAGACTATATTACATTGCCCATAGAATACAGGTATTTGATATTTCTTCTAAAGTTACCTAACATGTTACCTAATTGGTACAATGTTCAAAATGAAATGTTACATTATTTGCAGTGCTCTCCTTCTACTTTAAGCAAACACATTGTACGAAGAACTTTTTTGTATAAACTATCATTTGATTGGCTAGAAAGTTCCTTAAATGTACTATTAGGTAAGAGGTAGGTTTAATGGATATTTCATTTTAAATATTCAGGACTTAATGAAATATGTATTTAAAAGCTATTATTATTATTATTTTAGATATGAATGTTTCTGGAGACAGAATACTTAGAGATCTATGGGTACTTAAATATCACCATAAAACTATACAGGAAAGATTATTACGTGTCAAAAAAGCCGGTATTAATAACCTTTATCCATGGATGGTGAGGTGTTCTGAAGACATATTAAACAGGTTGGAAAAGAAATAATTGTAGCCTAAGGAAAGTTATAATCCTAAATAATAATTGTCATTACACCAGACAAACTGACTAATAATTTTAATATCATACATTTAAAACAAAAACAAGGAAATATTGTTACTAATTTATTTATATGTTGATAATATAAACTTTTAGGTTCATTCAAATAAGTCAGGAAACCAAATCTATCTTAGGGGAATATAAGTCAACTAAAATTTATCTTGCGAAGAGGTTGAATACTTCACCAGAAGTTATTGAAGATATATATTTAAAAATACCAGCCCTCAAAACTATCAGAGTTACAAAGGTGTGAAAAATATTTTCATCTCGCCTCAAAAATATTTTCACCAATTTCATATATAAATTATTATACTTTGAACCTTTGAACTATTAATTTCTCTTACTTTACAGGCCAAGAACTTTCTAGACTTTTTAATTAGTGAAGGCTTTGAGGTAGAAGACATTGCTAACAAACTAAGAATATTTTCAGCATCTCAAAACACTGTCAAACAAAGGCTAGAAAAATTAAGAAAATTAGGAATAAGTAAAATTAATTTAAATGTTTTATGTAGAAGCCGAAAAGATTTTCAGAAATATTGTGAATCCATTGAATCTATTTCCAAAGAGCAATGAGTCTGTCTAAGATTGAAGCAAAATTGTGATAAACTATGATAATAAAATTTATTATAGTTTGTTTAGCCTTTTATTTCATAAACATAAGATATTAAACAAAAACTTATATTAAAGCTCTTTAAAATGGTATTTATAAATAAATTTCATAAAACAATGAAATACCTCAAATTAGCAAATATTTTTTTTATTTTTTAAAATGATAGGTATATAATAAACCAATGCAAATACATGCACCTGTCATAGTGGAATGAGTCAAATGAATGAAAATATTACTAATTATTTTACCACATCTGCACAATTAAAGTAAATAAAATATTTTATAGTTTCACATACAATATATAAATAACACAGTATTGCAATGAAATTAATTTCTACATAAAAAATTTCAATCAAGCTTGTTATAGCTTTAGTTAAGGTTGAATCCATACATTGTCTATTGCTTTGCAAATTTAAGTCACATATTTTCATAAATATTAACTACCTAACAGTTACAATAGAATTACATAATGTGAGGTTTAAGTAGAAATCCTAACCATGGATTTAACCTATTGATGGGCACATTGAACTCCAGGTCCAGTATGCATGTGTTCTTCGTCATCACTGGCATAAGCCTCTTCACGTCCACGACTTCTTTCACTAGCAGTGTACTCCATTAAATTGACTTCTTCTACATCCTCACCAGTTGGCATAACAAACGCTGGTCGAGGAGGCAGTATGCTTTCAATTTGTTTAAGTTGATCTTCATTAGCAAAATTATTTTCAGGGAAAGTAACATCAAATTTGATGTACAAGTTACCTTTCTCAAAAGGATTTTTGTGTTGCGGCATACCTTCACCTTGAATTCCTTTCAAATCTCCTGGTTTTACAACTTCCCCAGGTAAATGTCTCACAAGAAGATCTCGTCCATCTAAATGTTTGACAACAAATTCAAAGCCACATAAAGCTTCAGTCAATGTGATTTCATGTTCCATAAGTAAGTCATCACCTGTTCTTTTGAAAACTTCATGATGTTTTTGTTGCACCACTATAATGACATCACCAGGTTGGGTGTCAGGTTGTTGATCACCCTCACCTCTGAAGAATATTTTCTGATTTTCACGCATGCCTTTTTCAATATGAACTTCTAGTATCTTTATCTCATTTAATACTTTCTTTCCTTTGCATTTGGGACATTTATCTTTTTCATTAATAGTTTCACCCTGACCTTGACAATTTGGGCAACGAGTTTGAAATTGACGAGTCATGTTAGGACCAATTTGTTGATAAGAAACTTTAACACCCTGTCCATGGCAGTCCCTGCAGGATACAACAGAACCTGGCTTTCCACCTACACCTTTGCAAGGCCCACAGATAACATTTTTACTTAATTGTAGTTTTACTGTTTTGCCAACATACATATCTTCTAATGACACTTTCAATGGATGTATAGTATCTTCACCACGCGCACGTCCTCGACCTCGTCCACCAACACCCATACCAAATATATCACCAAAGAAGTTTCCAAACAAATCATCAGACGCAAATCCTCCACCTTGTCCACCTTCTTGCAATCCTTTTAATCCATATTTATCGTAAGTTTGCCTTTTTTTAGGATCAGACAAAACCTCATAAGCGTAGCTTATTTCTTTAAATCTATCGCCAGCTGCTGGGTTTTTGTCAGGATGGAATTCTTTTGCAAGTTTGTGGTAATTCTGAAATAGAAAAAAAAAATTTAGTGGTTGCATTGATCGAATCAAGCAGCATGCTTGACAAAGGCGATAGTTTGATAATCAGTAGTGTAGGAGTTTAGTGAACTTACTCGTTTTATTTCCGACTCACTAGCGTTTCTTGAAACACCTAATATTTCATACAGTTTGTTATCAGCCATTTTTGTACAGAATAATGCTATAGAAAATGTAGTAACTTCCTCGCAACTCGCAGCTGATGGCTGATGCAAAACTAAAAGAAAGAATTACTTTAGCACAGAGTATGTAGTATGTAATGAATATAAAATTAAATGGGGAAGAATATTGCCTTTTTCTCCCGCCAGATGCCGTGATCACTATAGTCCTCAGTATATCGTAAAGCTATAGCGTAAATGTATTTTTCTTTTTCATTTCATTTAAAATTTAAATAAAATAACAAAATTTCCAGTACCAGGATTCAAAGAAAATTGATATCGTTTTTTCCCAAAAGACAAAAACTGAAGAAATTGTATGCTAAAGCAATAACACAAACAAAATTGCCGAAATCACAAGCCTTATATTTTAGGCTATGTGGACATCATTTTACAGAAGTGATTGTAAAAGTCTTAAATCGTCTACAGGTGAATATGTATTCAGGTGAATATACTTTTTTTATTTTTTGTACTTTTTTACATATTTAATACAGAGTTTTGTACAAACTTTCATCCCTTATTTTACGATCCAAATCTGACATTCCTTTTATTATTTCTCTAATAGTCAACTTTATTCTTTATTTTAATTTCTTTTTAAAACCTGCCAGTTTGTATCACCCTGCTACCATCGCTTCGACGCTTTACTAGAGCGTGCTGTGGAAGCCTGACTTCACACTCTAATCCGATAAGCTCGCCGAAACCTCCAGATGGCGCACTGAGCGCGCCGTCAAATATATTTTATATTCTATGTATTTCATTTCACATTACCTATTTTATCTCTCCTTTTTTACCTGTTGACTCTATTGAAAAATAATCTTTAACAATCTTGCATTAAAGTCGTTTTTATGATCCTATTTAATTCCTTTATTTAACCATTTGTCCAAATTATATGCAGTAAAAGGGAAAAGATTTTTAGTTTTAAACATTTTAGACGATAAATTTACTTATTTTGATAGGAATTCATAATTGTTGATAATATAACCGATAAAGATGACCTACCGATTTAAATTAATTTTTAATATAAAAACTACTTTTTGTGACTTAAATATAAAAGTTAGACATATCTGTCGCTGACTTTTTTGTAGGCATTATTAATCTCTACAACTTTTCTCTGGAACATAATCATATATCACTCATCGTTAAGGCAGCGTTCGTAAGAAACGTTTTCGTTCGACCGTTCTTTCTCCGACTTTGCAAATCCGACTATCATGAAAAAGTCTTTTCATTCTTCGGAGTTCGGGTTAATATATAGCCTATGACACTCAGAAATAATGTGGCTTTCAATTGGTAAAAAAATTTTCAAAATCGGTTCAGTAAATCTAGAGATCACCCCCTACAATGTCACAAACTTTACCTCTTTATAATATTAGTATAGATATATTGTTTTTAATTTTTTTTCTAATGCATTTAACATATTTCGGGTCAGATAAATTATACCAGATTCAGTATAACAGGATTTGTTTGGATTTTGTTCATTTGAAGAAAAAACAGTATCCTTATTGAATTTTTCTTGCCTCTGTCTGGACGTATTTTGTATTTATGTTACAAGCAATATACTGAAACATAGGACCTATCACATTACTATTATACATAATTCGTTGGCTCACTATTACAAGGTTCTATGTTACAATTTTAGTACTTATTTAGTTATTAATGCTACAAGGTTCTACGTGTCATTAGCTACACTTTTGCAAAAACAAACCACTAGATAGCGGCACTACAACTACAAAATATTCAATTTTACATAGTTCTATGTTGTTTTTTTTACGATAACAAAGTAACGAAGTTCTATGTAAAAATTACTAAATATATAAATAATAGGTATGTTGTTTTAACAAAAAATAACGTCTATAAATATAACAAAATTCTAACTGAGTAGAAGAATGTGTACATTAAATATTTTTTGGAAAATCTTATTGAAATAGTCATTATTTTCGACACAGAGGCCCAATCTATAGTTTTTTAGTTTTTAGAATTTTTGTCTGTCTTTCTGTCTGGGAACGCATTACGAAAAACCACTGGACAGTTTTTAATGAATAGCTGGTTATCCGGGTCAATATATAGGATACTTTTTACCCTCTTATATAATATCATCTCTGGGAAATCTATACTAACTATTGAAATGTACCTAGGGGATGAATCCGAGCGGAGCGAGGGCTAGTCGCTAGTACCCAAATAAAAAAGAACGACCCTCAATAGTATTATTGTCTTAACATAATTTATAAATATTTACAACATAAAACATTAATCAAAATGTGTCTTAAAGCCATTTAAATAAAATTAGCTGCTAACGGAAACGTTGAATTTTGTCGCTCTTTCAATATTTGTTGCTTACATATTATTTAGTTTTTATTATTTTATTATTTACTAGCGCCCTACACTCCATTTGCTCTAGGTTTGTTTTATTATTAATCGTTTCAAATAGATAAAAATATTTACTATGTGTGTACGGTGTATCTTATGAGACAGACACATGTTACCATTGACTTTTCTCTACCCATGGGCTTTTCAGAGGTGAAAGACACGGGAATTCAACCGGGATATCCCTAGCAAACTTGATAACACCGGGCAACCATTGCTCTGATGACCTTATTACGAGTACTATTTCATAAGGTTTAAATAAAAATTTTATATTAAAATTTTATGTTGTTGATATCATGTGTTATTGCTTATTTTGGAAAAAATTAAAATATATATCCTATAAACGTATATCTTATTTACACGTCAAAAGTAACGATAAGTGTAAAACTGTGTCTAAATACTATAAAAAATGTTATGTTAAGTTACAGCTTAGATTACGTATCTCAAAGTAAAGTTAATTTTTGTTCATTATATAATCATAGAGCCACACCTTACAGCAAATTTCTACTGTCACCATCTATGTAGGAACACAAACATTTGCTTTGTCGTATGGCATGGCGCATTACCAACCGAGGTTCCTCTGTGCATATTTATGATATTAGGTAGGTATCTGTGAAAGTTTGCCCCAAGCGTCTTGTTTTACAGAGTTACAAGCAAAGGAAATACCTCCGCCTATATTAGTTTTAAGACAACAAACAATTATCTAATAAGTAATAGGTACTAGTATATTAAAGTTTTTAAATAAATAGATGAATCAATGTTTATTTGTTTGTTCGTATTTCATGCGCAGTTTGCACTTTCACGATGGTCAAACTTATAAGAATAGTACATTTAACTAACAGTATGTGTGGCGCGTGAGTTGTGCCGGCAATTAATGTATTTGAAAGAGCATTATTGTAAAAAAAAATTATACGCTTACATGGCTAACGCTGGCTATACCTTAAAGATACATCAATACAATGTACTACAACATTATACGTCTAATTTACACATAGAATAACTATTTTATCTATTTAAGACGTATATCTACCTAGGAACGCACCCCAGTGACCGCGGATAAGTCATTCGTCTTAACTCTTAAATATATTTTTCTATACAGGCATTTTCATTATTTGTTCAACAGGATGGCAAAAATGTAAGTGTAAAAATTATTTACTACAGTTCAATTAATGAAGCAGGATTATACATTTTTGTTTGTTAATACGTTTTTTAGCATAATAGTAGTAGTAAGCATATACATATACAAGTCTTTTCGATTCAAAAATAATAATTATAGAACCTTTTTGATAGAGTAAATAAGAGACCCGAGTCAGAGTACCTAATGCGACAAGAATTACCGATTACAAAGGAGATCACTGTCAACCTTCGATCAACAATACTACTGTTGATCAAAGCTGTCACCGCTGATCACAATATCTTATTACGACATATGGTAATGTGTGTACTTACAGTGTAGAATTATCCATTTTATGCTTAGAAATGCTTCATAACCTTTTTAAACGTGAAGGTCAATTTTTGGATACAACTGGGTTTACAACTCTATTGTTAGAGTTAAATTACCGATACGAGTAGATACTAGCTATACATATAACATAAATAAATAAATATAAATATGTCGGGACATATTATGTATGTATGTATATATATATATATACATATTTTAGGTGTATGTATGTATATGTGCATGGAAGCCCTAATAGATTATGGGTTAACCGTTGTTATTGTCTGACAAATGATATATAATATTCTTTCCTTTTTTTTCTTTCCATTGCGACCACGTTTTTTGTGAGAGGTATTTTATCATGTACAGAAAAAAAATAGCTTTAATTTGATATATAAATGATGAATATACGATAAGAACATGTAAATGTAACAAAAAAAAATTAATGGCTCGCAACCACTTTTGCGGGCACTTTTACATAGGCAGACGTAGTTTATCAAGTACAGAAAAAGATTAGCTTTAATTTGATACACAAATGATGAATATACGCGATGAACGTAGCAATCTTGCAGCCAGATCTCGATCCACGAATAGTAATTTTTTAATTTAATTGGTTTTTGCTATTAATGATAGCTTAAATTCGGGATCATGATGATGATATTGTTTATCGACGTGCTTGACGTGATCGCTTAGCTCGCTATCGCTTAGCTAACTAAGCTACGCTCGCTACGCGAGTAAAGTCGCTGGAAAATCAAATATTTTAATTTATAATCGTTGATATTTTTTATTTATGTCTATCTATGTGAAATTATAAAGTATTTAATTTATCAACTTTATTATACACACGAATATTTACAGAATATTTTAAGTCTATAAATTACATTAAACTAAAAAAAAAACCTTAAGTATATATACATAATATAATAACTAAAAAATATTATTAAAAGGAGTCCCTTTAGGCAAATTATAAATATATTATACTCACGTGCGCCTGGTGCGCACGGGAGTTTAATAAGAAGATCGGCTACATTAGCCACCTTCGCGCGCATCAGCGCCGGGACAACTAGGAGTTGAAGTGGTCGCCAAGACCGAAAACGGTCGGAACAAACAAATATATTTTTTTTTTTACAATTGAAAGTTAAATAGAATAGTAGACATTTAAAAGATGAGAAATAATGTTGCATCATCCACTAATGCCATATTGAAACTAGTGCTTGAGATAGAGGCGAGGTCATTGCATTTGCAATTACAGTCATAACTCTACAGTCCAGATTTTCATCGAATAAGTCGTCGAGATGAGTAGGTCTACGAGTCTAAAGCCTATAAAATAATGTTTTCATGTACAATACAATGTAAGTACATGATATAATATAATTGCCTCGGTGGTCTAGTGGCTAGTATGTACGGCCGCAGATTCGGAGGCCCTGGATTCACGTCCCGGGTCGGGCCAAGTTTAGTTATTATCATTTCTATCACGAAATTCACGGAGTTGGGAAGTTGACGGTGTTTCAGCCCCGTGCCTCGGAAATCACGTAAAGTCGTGGTCCTGCGCCTTAACTCTCACTGGTCGTGTCGACAGGAATAGAGTGTGCACTTGTGTTTGCGGGCATACTTGTGCACTAAAATATCTCGTCGCAGATGGCAAGTCTCAGTCTGAGATTGACCGCCGTGGCGAAATCGGTCGAGAGAACATTTTCTGACTCCACCAAGACAACGCAAGTGCACTACCTACCTAAAATTAATAAATTCTCGAAATATGATGTCAATAGTGGATTTATTTTAAATATAATGTTTGAATTGCATAGCTCGTATACTTTAGATTTTATTAATATCTAAAAAACTCCGATTTCGTCACTGATTCACTGATGATCATAAAAATATTTAGGATACTTCCTGAAGTCCTAGAAAGCTGAAATTTGGTATGTAAGCTAGTATTTACATAAACAACAAAAAAATCTAAAACTTGGACCTAACCCCCCAACCCCGGATGGAAGTTAGTTAGAGGTCTGAAAATTGATATAGGAACACCTCGTTATGAATAATAAATACATATTTCAGAATTTTATTAGACACAAAAAGAAGTGAAATCCCACCAAAAACATTTTCATGTAAAATGTTGCCAAGACAGATCTCATGTAGAGCTAAGCTACTAACTCTACACGGCCTAACTTCACAAACTCTACACCTTAGTCAAAATATGTAGCTCTATCAACATCCACATTAGGCCGCTCTATATGAAGGGGTAAAATTTTGATTCTGAATTCTTTATATCCATAAGCTGCCAAAATTTTAGTATTTAGTTTATATTCATAGGAATCAATTTTTTTCGGGCGTAAATAAATAAAACAGCCGTATGTAGCCGGGACGATTTGCTAGTCTAAAACCTAGTTACAAAACAGTTGCGCTACGAGAAGCTACAATCACTCTAAACAAAATGTATGTTCTCACGTGTAATGATAAAAATCATTAGTAATTCCATGAAATATTTCAGATTTTATTATAAAACAACTTTTTGTAGTAGGTATATCTGCAAAATCTAGAAATATATTTTCAATTTGTGTTTAGAATAAGAATTATCATTGTAGAATTCAAGGTAGGTTATTATTATTTACGTCACTATGTTAACTTTTTTTCTTTTAATCTAAAGTATTAAGTAGGTATTTTACTTTTTAGGAAATAATGTTTTCAGTTTTGTTAAATTTAAATTTACTTTATTTAATTGATTTTCTTCAAAATTTGATAACATTTCCATTATTATAAATAAATTTTATTCAATTCTTGCCAGTGCAATAAGTATCGAATCGTAATTCAACTTTGCACTGTTAATGGTAAGAAAATTAGTCATTCCGTTAAAGAACCTAAACAGAACTGCATCAGAAATACATCGCTATGTAAGGAAGCAAGCTAGGGACGAACCCGAGCGAAGCGTGGGTGAGTCGCTAGTTAAAAAGTAAAACAATGTATACAGAATTGTTATTACTGCTTATGTAATTTTGAAATGTTACATATATTATATATTTATTTATATTATATGATCTCTCTTTCTTCCTGATTCGGAGACCTCACGATCTAAGCAAATTATTAAAAAGCATTGATATTAAGACGTCAGACATTTCCTAGTTGTTGCAAATTCATAGACATTAATGGGATTCAGAGATTATGCAAAAAAAATCAGTATTACATAAAATAGCAACGTATAAATTTAAATTACAATTAATATGAAGATATCTTCAATAAAAACCCGCTTAACCAATGTTCACTTTCACTTACCTATGTACTATCTAACATTATTTCAAATGCGTAAACTCCAGAACCTTCGCCTTTACTCGATAGGTACTTGTCTTTGACAAAAAGTGGCCATAGCCTTTGACCGATTGTGTCATTATATTATATAATATCGTGACGGTGTGAAAGGTACAAGCTGTTAATTATGACTTACATAAAGATGAGATTTTAAAGTAAAGTGGTGATATTTACTCCAAATTTTTGAATCACGGAATGTACATCGATTTAAGTTTGCTTATAGTCTTATTCAAACACCAATGATTGTTAAACTGTCATTTATATCTTAAAAACATTTTCTTATTTTAAAAGTCTAAGGTATTTTTTATATTAATTCTGAATATTTATCGAGCTTTTTTGAAACTGTTACAACTAGATCCTGATCGGTTTTTGTCTCGATCTATAACCATAGATGAAAACTGGCTTCACCATTACGACCCAGAAACAAAATTACAGTCTATGAATTGGAGAAGATCATAGTCTCCAACCCCTACAAAATTTAAGGTGAATCGTCTCACCGGAAAGATCTTTCGCTTTTTTTCTGGAATAGTAAAGAGATGGGCATGATATAATATCTTGACCATGGAGTTACTGTTTCGGGCTCTTTGCACGCAGAACAAATAAAAATTAGTAACGAAATTCACGAGAAACGGCGAGGCAAACTAGCAAAAATTGTGGTTTCATCAAGGTTATGTCCCATCAAGGTTGAAGTAGTCTCTGAAAGGACAGAGGTTCGAAAATAATGAAGCAGTAGTCGCTGCAGTAGAGAGAGTGTTTTAGAAAAGGAATTTTAAACTTAGAAAAAAGATATTCCAAGTGTCTTACTCGTCCGAATAAATTCTTGTAAATACCGATGTACTGCTTGACAATTTTTTTAGCAAATTCAATCATCGGCAAGTTTCAGTTGGCGATCATAATAATATTTAATTTCAAAATTAAGTAAAAATCTATGCATAAAAGGATCTGTTGTACTCTACTCTCTAAAATAATAAATAGATATACATATAAAAAATAAGAAATATATTGAACCTTAAATCCATCAGTTGCATAAAATTACCAAAAAGCCAGTATTAAATCTATTATTTATTTTTATGCTGATGAACGAAGAACATAAGAAAGAATGGTGATTTTAATTAATTTATTTTAAAGCAGCTCTACAGGAATTAAATCATCAAATTTTATCAAAAGAAGAATCACACATTTAACCGCCACCTACATTCCAATTGTTACGAATTCTCATCAGTAAATTATCAAAATCGTGTGCAGTCTGCACTGTTTTTATCGTAATTAATTACGTGATACAATTGTTCACGTACGAAGTACAGGTACTGAATCGTGTTATGTAAATTTACGTTTGTATCCGGCTGCGACCTCCAGAAGGTCTTCGGGTATGGAGTGACTCCATGCATCGATGGGGCGAGGTGGAGCGGGCGGCTCTTCTCTCATATTGGAAGTGAAAGTGAATGAATGTCGGAGGCTTAATTAGAGACGACGCTTGTGCTTGCGCCAGTTCCTCTGAATCCGTCGCGTTCGACACACACCTTGCGTACCCTCAGACGTGTGCACTGTACGCGCACGACTCTCGCACGCTAGCACAGCAACCACTCCGTACACCCCACAGAGGTACGCACGTGTATTACTGTTCTAGTGCTTAATTATAACCATTGAAAATTATTTGTTATATTGTCCGTTAGGATGTATGTACAGGTTTGCAACAAGTGTGTTTTTTATTATAACATAACTAGATTAGTGGATTTTATATTGATTTACGGTAAATGACAAAATATTGTCAAAGTTAGTAATTTCCTATATCAAAGTGATATACGTATATCGGCAGCTTGCAAGAACTTGGAATATAATTTAAAATTAAGTGACTCTATATAAAATAAATATTTCAATATACCTAATTAATAATTGTTTCTAAAGTGATAATATCTGCAAAAAATTTGTCAATTTTATCTAATGGATATCGAAAAGAAATGTATAGGCAATTGACATAATACGGAACCCCGAGGCGTCGAGGCGCAACGAAGCTTTCCGTACCATAAAATGCGTCCCAAATCGACGATTTCTCGCGTAGAGCGCCTTTTCACGCAAACGTTTAAATGCAGCAAGGAGGTCAGCGAATCGGGTTTTGCTTTCACAAACACAACAAAATAAATTCATCTCACGTATCGATTGTCCTCGAACACCGTGGACTGCATAAGTAAAAGAAAGCGAACTCATTAACAGATGCGTGAATCTGATGACAACTTTCGTTGCAAGAAAGCTCATCTCAGAAAATTATAAACGTCGCTAATTCATTCGCCGTGTCTCGTAACTACATCTCATCATTCACGATTACACAGTCGTGACTTCTCTTTTAAATATAATGCACATCACTAGTTTGTTTATTTTTACATAGGAAATAGGATTATTTAGAAATTCGAATTATATAAAATGAGTCCAATGATTTTTGAAACTTCCTATTTTCAATATGTTTTATGATGTGATAATTTTTTACGATTAGTAATTGAGGCAGCTTTACGCGCGTTGTTGTCGTTTGTCTTACGACGTTTAAACGAAGATCTTTCAGTCTAAAAAAAATAAAATTGATAAATTCTTTATAATTAAAATTAAAGTTTTAGTTAATAAAAAATTAAAACAATTGAACTATATTATTCATATAACAGTAATTTTTGATTTATATATATGTAACTCGTATGTGATAGTTAAAAATCAACAACACAAACTGATTTGTAGGAAGTTTAATTTTTTAGGTGTAGTCTCTACAGTGTCATACCAATTACCTATACATTTATATGTCCATAAATATGTTTAATTAAATTTAAATCATTCTAATTTTTTTATCTGACAAAGCCCAAAGGACAGTTATTATGATCTGTTTACTTGTTACGGAATTTATAACTACCTACTCTATTATTACACGTTCAGATGAGCCGGCACACATGCCTGGCGGCCGCGGCGCTGCTGGCGGTGCTCTGCGTCGCCGACGCCCAGCGGCGCTTGGCCCTGCCTGACCCCAGGAGTTGCGCTAACAGTACGTATATCACAGTTACACGAACATATTAAGTAATTACACAGGCACCAGTCTTTCAAACTTGCCTATTCCTACAAGAATTAAAATTAAATTACATAACCACGTAGATTTAAAAAAATATTAATAATGATTTATGTTATAGTTGATGATTGAATATCGCTGTAAACAAAGTAATTTGTTATGTAATATTTTGGTGTGCTTTGGGATAGAGAAAGGTATTGCGTTCGAGAAACGTCGCTACTGGGGTCATTTTAATATAATAGCATGCACATAACACACAATATTATTACAATAACATGTTTTCTACGTCCTTTCTTGCACAATTATTCACGTGAAGTATGAAGAGCGGCAAAGTGACTGGTGGATCACCTTGCATCTTAATTGCTTTGCCAAATACTTTTTGATGATCCTCGCTAATCCTTTCTAATGTACTCACGACTTGCTGTATCCATTAAGTATTTGTAATTAATAACTGCCCTCTAAATTTACATAATTTACGATATATATGCCTACAATATCTATATTAATACTATAAAGAGGAAAGATTTTTTGTTTGTTTGCTTGTACCAAGTAGACTCCGAAAGTACTGAAACGATTTAGATGAAATTTGGTAAGAAAATATTTTGAGAGCTTGGAAAAGACATAGGATAGTTTTTATCCCATGAATCATCCCTTAAGGTGGTGAAAATGGAATTAAAGTTTGTATGGGAAAGCAACCTAGGAACGAACCCAAGCCGAGTGAGGGTGAGTCGCTAGTAATTTATAAAAATGAATTATAACCTATCTCATATAGTTAGTCCATAACTTAAATAACTTAATGTCTATATCTTCATAATTTTTAACAATCATATCTATAGCATTCTAAACGGTATGGGAAACAATTTTTTATCTTTATTAAGATCGCTACATATGTACGTATTGCGTACTACACGTAGATTATGTTGTAAGTTAGGGCGGTTCCCGACACCGCGATATGGGAGCGCGCTGGTGTAACAATTGACCACCGGCCGGCACAAAGCAACAATGAAGCTTTTGTCATATCCAGTATAACCAAATGTATATAGCATTTGTTAGTTTTAGTTTACCCACACCCAAAAAAAATCTTCCTTCAAAAATGTAGTGTCATATTCAACATTTCATTTAATTGTAATAATATCATCATCTACAATTCATACTGTTAAAATGGCATCACTCTTTAAGCAAAATTGGTCAAAGACTCTTCAATAATTAAAAGTTAATATATCTACTATATATGAAACAGGTAGGTAATAAATGTGGGGTACATTTACCTATTACCTACCTGTTTCATAAATCGTAAAGACTACTAAAATTATCTTAATTATATTTCTTAAAAATTATTACGTTTCTCGAAGGTGAGTCAAAATCATTTTAAGGTTGAAGTATTTACCTCCAACTTTCTCTTCATATTGAAATGTTATTACGCTTGTCAAATAACGGATGCAACTTTTCACTTTTCAATAACGAATAAAAATATTTTTAAACGCGTACACACAATTATGTAATTTATTAAACAACATGATAACAAATAGGCAATATGTAAACAACATTTTGGTGACAGTACTAAAATTTTCTGTATTTCCATAAGCCGTTATGTAAAATTTTATTCGTTAACATTACTACGCGTTTCTCGTTTCCGGATTTGTGTATGGGTAATTATTTTCTGTAAAGATGTGCAAAAAGCGAAATGTAGGTACTCAAGGAGGGGTCACAATAGACACTTTCTAGTTACGAAAGAGACGCTCCATTGCTCGATTTGACGATAGGCTTGTTTTGATTTTGCGGCTTTTCACTAACCATTGCCACCGTGTCTGATATTAAAGCGAGAGTTTAATAGCTTTCATTTAATTATTATTGAACTATAGCAAAAACTCATTTGTTTAATTAATATTCGCAGTCTTTACCTACTTTTTGTACCTTGAAAATATTTTACAATATATTATAGTAAAAAAATACTTATTTCATGTCCCTACTATATTATTGCAATAAGTAGTAATTGACGTCTAAACTTATCTATAGGTATATTATAAGAAATTAAATTCTTATAAAAATTGAACAAGAAGTCCAAACTTACCTGTTTATTGCCTACTTCTGTAGTACCACTCATATTTTCTAGGATAAGTGCTTTCCATTTTAATTTGTGTAGCTCTTGTTGTTTCGACTAACTTTCATTAAAATAAAACATCAGAACTCTAATTGCAAAATCTTCTATCTACCTAGAAAAATTATTAAAGTCAAATTAAATGTTTCCAAAGTTATTTTAATTTCAATGACATGGGTAGTCGGTACTACCTACTATAGTAGTATCTTAAGTATTGGAATAAAAAATTAAAGTTGCTCCATTGCTGATGAATCACAACACAAATGTACTTTCGCATTTATAATCCAAAAGCAAATGATTTTAATTCTGAAATATAAAAATAATTATTCTTATTAAATAATTCACATCACATTATTATAAGATTTATAGATATATTTAAAAAATTAACAAGTCCGAATATAACCTAAAACCGAATAATAATACCAAGATCAAGTCAAAGTCAAGATGATTTTTATCCTACTAATATTATAAATGCAAATGTTTGTGAGGATGTATGGATGTCTGGATGTGTAGAGCTATGGATGCTTATTACTATTTTACGCAAAATCTACTAAATGGATTTTGCTACAACTTTACATTAATAAAGTTCATACATCAGAATAGCACATAGGTTAATTTTTAATAATGAAAAATGTATGTTTCACGTGGGATAGATTTGTTTTTGTTTTTCTAAAGGCGAACCCGAGCGAAGCAAGTGTGAGCCGCTGGTGTAAAAATAAAATAAGAATTTATTTTTAACGTTAAATTACTTGAAAGGAATAGGTAGTATTCCGATATTGTATTTAGATTCTACAAAAAAATATTTTATTTATTATTGATAGGTATTGGAAGAATCCTACGATGGATGGGTTTTGCTAATACTTTTGCTTGTTAGTATTTTTGACAGTTGGTACATAATTAGTATACAAAGTATAAAGTGTAATATTTCCAGCTGAGACATTGTAATATAGTAAACGTGTGAACCATTGTGCGAATCTTAAAGCTGCGTGTGAGGATGTTCATAAGCAACACAGTGTCGCAACTCGCAATATGACTGCAGGAGTATGTCGTCAGCGCTTAACTATGATTTTACAATGCACTTACTGGTCTCTGGAATGTACTCTCAAATAGTTATTTCAATTACTTTTAGCCTTAGTACCATTACGCAATGGCTTTACATTCGGATCAATACGACCTCTATTGTGAAGTAACCAAGATGCCCAATTACATGCTCACAAGAAGTTTAAATTCATTAAATAATTATTTACAATGTTATACTATGTAATATTTTACTAATTGAGTAACATAGTAGTACTGAATTGCCCAGTGGTAAAGCGCTCGCTTGGGAAACGGGTTCAAATCCCGAATCGCAGATCCCTGATATTTTCATGTGCGAATCATTTTCAACATGAGTGTGGCTTATCTTTCGGTGAAGGCAAACATTGTGAAGAAACCTGCATGTCTGAGAGAACCTAGCAAGTTTTCGAAAGGGATGTGAGGTCCGCCAACCCGCACTGGGCCAGCGTGGTGGACTTTGGTCTGATCCCCCTCATATTAAAGAGAGACCCGTGCCGAGCAGTAGGGCGTTAAAAAGGGCTGAATACGATAATACGATTCAATATGAAAAACAATTAAATCATGTGGGTTTATCTTAATTACTCCTTTTTATAATATCAGTATAAACATTCATATAGAGTTAACTAAATTCTATTGAAATCGCAAAAGTATTAACTTATAATATGTTTCCACATTTCATTACCAAAACTTATAAAGAAATCTATTTTAGTATAATATATAAGTAGTATACCAACTTTCTTTTAATTACATATTTAATAGATAGGTACTCGACAAGATTTCTACTTTATTGATTTTTAATTATAATTTTATTAAAAATAATACATACATATTTTATAATAATACTAAGTATTAAATATTTGTTTTATTGTTTATAATGTAAAATATGTCCCGTTTAGGAGTTCGTCACTCAACTTACCGCGACGGACGTGGTGTAACACATTCATACTTCTTCAGTTGGGAACATGCTCCTACTCGTAACCTCGAAGTAGATTGGCTCGATGCAAGAAACATTTGCAGACGGCACTGCATGGACGCCGTTTCGCTAGAAACCCCACAGGTAAAAATATTGCTTTGTCTTTTTGTTGTTTTTGTTTATTGTTACACTATAATAATTAATATTATACAGAGGTAAACATTGTAAATTTGAATGTAGGGGTCATTTCTAAAAGTATTGATCCGATTATAATCTATACATATAATAAAATTGTAACTAAGACGAATTTGTACATTAAATAGTTTTTGGAAAATCTTATTGAAATAGACATTACTATCGATACAGAGGCCGAATCTATAGTTTTTAGAATTTTTGTGTGTCTGTCTGTCTGTTACCGCATCACAGAAAAACCACTGGAGAGATTTTGATTATATTTGGTATGGTGATAGCTGGTTATCCGGGTCAACATATAGTATACTTTTTACCGCGGGAAGATATCTCATTTCTGAGAAAAAATGAAAAACTGCGATGTAAGAGTATACTAATATGTAAAACCTAAGAATTTGGTTTTGGTCATCTGAACGCGGGCGGAACCGCGGGTAATGCTAGTACCTATATAATTCTTTTGCTACATTACCTCATAGTGCTATTTTTTCCGTTATAGAATATGTTTATTGTCAAAAATGAAAAATCATGATACTAAAATATGATGTTAAAGTTTAAAAAATCTTTGAGTTGTTTTATGATTGCGCTGCCTAAACAATTTAAAATAAAGCAAATTGTATGGCAGAAAGACACTCGGGGCCGCACCCGAGCGAAGCGAGGCGCTACTGAATAAAATTCGTTGTTCACACATTTTCGATTTTAACATAAACATGCTAGGTGCTCTTTATAACGGTCATAATCGAGTTTGGATGGTAAGTATAGGTACTAATCGTTACTTATAATTAAAAAAAGCTCATGAAACATTTTTATTTTTTAAACTTTATTATTTAAAACTGATCGAAACAGGTGATAACTGACTTCGAAATTGTTCCGAATCCATTATATAATTGCAGCGATCTATTTATGACGAGTCAGTGAACATGGACGTAGTATCCGTAATCCCTTCACAGATATCTTACATCACGTAACAGGGTCAATCGTGATGATGCTCTCACTTTCCCATCGTTAAACAAATGGCCAGTAGGTACACAATTTAGAATGTGGCAATTGCAATTTATATTTTGCCATGACGAAATAGATTGATTTAAAAAAAGTAGGCTTTAATGACCGCGAATAATTTACCAAGACCTTCATAGTTAGTCACGACTTCATTATTATGAAGTTCCATGGTATAAAGGATTAAGGGTTCATTTTATAATCCAAGTCACGATTGTCCTTTGTTGCAAACAAATTTTGATACGATCCTCTCAAATAAATATTTTAAACTTGTTTGCTGGAAACGTAGATAGTAAGTTTTACAGTACCTAAATTCTAAATATACCTAGCCTATACATAATATAATAAAATTGTAATTAAGTGGAATCTGTACATTAAATATTTTTTGGAAAATATCATTGAAATAGGTATTATTAACGGTACAGAGGACGAATCTATAGTTTTTAGAATTTTTGTCTCTCTGTTACCGCATCACGGAAAAACCACTGGAGGGATTTTGATGAAATTCGGTGTGGTGATAGCTGGTTATCCGGGTCAACATATAGGATACTTTTTACCCCGGGAAAATGTTTCATTTCTGAGAAAAAATACAAAAAAATGCAACTAAGAATATGCTAATATGTAAAACCTAAGAATTTGGTTTCTGTTCATCTGAACGCGTGCGGAGCCGCGGGCAATGCTAGTTACTAATAAAGGTACTATTGATATCTTATAGCCTATATTTTTTATTTTTTTTATCAGTTTTGAAAATAATATTCTTCATCTGATTTTTGTAAACTATGCTATTAAACAAGTGATGCTTATTATTTTTCTAACTTACTTTATGTTAGAAAGATCAATTCGGGTTTTTATTAGTTGTTGATTTCTTAAGTGGCTTTTTTATAGTAACTAAAGTAGTTGCTTACAATGCTCTGTACAATGTACCTACTATTGCCTCTCTACTAATTACTTTATCGTCTGTGGATACTTTTATTTTAACTCTACCGATCGTTTGTTCATTTTCCGACTCTCGTAGGGAACTACGGAACCTGCTCGCGGTTATAATCCCATAATAAATGTATTAAAAATACCCTAATTAAATTTACTGTATTGAATTATAGGATTTCATATTTTTATTAAATAGTATATATGTATGTTATATATAAAGATATAATTCACCCTTAAACTTGTTTTTTTTATTTTCATAACAGGTTAATTTATTCAACTCATTTCGTAAGTGGTTAAGTTTGACTTAAAGCATCTAAGTTTAATACCAAGAAACTGTACCTACAATTTGCATGTATTGAGTAGGCACGTATACAAGATTTCTCCAAGCACTTCCTACCGCGTTGCGAGACGTCAATGATCGCAAAATTCTCATTGTTTTATGTTACCTTCCTATTATTGGAGATTAAGTAACAAATTAATTTACTTTCTGTGGGAATACGTGATTAAAGAAGAGTAGTACTTAGCGTTTGAGTGTAGTAAATTTAACAACAATGAACAAATTGAAGTAAACATTAATATTTATTATGATGCGTCAACTAGATTGATTAGGTTTGTAGAGCGTGGCTAGCGTCCGAGAAAGGGGTGCAATGGCCGAGTGCGGACTCATAAGGCACTCGCGTCGTACAAGTAGAACACGGCATACATTCTTCTATAGCCGTATTGCCCACTTCATGTACCGGATGCGTATGACGGAGGTGCATTTCCCGTCACAATTCCTTAATTACTGTCCAATATGACTAGCGCATCTATACGATTCTTAGGAAGCTCACTTTTATTTTATTTACCTTAATATTAAATTTTTAGACCCTAAATACGCATTACTGTAAGAGAAAATAATAAACTACAATTTTATAATGTCTACAATTATTTTTAGTACAATTTTATTTAAATTATAGACGACCATTATCGATCTCTAATTCCAATGCTTGCTTGAGCAATTATTGAGCTTAGTCTGCCTTTAAATTACCTATCTTAAAAATGAGACATGTAGGTAAGTTATATATAATATGAGCGTCTATATCACTTTACCCTAAGAAAGGAAACGATTTCCACGGATTAATTGAAAATTTGTAAGTTCTATTAATAATAAAGTTTTAACATAACAAACATACATCATCTACCTATTTTACAATTGAACCGAAGTCAAAAATGTTGTTAAAAACCAATTAAATAATAAGGATGTAAGGGCGAAAGGTAGTTAAGTAAATTTTCTCCACAGGAAAACGAGTTTGTGAAGCAAAAGATTGCTCGCGCTAGTATCCGATACATTTGGACTTCCGGGCGTAAGTGCAACTTCGCCGGGTGCGACCGACCTGACTTGCAGCCCCCTAATGTCAACGGCTGGTTCTGGTCCGGGTCAGGCGCTAAGATCGGGCCCACCCTGCAACGCAACACTGGCGACTGGTCGTACACTGGCGGTTACGGTCAAGCCCAGCCCGACAATAGAGAAGCGGCACAAGTTAGTATACATCATTTGTATTTCATAATTTTAACTCAGTTATGTTAATCGTTTCTAGAGAATTGATAAGAAGTACTTAACTAAAAAAAGGAAAAAAAAAAGATAATACTTTAAGAAAAGATATTGGTCCCGCTGAGTTTCTTTCGCCAGATCTTCTCAGGTCTGAGGCTTCTTCTTTCCGAACTGGTAGTAGACTCATGACGTTCAGTAAAAAATTGTAATAATTTAATGCTGAATAAAATATTTTGATTTGATTTGAAGCATTGACTTTTCTGTATCTAACGGAATACTTCATAATACCTACTTCATACGATTCATAACGGTACAAGAGTATATGCCCAGTGCCAATGACGTAAACAAGACAAGGTGTAGATTTCTATTTAGATATTAATATAGGTACAAGTGGCTACCTAGAAAGTTCGATTTATTATGTTTTCTAATATATCAACTGCCCTTTGTTTTAATTAATGCAGAAATGTTTAATAATTAATCAATAAAAATATTTTTAATGTTTAAAACTAAATTCTACTCATTTCTACTTTTTTTGACTAATTATAAATAATTATTACATTTTTCATAATATTTTACTTTATACCCGACTGCGGCGAAGCCCAACAAAGGTTATGTGTTTGACCTGTATGTGTGTATGTCCGATTCTATGTTCCAACATGTTGTTGCTTAACCAATTTTAATGAATCATACGTTATTACATTTGTTTTGATACCGCGAGTGTATGTAGGTTTTAAAGATATTATTAAACATCAAAATGGCAGATTACAGGCGCCGATTTGTGTATTGAAAAAAAAAATTCTAAACCTGATAGTGGGATTTAAATGAAGATTTTTAAGAGGCGATCACAAAAATATATACCCCTTAAATGTTTAAAAGTTAATTAAATAAAATGAAGATTATTAATTATTAAATAAAACTCCAAATGTTTAAATGGCCAAAACTAAAAGGCTGTAAATAAAAATATAAATTGTAAAAATAAAAATCGGACTGCGTAAAAAATAAACTGCAAAAATGAAAACAAGTTGTAGAAATAACATAGTAAGTATTATGCAATCAGAGACACGATTAGGAAGACAAGTAATATAAGTACTTCTCCGGCTGCATAGTATGTATTATTTTATTTCAACAACATTGTTTCTATCTTTTCAGTCTATCGCAGGCAGGTTATTTGTATATATTTTTTTTCTACGATTGTACATATTATAACCTTACTTTCAGGGTAACGACGAATCTTGCTTGGCAATCCTGAACAACTTTTACAATGATGGCGTCAAATGGCACGATGTGGCCTGCCACCACGTCAAGCCTTTCGTATGCGAAGACAGCGATGAGCTTCTCAACTTCGTGCGCTCTCGCAACCCCGGTCTGCGCCTTTAAAATATTACTCCATTCAATGAACGGACGGGTCCAATTGTAATGTATCCTCACATAAAGGATTGTTTGAGGGATTGGATCCGACTCGATCTTCTCCTCCTTTGCCTTCTAAGCTCTTAGATGGCTGACATTGTACAAAAATTGAATGGCTTTCTCTATTTAAGTTATTTATTGAATGAAAATAATATTATTTTTTAAAAGGCGTGATAATTTTCACTCCATGTAACAATGGAAGATTGCGATTTTAATTGTAATATTTTCATCTTGGTCAGTCATATTTTTTTTTTTGTAAAAAGGTATTGCACAATAGGATTAACTTATAAATATTAGAATAAATCATTAATATATTTTTAAACAAGCTTTTATATTTATTTAACCTTTCCCATCCTCTTTTAAGTGTATAAATGAAACTCTTGTATTCATTTGATTTTTTATTTATATCAAAAAAAAACTTATTCAGAAACATACATTCCAGATCAGTGCAAGTTATAAAAACTCGCAATTAAAAACGATACTAAAATCTTAATACAAAAGCTTAATAAAAAAGTTCAGTCTTCATTTAAATAATTATATTTTTATTACAAGCCGTTAAAATAGTCCGAACGGTATGAATGGAGTTACTAGAAAACAAATTACATAGAGGCTACAGCCCGCATCAAGTGTGCACATGATTTCACAAAGCGTACGTAATAACATATATATAATTATAAAATTCATCAAACCCCCATCACAAATGGATAAGCTTATGTTAAAATATAATATCCATTTTAATTTATTTAAGAAAATTTACGTAAAATGTATTTATTTGGTAAAAACTGTAAAACCGAGTTTTGTATGACGCCGGCGACAGCACCGACTTGTATCGTACGATAAATCGTCATGTCAATATTATCTACTTAGCCTACTTATATAGAATGTAATAAATAACTTCTAAGTTAAAAAAAGTAAACAACACAAAAATAAGAATATGCATAAGAATTAAGAAATACAACGATAATTTTTTGCCACAAGAAATTATATAACACAATAATAGTACTTAGAAATGAGATGTAAAATAATTCAATTTACAATTTAATTCATGAAATGATCTTACAATACATCATTTAGTGAAAGTAAATTAAAACAACACAAAAACACAAATTAAAATTTACGTAAGGCACAGGATTAGAAAACATAAATGTGCATTATTACATTTTGTCTACATTTGTGAATTAATCAAACATTTTATGTACATAGATTTAAAATCGCACAAAAACTCTTACTCCATAAAACACAATGTATTTCACCTAACAGAAATTACTTACTTTTTTAAATATATAAACATTAATTCAGACTTTTTACAAACTGTTAATCATTGAAATTAATTGTTTGTAATCATTCCTTTGTAGTTTAACCTGTAGCATTCAGAAGACAATATCTGAGAACTGTCACTAAGCTTTTTATAGCTTAAATTATTAAATATATAAATGTAATACAAAATAATATAATATTTATAAACATATACCTACTACTAAGTATATGAAAAGTATTTAACTAGCGACTCACCCTCGCTTCGCTCAGGGTTCGTCTCTAGGTTGGATCCCCATATCAACTTTCATCATTTTCAACCTCTTAAGGAATGATTTCCGGTATAAAAACTATCCTATGTCCTTCCCAAGATCTAAAACTATCTTCTTACCAAATTTCATCTAAATCAGTTCAGTAGTTTCGGAGCCTATTCAGTACAAACAAACACACAAAAAATCAAATATTTCCTCTTTATAATATTAGTATAGATGAAAGCTCAAATTTACATACTGGGTAGGTAACGTAATATTTACCGTTATTTTACTTCTAAAATTGAGGGTCCATACAATATTATCAAAACAACAACCAAAGCGTCATAAATTCCAAAATAATGAAATCATAACCGATAACATTAACATCCTATAGATGCGGTATAACTTTCAAATTCAAATAAGATGTAAATTTAAATAATTTGCACTGTAAGTGAAAAGAAAAAAATAAATTAAAATAATAATTAAAAATAATTTGCACTACAAGTGAAAAATAAGTAAGAGCCTTTTAAGGACATGTTATTGACCTAAAAATAACAAGTTTATAATGCTTTGGTTATATGACCTCTACAGCAAATAAGGTCTTCATTTAAAAAAAAATATTGAAAAATGGTTAAATTCCAATTACAAATGTGAAGTGATGTCATGATGAGTTTATTAAAAAACAAACTTGTTTCTTTCTAAATGTTACTGGGCTACTTTCTAAATACTTTTCCTTTTGCGTCTGTTTGTCATAACACAAATATATTAAACTTGATTTATATTTTACAAATGTTATACGATAAAATATCTTCTTTAATAGATCAAAGATGTTGATATCATCAATAATTAATTACCACTTATAAACATAATTACTTCACCAGGTTTCAAGTAAAAGATAACTTGCGATTGCTTTTATCGCTTTTAATAGCAGAATGTGTATGAACAGTGATTTTTTTGACGTGAAACAAATTTTCAATTATGTGTCATCATGTCATGTGTGCCACCAATATCATGAAATTATATCTTCTACAATCTACATTATACCGATATAGGATGTTACTTCGTTTCACATTTAATTTTGAATGTTCCGGGCATGAACGAATTGGTCAATTCGTTTATGGTTCCGGGATGTCGATAAAAATTAAAGTATAAAATACGTCTATGTGTACATGCAACTTTCGAACAACTTCATCTCCCTAAGGTTAGCAAATGTCAGAACATATTAAGTATTACAAATAGTTTAAGATGCATTAATATTGCATGTCTATAAATGTAGGTCAAGTAATTTAAAGTCATAGTTTCTCAATAGTAAGAAGATGTCGTCGACTCGTATTGAAACATTTTTAGTATTCTAAATAACTAAAACACTTATTAGTACGAAAAACGGAAAACTATAATAGCTATTACTAAAGCAGTACGATCACGGTATGAGACGGTACAGTGGGCAGACCCTATAATCGTCCATCACTCGCTGGTGCCGAGTGGTGTGTTCAGGAGGCGGAGAGGCAGGCGGTGTCGGCGAGTATGGCGGAGAGCAGCGGCTTGTCCCGCAGCGCGGCCGCCAGCTCGGCCTCGTCCCACTGCAGGCGCAGGCGGCGGCCGCGCGCGCCCGCGCCCGCGCGCAGCCGCACCGCGCCGCGCGCCTCCAGCAGCGCGCACGCGCTCGCCACCTCGCCCAGCTCCAGCGCCGCGATGTTGCGCGCCGCCGCCACTCTGATACATACACAACACGATACAGTATTCGAACCAATGAAAATATACATCAAATTGTTGTTAGCTTTAGCCAAATATGTATGTTGGTTAATTAAAATAAAAAAAAATTAATGAGATTTTTTAAGAAATTATAATAAAATTCTAACTAAGCCGAATCTGTACATTTAATATTTTTTTGGAAAATCTTATTGAAATTTACATTATTATCGATACAGAGGCCGAATCTATAGTTTTTAGAATTTTTGTCTGTCTGTCTGTTACCGCATCACGGAAAAACCACTAGAGGGATTTTAATGAAATGTGGTATGGTGATAGTTGGTTACCCAGGTCAACATATATGATACCTTTTACCGCGGGAAAATACCTCGTTTAAGAGAAAAAGTACTAAAACTGCAATGTAATAGTATACTAATACGTAAAACCTAAGAATTTGATTTTTTTATCTGAACGCGGGCGAAGCCGCGGGCAAGCAAAGAAAATTACAAATATACTTAATTATATATACAAAACAAATGTACACTTAGTCATTACTGTACAAGTCATGTCCGCGCGAAATAGTGGCAAGAATGCTAGCTAGCCACATTCCCCCGTTTGAGTGGCAATGACGATTCTTCAGGCGAAAAATGCGCCAAAAATTGTTATTTGAAATAATTGAATTTTAATGTTTAACCACGTGATTGAAAAAACACGGGAATTGCTGAATCTGGAATGACGTCACTTGATTGTTCAAAGTAAACGTCAGTCAAAGTTTTGTACAGTGCAATAAACAGGTGACAAACAGGTGATGTTATACCATCACGTGATCTACAAGAATGGCGTGTTTAGAGTGTTGGACTTTTCAACCGACTTCAAAAAGGAGGAGGTTCTCAATTCGACTGTTTTTTTTATTTTTTTTATTTTTTTTTTATGTTTGTTACCTCAGAACTCCGTCATTTATTAACCGATTTGGACAATTTTTGTGTTGTTTGAAAGTGTATACTTCCAGATTGGTCCCATTTAAATTTCAAAAAAAAAATACCACCCCTAAGGGTGGAAAAATAGCTAATGATGAATTTAACCTACTGCTAATTGTCATATTGACTTGGAACTTTGCAAGTGTTTCTATTTCCGTTGATAGTACAGTGGTTCAGTATTGTTGACCTGATCTGATGGTAAGGCCAGAAGGTGGAACTCTTCAACGGCTAATAGTAGATACTTTGAGTTTGGGCTTATTTTGTTTTATTTGACAAGCCTAACACGTTAAAATTCGTACTTTGCTACTAATGTCTACACTAAAAAGGGAAAAATAAAAACTTTTTAACAAAAAAATAAAAACCGACTTCAAACAAAAGCACTAAAAAGTAAAAAATAACTAATTGGTAGTTTTCATTTACTATACATACCTAATCAAATATTTTCGAAGTCGGTGTGCTTTGCTTTGTATGGGCTGGCACCGATTTCGAAAATATTTGATTAGGTATGTATTTAATAGGTAGGCTTTAATTACTTAGCCAAAGAAACCTGACACAAGATGGCACAACGTTCTTCATGAAAATTGATATATTTTTGATAATCTTTATATATGGAGGGTACTTCTACCCTCCATACCTTTATATTTAGCAACAATGGGGAAGAAATTTGTCTTTACTCCCGCCAGATGTCGCGATCACTATGATCCTCAGTATATTGTAAAGCTCTATAGTGTGGATGGAATTTTTTACATTTTATTTTTAAAATTTAATTAAAATGACAAACTGTGCAGTGCATCCAATGATATTTTAAAACTTCCACCAATATTCATTGATCAACCTGCAAATAAATAACTTACCTTTTATAAACATCGTGAAGTTTCCCCAACACAATATCTTTATTTTTCCCTTTAGTTAGCATTAACATTAGGCTACATAATATTAATTTCTGTTGCATCGGCAATCCTTCTTCCACATCTGTTTCGATCTTTCTAGAACCTCCATATATGTCATTCAAAATTTCTAATACTTGTTTCAATTCCACTGTAACCGATGAATCCTTCATCATATTGTCAACTGATTGATTTTCGGAAAATTTACTACGTCTTGCGAGTTCAATAACCCTCCGTCCTATATCTAAAGCTCTTCTCATATCTCCCGAAACTGCGGAAATTTTAGCTGCAAAAGTGTAAAGTCGGTAATTAATAATTATTATCGTTAACTGTTATAAGGTACTATTAGAATAATCCAGTTTTTCCCAGCGATTTCTTTGTGATTTGACTTAAATCACAAATAAATTTTTTGTACATACATATTTTATAAGAATAAATTATTAAAACGCCGAAACATGTTTCTAAAAGCATTACAATTTTCCTCAAAAAATGTACAACAATTTACACATACCTGCGAGCATCTGCAAGGCGACGGGCGAGAAGACATTGGTAGTGTCCTCGGTGGCGAGCACACTGGTGAATATGTCGATGATCTGGTGCTTGGTGTAGGGCGCGAAGTGTAGAGTGGCGGGCGCGAGCGCACGCGCCTGCAGGCGCGGCAGCGCGCGCTGCGTGAGGTCCAGCGCGTTGGCCACGCCCAGGAGCACCAGCCGCGAGGGCCGCGCCGCCCACTCGAACACCGTGTACAGCACCGCCTGCCGCTTGCTGTCCAGCTGGTCAATCTCATCCAGCACTAGCAAACTGAAATTGTATTATCACTAATTATCCTGTAACGTTTAATGGTTTTATTACAGTGCCCATTGATTTTAGCGGAATTGCTGTCACCTGTCAAAATTCTAAATATTTTATTCAGCACTAGCATTGCCCGCGGCCCCGCCCGCGTTCAGATGACCAAAAACCAAATTCTTAGGTTTTACATATTAGTATACTCTTACATTGCAATTTTCGTATTTTTTCTCAGAAATGAGACATTTTCCCGCGGTAAAAAGTATCCTATATGTTGACCCGGATAACCAGCTATCACCATACCAAATTTCATCAAAATCCCTCCAGTGGTTCTTCTGTGATGCGGTAACAGACAGACAAAAATTCTTAGAACTATAGATTCGGCCTATGTATCGATAATTATGTTTATTTCTATAAGATTTTCCAAAAAATATGTAACGTACAGATTCGACTTAATTACAATTTTATTATATGTATAGATTAAATTATTACAATTTTTTACTGAACGTCATGAGTGTACTACCAGTTCGGAAATAAGAAGCCTCAGATCTGATAGGAACTGGCGAAAGAAACTCAGCGGGACTTTTGTTATCTTTTTATAAATTTGAAATGCATATTGCATAGGTTGCCAAAATATAAATTTTCCTGGCGGTTTTGAAGCAAAAGCTACAGTGTTATCTCGTGGTTAGTTATCATCATCTAGCTGTTTTTCGAGTCATATAAAAGTAAGTCGGGTGCGCCTCTACCTTTTCTAATCCCGCTCGCCTATGATTGTACTATTACCCTGCCTTTGATTAAATTATGATATCAGTAAATATAATATGTTACTCCCAAATTATGTCATTACTACTGGATTTATTTTAATATTTGTTGCATATTTTTATTTATGAACCTAATCCTCCAGGTTCAGGTACAAATGTACAAAAAGTTTAATTCCATATAAATAAAATACAGAAAATATCAAAACTTACATCATTTTATGTTTTTTAACTAGGAATTTTTCAATAGCGCTCAAAGAGGCTTTCTCACTAGTGCCTGAAGTTGGTAACTGTAACTCTTTACAAATCCGGCTATAAATACTTGCAGCTGACTTCATCATAGTACAATTTATATAGACTTGTTTAAACCCTTCCTTAATCTGAAATTGATATGAAATCGCAATTATTATCTAATGCTATTGCTATTGAAAATGAGTTTGTAAATATGGAGTCCATACTCACTTGTCACACTATGAGATAAGTGAGTACATAGGAATACAGATTTATTTAAAGTTAGACTACCTTTGGTAATTGTAGTATATACGTCAAACTTGCTGTCTTCCCAGTTCCAGGTTGTCCAGAAATATATAAAGATGCAGATTGCTCCTTGTCAAGATGTGTTATTAGAAAATTTTCCATCCATTCAATTTCTTTTTCTCTGCTTACTAATGGCTTTAAAGCTGATGTTTTGTGACTATTCCTGAAAATATATCATAAATTTTTATTAATTGATGGAAGTCATAATATAGACCCCCCTCGAAATTTTCGATGAGAGCAGCAGTAGGACGATAAAAAGGGCCGAGTAGAGATACAAATATACATTAAAGACGAGTTACCATGCTGCTTTAGCCAAGACAGAAATAAGTTAACAAATACTCACTCATTCAAAAACTTTGGTTTGTCCTTTGTAAGACTACAAGCAAGTTGTTTCCTTGCCATTTTTTTTGGAGAACACTTATCTGCAAAAGATCAAAGTAAATTATTATATGTATTTTTTGATACTGCTCATTGCTCAATATTAACTACAATTATGGCTTATCTTAGTTTTATATTTACCATCATTGGATTCCTCGCCATTTTTCCCCTCTTTAATTTGTCTGTTTAAAGTATTATTTGTCTCCTCAATATTTAATATATCTTTATTTTCATTATTTGTTTTATTTTTACTCCCATTCATATAAGTTCTCTTTCGTGACTTAAAAGGAATTGTGACCTGAAGTGTAGTCATCTGCAGAAAAAAAACTTGTGAATGCAATGTTTTAACAAACCGATTTTGTATTTATTTAAATACATATAAAGATTACCTTAAGAAGCCTTTAATGAAATATTAATTTAAGGATCTAGAATTAATAAAATAAAAAAAATATGTATTAAGTTTCATTTTTTATTCTTCACAATTGTAAATTACAAAAAGACATTATTTCATATTTAAATAATAAATTACATAATTAAAAATATAAAAATTAATACACATAACACTCAATTAGTTACATCATAATATGAAAATATAGTAAATATACAGACTAATGTCTAGTAACTTAATTATATTACAAATCAAAAATATCAATGTCACATTATATAAAAATATATTTTCATTAAATAACAATTATTTTAACTATGTACAAGTAATCAAAATGCTTAACACATAATAGTGTTAGTAATTATTTTGAATTATAAAGTAAATATTAGTACACATATTAAAAAAAACACAAATGTGATATTTTCATCAACAAAAATTAGTTGATTAATTTGAAATTCCATAAATATTGAACATACATATTTATGTAGACTGACTTATATGACCAGACAATTTTAAAATTCACACAACTTTTGAGCCAGGTAATTAAAGTAAATAAACTTAATAATATGTGACATTGGTCGCCAATTAATATAGAAAACCATTGAAACCTAAGTTATTGCTTATCTTTATTGTTAAAATTCTGAGCTTGGTGGGCCATATTAGACATATTTTTAAAAATATCGTAATTCCTTTGAGCCTTAAGCCAAGCATTTTGCATTTCCATTTGGTGCCTCAGCACTGCATGTGAAATCAGCTGTGATTGTGGAAGAAATTCAGTAGGTGTACTCATTTGGGGATTTAAACTCATAGGAGTGATTGGCTGTCTTATACCTGTTATTTTTCCTGTAGGCATCAATGGTTTAACTGGTTTCAATCCAGGTTTTGAAGGACCTGGTGATGGTTTGGGAGATTCAGTTTTTGTAGTGCTTGCATTTGGTAACTGAGTGCTTGTTATCTGATTGGATTGATTAATATTATTGTGATCTGTTGAACTACTAGCCTGTTTTTCTTCAGCGATTATTAACTTAGGAGAAGAACTTGGAGAGCGAGTTTGTGATCTAGGTGAAGGCTGCGTGTTAGATGGGGAGTTACTAGTATAACTCGGAGATGGAATGGTGGAACTTGCATTAAGTGCATGTTTAACTTGATTATTCCTTTGTGTAGACTCTTGTCTAGGAGAATTCATTTGTGATCCACTTTGATTAAGCTTATCGAGTTTTAATTGATTAATACTACTTGCACTTGGAACTCTTAAAGGTTGAGATGCAGTTGTTAAGGGCCTGTTCGGCATATTTGAAAATACATTAGGTTGTGACATAGCCAAAGGTAAACCTTTAGATGGCATACTTTGTTTTTTAGCCAAATTTGCGATAGATTGCATTGTCTCAAAAGCCTTAGTCTGTTGTGGACCTAATTGACTTTGTATGTTATGTGGTGTAGACAAATCAAGGGCCGTGCTTGTTTTGTTCTCTGCACTTGGTATGGATGCAGTTGCTTTGTTAATTGGATTATTAAGTTTGTTTGCAGCACTAAACGATTTTGGAGTAGCTGGAACGAGTTTCGGTACTTGTGTTTTAGTTTTAGGTAGTTTGGGTTTCTTATCAGTTTGCATTGATTGCAGTTGTTGTTCAAAAGTTTGTTGAAATGTGATAGGAGGTGAAAAATTGCCACTCTGTTTTCCTAATTTTGTATCAGCAATAGGTTTTAAATTAGGTACAGGGCCTTTGGCAGATGTTTCAGATGATTTTGTAGGTGGTTTTGAAGGTATTGTATTGTTCTCAGTCTTATTGGCATTCATTTTATCATTTGGGATCTCAGCTTTGTTTTGTTTTTTAGGATCACTATCAGGAAGTTTTAGTATCTCAATATAATTATGTACAGGTGGACTTGGTACTTTATGTGCACTAGTATTACTAGCAGTAGTAAGATTTTTATTTACTATACTTTTTTTAGGATCAGAACTGGATGGATCAGAGCAAGAACGAGGCTCTAATTTCTGATCTGTTAAAGTAATTGATAGAGAAGAAGGAATGTTAATTTTACATGAATCAAACAAAGATTTTAAGGGATCTCCAGAACTCTGACCTGGGTTTGAAATAGGAAGAGATGTTTTAACTTGTGATAATATTTTACTTCTATCTATTGTAGGGTCACAATTATTTGCTAAAAGATCCATTCTTAGTTTCCCCACAGCAGGTCCTTTATTATGGGTGGTTTGATTAACAGGTATACTTGGTTTTAAATCTGGCATTTTCTTGGTAGTGGGCTTAGGAGTTTCAATTGGCTTATGTATATTTGCATGATTTTCTTGAGGTTTTGGTATTTGTAACTTTAGAGGAGATACTGTCTTATGTACTATAGGTGGTGGCTGTGGTGTAACAGTTGGTTCTGAAGGTTTTCGTTTAGGAGATGATATGATTTGAGAAACTGGCACTGGTCTTTTTTGTCCAGGACTCTCTAGTTGCAGGGGGTTTGGAGATGGCATCGGTTGCTGTTGTTTTATATCTTTACCAGTTACTGAAGTATTTGTATTGGTAGTACTAGCATTGTTTGGAATAATTCCACTTGTTTTTGGAGTATCATCAAGCTTTTTATTTTTATTAGTATTATTTATATCTGAAGTTTTTAGAGTGTTAGGTTGCAAAGATTTTGCTGAAACCGTATGAGCAGTAACAGTTTGATTTAATGGCAACTTAGCCTTTTCTATCTCAATTTTAATCTTTTTCATCTCTGGCAATGTTTTAGAAACTTCATACTTTCTTTTTAAGCTCTCTTCAGTTTTTGTTGTACTAGGTACAGATTTGGTAGAGGGATTGTCATTACATGATGGTACCCCTTCCATATTATTAGATTTAGAAGGTGAAGATTTTGATGTTAAGTTATTTTTTGCTTGTAATTCAAATGAATTTAAAAATTGAGATTTCTCAACTTCATCATCATTTTTCTTTAAAGGGGAGGGAGGTCTCATATCATTACTAGAATTTGAATCTTTTGCCTCTCTTAGTTTTGGAACCAATGATTCATTCTTCTTATTCAAATCTCCTGCCTTTTTCATAAGATTCTCATCAGGCATAGGACTGCCGGCACCTGATGATGCTTCAGATATGTGATCATTAAGATTTGGTGTTGGGCTACTCACATTTGTATCTTCAGTGCAAGTAGGACTTGATTTTCTATCAGGAAAATGTGATCCTTTTCTATTTATATCAAACAGCCTATTTCTTATTGCAACATAATCAATAATTTGATAAAAAAATCTCATAGGCTCATTTCTCTTCCAATTGTATATATAGGCTATGTCCATTAAGGTATAATAGTCAGGCAAAGGTACTCTTTTATATAAAATGTCAATGGCAAATTGTGTACTATCAATATCAAATTTCATACTTAGAAATTTTTTAAGATGATTAATATTTACTACAGCAGGACATTGCAAATATCTTCTTGTAGTAGCTGAGAGTTGTTGAGGTTCATTGCTATCAGAAGATTTACTAGATATACTGTCCGTATCAGTGGCATCAGAGTATTCTAAAGAAAATGAAATAACATCCTCAGGGCTAAATATGATTCGCTCTGTATCTTCGCCTCTTTGTTCTGGAGTAGCAGATGCAGCTGGACCTGGTCTTGATGCATAAAACTGTTGACGTCGTTCCATTTCTTTTTGAAATAACCCAGGCACTAGTTTATAAACAATGTCTTGCAAAGCCTTATCTAACTTAATATTGGGCTTCGCAGAGTTAATCATCATTTCACAAACTGGGCAGTAACTCTTTACTTGTAAGTGTTTTATAATACAACTTCGACAAAAAGAATGTAAACATTCGACAATGGTGGTTGCGTCTATGTAATAACCTCGGCATAGTGGACACGTAATATGCTCGTTAACTTCACCAAGTAATGTTCTTTGAGGCACCACGGCAGAATTATTCTGCTCAGCCATTTTTACAACCTTTTTATCCGCTTGTTTGTTGGAAGTAACCATTTTCGCAGAACATGCCCAGCGTCACCAAATTGTTTGACAGTAGACAGTTACACAGCTCGCGAGGTGAATGAATTATTTACAATAACTAAATGACACATAAACACTAATCATTAAATTACTTCGTTAAAACATTTTGTAGATTTATAATGAATCAATAAGCGTAAGACGCAAACACAAGACAGGCAGTCGAGTCCAATCGACATGACTGTACTTATTATGTTGGTAACCCTGGATAATATCAATTAAACGATTCAATATTTAGGATATTTTTCCATAAATATTTAGTTGAGATACAACAACACAACATATTTCATTAAATAACAAATATCTTACCTTTATTCTAATCTATTTCGAATATCACACTTTAATTTTACATTTATTTTATCAATTTATTTTTGGCGCGAAGAATCGTGCTACTTCAGTGACAGCTGTGTTTTGATAAGAACAGTGTTGCCAGTTGCCACACAACACTCAAGTCAACAATACCTACAAGTTACAACTATGAATATCGCAGAAATATCAATGCCGCCAACTATGGGAAGAATTTTGCTATTTTCCACCGCCAGATGTCGAGATCATTATAATCTTCAGAATATTGTTAAGCTCTGTAGCGTGGATGGACTTTTTTCATTTTATTTAAATTTTAAATAAAATGACAAATTGTGCAGTACCGGGATGCAAAAAAATGGATATATTTGTTCCCCAAAGGCAAAAAATTTAAGAAATTGTGGGCGTGTAGGCGTGTGTACGCGGTGTGGGTGTGTAAAGCAAAAATTCTACCAAATCGGCGAAATCACAATCTTTATATTTAAGGCTAAGTGTCCATATTTTACAGAAAGTGATTTTAAAAATGTCGAATGGTCTAAATGTGAATTTATTTATTTTTTTACTTTTTTTCTGCTATTGGAACTTTATCATATACATAATATATAAACAATTGTTTATATTCCAGGTTTTAATTTATAACGTTGAAAGTGAAGGAGAATGTGGGGCTGTCTGTTTTCCAAGATAAAGAGGTCCAAGGTTTTACCACCCTAAGCAACTGCTAGGGAAGAATGATTAAGAAACAGAAATCTGAAAATGAGCTTTTCCCACAAGAATTTTCAGATTGTAGTAATAATGATACTGTTATTCCAGATAATGAGCTTTTGGATATAAATTAACGACAATCTTCAAGTTATAGTGATAATCAAATTCAGGATAGAAGCATTAAATAGTTTAATCTAAATTTCCTTAATAACGAGCATATACCGAGTCTCACTGAATTTAATCCGCTCTCCCTCCTCCTAGTCATATCCATGTGGACAAATGCACCAGGTTTTATCATAATACATTTATTTAAAGCAGTGCATAGTCTATTTTCGCTCAATCTTTAAATTATATCTATTACTGCACAGACATTTGTAATAAATAAAATGTATTATAATATTATACTTTATACACACGATTAGTAACTTTGTGTTTAAATAAATAATAATGATTATTAATCATATTACTTATAGAATTATTGGTGAAAAGGTACATTTGTACATAGGTGTGATTATAATTTTGGACCACATAGTGTCCAGGGTTACAGAAATCGATAAACATCAAAAAGAAACGGCTGTTAAAAGCGAAATGTCTTTTCTTTTCTCGGAATATGTAAAGCACGACATATAAAACAAATAAAGCTATTTGAAATTCCGGAGAGCATGCGAAGATTAAAAAAAATGTGTGTCTACTTAAGTACATACGTAAAAAGTTACACTTCTTTGGAATAACAAAACAAAAATAACTCCAAAAAGAAAAAGAAAGAATAAAAAAAAGATAGTTTTATTTAAAATGTCAAATATTCGTGTAAATGTAAGAAAATAATATAAAACATTTTTGACGTGAAAAATGAAACTTCTTTAAAATCGTTGTGCTACCAAAAAGAGACAAACATATTCATAAATAGGATTTAGCCTGCGAGAGAATGAGATACAATACATGATTGATTGTTGCCTTGGTAACCGTTATTATTTGTCTGACAAATGATATATAATATTTTATTCTTTCCTACGATAATCTATAAATATAAGAAATGAAACTTCTTGAGAATCGTTGTGATTTGAAACTCGATGAAACGAAAATGCGACACGAGACAGAGACAAACACATAAATAATAGGATTAAGCCGGTGACAGAATGAGTTAGAATACATTACACAGGAAGTGAAAAATAATACTGAATAATGTTAGGTTATACGTAATAGATGTTAAATAAAATGTAAAATAACTTTTAAACTTGGTAAAAAACAAAGACTAAACTTTACAATTAATTATTCTACTCCTGATACTCTATATTTGTTCAACTTATTCTCTCGTAGGTTACTTTTCTTAAGTTTCACTTCTACCGTGAGTGAATTGCAGCACGCACTTTTTTTTTGAAGACAAATTTACACCTGCCACATGTTATATTGGTTTTTAATTACGCTTTATAACCTATGACACTTGCGTTATGAAGACAAATCTTATCATGAAGAACGGGTAAGCCATTTAATATTTACAATCTTCGATCAACAATACTGTTTACAATTTACGAGAGAACGTAAGATCAGACCAACGACCACTGAGCCGAGTGTACGTTGGATCAGACATACAAGTTGGTGCAAGAATTGATGTCGTAAAATTTTTTTTAGATTCCTCACATCTGGGTGTATCCTAAAATACCCCATGTACTCATATGTTCCGCGATTTTTCATAGTTTAGAAGTTAAGATTTTTTTTAAAGTGTATTTGCGAATTTTCTACCGGAGCAAATGAAAAATATCATAACTTGTTTAATAGTAAAAAAAAAATTAGTTACCTATTCTGCAACATGATCGTCTTGAATCACTCTTTCATACGTTATAACTAGCGACTCGCCCTCGCTTCGCTCGGGTTCGTCCCTAGGTGCATTTTAATTTTTTTGAGCGGAACCCTAATTCTTTTACTGAAATAAAAGTAGCCTAAGTTACTCCTTAGAACATCAACTACCTGTCAGTGTAAGTCCCGTCAAAATCGCCCCAGCCGATTCGGAGATTAGCCGGAACAAACAGACAGACAAAAATTAAAAAAAAAGTGTTAGTTATTTTGACATTACAGACACTTCAATTTTGTTTATCTGTATAGATTAACTACAACAACAACAACAACGTTCTTCATTATAAGTTACCAAAACAGGGTCGAAAGTGAAAATTTTGGGTTTGAGTTGGACGGAGTTAAATTTTCTAAATTCTCTTAAATAATACAAAATGGAAGTTTCATAATTCAAAGTACTTTTAAAAACTTCAGCAACTTATCAGCTTACCAAATAATAAAGAAAACGTTGTTCATAATTGGCTTCCTTATTCTGTATATGGTCATACATATATACATATTCTGTATATGGTCATACATATATACATATTATGTATATACATACAGGATAAACAATCCTTCATTAGGCTTTGTATTATTCTGGTAAAAAGCCTAGAAGGCAGAATTACATACAATGTAATTATTCTCCATACACTTTTAAATTATTTACGGACTTTTTGAATTATAAATATGAATTCAGCGAGCTAATTCTTTTGCTTGAGGTCAGCATAATAGCAACACTGAAATCTGAATAAACAGTTTTAAAACCGCTTTATGGTAACATCTGCTACTAGTTGTCACTTTTCAGCATCGCCATTTAATTTCGTTCTTTTCTCGTAGACCGAGCACGAGTGAGCTCATCCTACTATATCGAAAAATATTAACTTGATCCGATAAGCATTTAAAGTGTATTTAATATAAGCCTTTAGGCTTTAATTTTTAAAGCATGAGAGCCAAGGTATTTTTGGTGTTATTTTTGTTATTTAGTGCTAGTAAGTTATCGCCGAACCCGCATTTTATTTAAACACAACTTTGTTACAGTGGCGTAAGAAGCGTATGCGAAGGCTAAAGCGTAAACGTAGGAAGATGCGTGCGAGGTCCAAATAAAAAGGTAATGATAACTTCATTTCTCTTTTAACAATAGTTGTAATTCCATTACTACAGATTGATATGATACCAAACTTAACCTAGGACAATTTTGTTTATAATTTTCTAACTACTTATTATTGTTTAAAACATGAATATGCGCTCGTGTAAATATCTAATGAGCCATGTAGACTTGCCATGCTGCTTCATTTAAAAAAAAAACACGTTGCCACTTATCCCTAACGTGGTACTACTACGATACCTAATACTTAACAATTTATTTGATTTCTTCTGGATGTCCATGTAAATAATAGTTTTAATTGAATCATGTGCATTTAATATTATCTTAACTCTTAATTTTTCTACAGATGAGTTAAGTTTTAAGAATCGGTAGTTACTGTAATTAATTAAACTGATTCTCAGTAACATTGGGTGGCACAAGTTTAGAATAGGGGACATGGCCCCTGGCGGAGTGGGTGGTATTTCTGGATAGGGGACGTGATAGGGAGTCGAAATGTTAAATAAAAAATTTTCCGGAAACGTACGAGTAAAAAGTTATTGAGACTTAAAGTTACAACATTTCCATACATTTTCATATATTTCTTTACCACCATTCGGAGTGGGTGGTATTTTTAGATAGGGGAGGTGACAGAGTCAAAATATATTAAAAATATTTGGAGGAAACGTACGAGTAAAAAGTTATTGAGACTTAAAGTTATAACATATCTAACACATTTCCATACATTTCTTTACCTAAATAAGTGATTACAACAGATAAACATACCTTTAACGAATAGTACGCATCCTTTTTTATGTACAATACATATTTTCACAACAATTAATGCTTTATTGTATTTAATATTTTAATAATTTCACAACACAAACAAAATGATCTTACATTTTGACAAAAGCAAAACTGTCACTTTGTTTTATATTACCGCTTAAATGACAACAGATTATATTTGATTATTTTTGCTTTTTCTGTTGGTAATATTAATAAATAAATAAAAAGAAACATATTATTTTCATTTCATAAATACATTTATGACTTTTTATCTGATTTATGTAAAATATATTGTTTTACAATTGTACATTTAGTAAAAAAAAAAACATTTTTTTATCTGTGAATATTTTTCAGTATTATTGGCGGGTGTTCTTAAAATACAATTTATAAACGTGAGTAGACTATTTTTAAAATCTAAATGTATTATTTACTTTTGGTTTTTATTTTGCGACATCGTGGTTAGTTTAAGACATAGGTTATTTATTTATTATTCGTCATATCTTGGTTAGGTTAGGTTAGAACAGTTACTCCTACCGGGCGCGTCCCCAGGTGGCGGATAGGGGCATGCCACCCGCTTAGAGGGGCGGGTGGTACCGGAGAAATCCGGCGCGGACCAAATGGCTTGGATGGGGCCGCTCGTCTAGGCCTCGAGCCGAAGACGTTGCGGCCACCGGTGGTGGGAAAGCTTGGTCCCACAACCGGATGATGGGTGCCGGTTGCGGGACTGTGGTCGCAGGCCCGCATTCGGCGGAGGGGTAGGCCGCGGCGGGAGAGGAGTGCCGGTATTTCGGTGCGCCGTTCTCCCTACCTTCCGCGGCCTAGACGGGGCCGCCACCGGTTGATGGCGGACGCGGTGGGGCTGCAGGGGAAGAGGAGTGTCGGTGTTTCGTTGCCGCTCTCCCTGTCCTCTACAGCCGATTGGAGGTGGCCCACTTCGGTGGGCGGTGTTTTGGTTTTATGGGGCTGCTCCGGGTACCTCTCTGACGTAGCAGAGTTGACTGTGGAGCAGCCCCATTGGTTTAGTGGTCTGCCTAGTATTTAGGCAGACCTGCCGCCGGGGCGCCGTAGTAGTTATGCGCAAGCGATCCTGCGGCGTCCCACTAAGGCGGGGGGAAGGGATGTCGGGTTTTAGTGGGTAGTACCGGCTCTTCTAGCCGGTGAGCCCCACATCACCACCTGGGGGATCAGGTGGTATGCGTAAATGCATTTCCCGACGATAAAAAAAAAAAAAAAAAAAGGTTAGAACAGTTACGAGTATTTATTTATTATTCGTCATATCTTGGTTAGGTTAGAACAGTTGCCACAACGCACGAGCCGAGCGAGCGAAGCGAGCGTGCTGCGGTAGCGGCCGGCGAGTGCCAGAAATGACTAGAAAACTAGAAAATTCGAATTTCACGCAAAGTACAAATAAAGACAATCATCTGGAGATCATTTTGACAATTGAAAGTGACGTTTTGACTCCAAGTGTCTAAATGGTAGTAATGTCAAAATAATGTATGGAAATGTTGTAACTTTAAGTCTCAATAACTTTTTACTCGTACGTTTCCGGAAAATTTTTTATTTAACATTTCGACTCCCTATCACGTCCCCTATCCAGAAATACCACCCACTCCGCCAGGGGCCACGTCCCCTAAACTGCAGCCCATTGGGTACTTTTTAAGTGTCAAAAAAAAATTGGTTTTACATAAAATATAACACATGTGATCCTTTTAATAAATTAGCTAGCATTAAGCATGTTGAATGCGTAATTTGATAAATAAATATGTAATTCTAAAATTACTAATAGACTATTCAAACATTAACAACTCAAATTATATTGATCATGCATTTCGACTATCTTGTAAATATTAAAATTTTCAGAATGGCATAGTTATATATATAATCTATCTGTCTTTGTAATGAGAGTAATATTAGTATTCAAATTAAATGAAAACCCTCCGAGGCAGTCGTTGACCCACATTGGGTTAATGTAAAGAATTGGAGGGAATATTAAAAAAATGTTTACTCCACCCTTCTATTATGGATTGACATAATCTAAGGACTAATAAAAGCATACATTTTGTGTAACAATCAATTCACTTAGCTTATATATTGTAAAAATTTGCCAAAAAACTTTGGATTTCATGTACCTACACCTAATAGTAATGTATTAAAGATATTTTTGGATAATGGTAACCATTAAAAATAAACCAAATGCATATGAATGTAATTTAGTTATAAATTATAATTAATTATTTACTTGGTAAAACATTTAATATTTTCTTGCACCATTTTAAGTCTTTGTTAAAACTTATTGTTTTAACATGAATGTGACCTTTTCGTCTAGTAGCAACTGTTAACATTTTTTATTTTTTCAGGTACACTTGTGAGCGGTGAATATATTCCAAACTTCATGTGTATTCAATAAAAATTTCAAAATCCAATAGTTTTTTCTTTATATTTAAGGACACTTCTATTTTGTTTGTTTACTTATGAATTACATCTATACATTTATTAAAATTTTAACTAAGCCGAATCTACGTAGAATATTTTTTGGAAAATCTTATTAAAATAAATATTATTATTGATACACAGGCCAAATCTATAGTTTTTAGAATTTTTGTCTGTCTGTTACCGCATCACAGAAAACCCACTGGAGGGATTTTAGCGATTAGGCGATAGCTTGATAACCGGGATCAACATTTAGGATACTTTTTACCGCGGGAAAATGTCTCATTTCTGAGAAAAAATACAAAAACCAATGTAAGAGCAGGACCGGCCTAAGCCATCTGGGCGAGTCATGCCTTTGGCGCCCTTGTAGGTATACTTATTTCATTACAATTTAAAAAAACTTAGTAGAATTAGTGAGAGATACGATAAAACGCTGAGTCTAATTTTCCTTTAGATCGATAAAAATAAGTATTCAAATTAAATGGTTAAGTTGGGCTGGCGCGCGCGGCGCCCTGTATAAGTTATACAGGCGACCTGGGCCCCGGGTTATACAGTATAACCCGGGGCCCAGGTCGCCCTCCCTAAAGCCGGCACTGTAAGAGTATACTAATATGTAAAATTTAAGAATTTGTTTTTTTGGTTATCTAGCTGAGTGCGGGCAATGCTGGTTTTGTATTATATGAAAATTTCAGATCTAGTAATATTGAATTTTGTATACTATAGATCAGTGTTTCCAGACTTTGTCATGCCATGGCCCGGTAATTTTCATACTGCCCTTTCGTGACCCACTCCATAGTTTATAACGCCCAAACCAATAACTTTCCAAAGTATATTTCGGTATCAGCTATTTAGTGAGAAGTAAGGAGCTGCTTATTTTTTTTTACCAAAGAATACAAGTTTGCCGCAAATGATGAAAATTATATCCTGACATCTGGTTCCACTTCAAGTCGGTTTCTATATTTATTTTTAGTTTTACATTTATAGGTTGTGACAAAAGGCATCAAAAAAGTTATTGCTTGATTAGCTATTTTTAAATAAAACTATCTTTTCGGATTATTTCGTATATACCCTTAATTGTGGGTAGGCTGTCTGTAACAACTATACCTTCAAGACATGTAACACCTCAGTCTTTCCCGTGACCACATGGATGCTGTAAAGCATTCGAAACGTCGGGAACCAAAAACAAAATAAATCTGCGAAATAATCCGAAAAGATAGTTTTATTTACATTCGCGTAAATCTAAGAAAGTATTAGGCTTGATTAGCTAATTTTGTGTATTCTTGACGACAAGATATAACCAAAAATCTATCAATGGTCTTGTCTCGAATATGTCGGGAATGCTGCGACCCGGTATTTCATTTTGATGGCCCGGTACCGGGTCGTGACTCACCAAATGGGAATCACTGCTATAGATCAGTTGCCTTTAAATAAGTAATTGTAGATATTGGTACGAATTAGCTTACACCCTTAAGGCTGTTTTCTAAAGTAATTTATGCAGTATTAAAATTTTCATTTAACTTTATATTCAATCTGAATATAGGCATCGTCGACTGTGTTCATCTCACATGTGCTAAGTGCTTACTCGCACGGCACTTATATTTAAGGCCGACAGTTTGACTACCTATACAATGATAATGAGGAACCTACTCTTGGTACCTACTTCAATTTTCTAAATCTATACAAATAATAAAATTGTAACTAAGCCGAATCTGTAGGTACATTAGATATTTTTTGGGAAATCTTATTGAAATAAACATTATTATTGATACAGAGGCCGAATCTATAGTTTATAGAATTTTTGTCTGACTGTCTGTCTGTCTGTTACCGCATCACAGAAAAACCACTGGAGGGACTTTGATGAAATTTGGTATGATGATAGTTGGTTATCCGGGTCAACATATAGGATACTTTTTACCGCATGAAAATTTCTCATTTCTGAGAAAAAATACAAAAACTACAATTTAAGAGTACACTAATATGTAAAACCTAAGAATTTGGTTTTTGGTCATCTGAATGCGGACGGAGCCGCGGGCAATGCTAGTGGAGTATAAGTCCGCTTATATATTTATAATTATAAAATATAATTTTAATAATACAAATGTTTTTAACACATTCTTCAGATCAGGATACCTATAAAAACTTTTTATATATATATTTTTTTTTAAATAAATGACAAAATAAATGGATTTAGTTTTTTGGTTGAGGTTTAATAAATTTAAAACCACATATTATACATATATAAAAAATACATATTAAAAAAGAATGGGTCGAATGACTGGAATTAAATGGGAAAAAGCTGTACAATGTCGACCGATACATAACATTATTTCATCAGATTTTCCAAAATATAATCCGCAACCTTGGAAATTTATGGTAGGTTCTCCAAGATAAAATTCAAAATTATTTTAATTAGGATGGATTGTCAATGTTCAGTCTGTTTGTTTTATTCTACTCATTTGTAAATGAATCTGTATGAGCGCGTAATCTCGAAAATTACTAAATGAATTTGGATGCGGTTTTAGTTAGAATTTGAATTTCTCTAGAAAAATGTGATAAAAAAATAAAAGAATGTTTCTTAAGAGTGAAACTTGATATTTTTTAAGATTAAAGGTATTTTGCTTCCATTTCGCGTCTGTTTATTCCACGATACTGCTCGTAGTTAAGAGTCTATATGTAAGAATTGTAAGATTTCTTCGTTTTCTGTAATAATTGTAAGATAAAATGTATGTTCGAAAGGTTTTATTCTTAACATAAACCCTTAGTTCGATAAAATAATGACTTTGTATTTTGCATTTTTAGCTAGTTCGATTACCGGCTCTGGTAAGATTTATTTAAAATACATACTTAAATGCAGTTATTAACATTTTTAAAAATAAAGGAATGTTTCCTTTGAGTGAAATAATTGATATTTTCAATATTTAAGTCACTTTTCTTCCATGTTCCATTCATTTGTTCCACCCTGTGTATACCTTAATATCAGCTAAAGGATGTTTTAATGGTAAAATTGTTTATGTGAAGGAAGGTCCATCTCGGATCCAATGGCTCTTATCGTATGAATACCAAAGAAGATGGATGGAGGAAAGAGAAGCTTGGAAAAAACGCATGTATCCTGAAAACACAACAGTCAATGTCGATGTTGTGAAACGTTACGTTTTGACATTTAAAACTGACCATCAGCCGCCGAAATCAGAACAAAAGAAACCATTCAAAATCAAAAAGTATGTATACTAGTTATCATCGGCATCCAATTTATTTATTATAAAGTACTTATTTATGGCACTTGCATATTTATCTGTACAGATATATGTGAAGAAAGTTGGAATAACTATCTCTAGCATAGTTTGTCCATAACTCTTTGCTAAAGAACATTAAAATCTTTTTATCTTTAAATAGATCATGCCTAGCGTATACACAAAGCGTACGCCCAAGTTAAAAAAAATACCTTTTTTAAGTTGGTAAAAACTAAATGTATCGGGGTCAAAATTGATTGTAATAAATATAAATTACTATATAGCGTCATTGAATAATAATACTTCAGCATTTAAAATATTAAGAATTTGGTGCGGTTAAATTCTGAGGGGATCAAGTTGCTATTGAATTATAATCGTAATTGTTTCAGATTTGAAAGTATCGGCAGTAGAATTACCAATAAACGAGCACCGGATGACAAAGCAATGGCTTTTCAAAAAGAAATGAAAAAGTCTAAATAGATAGAAAATAATATTAATGGGGAATCATAAGAATTAATTTTTTCTGCAATATTTTTTTATAATATTACTTGAAATATTAATTTGTAATAAATAAAACTTGTATTTATTTGGAAATTTTATTAATTTTTAAATTTAATAATTGTCTAAGAACTAAATATTCATATCGTGAATTTATAGGTGTATTTAACATCCTGAAAATAAGAATATGATGGTTACTTATTTAAATTTGTTCTATAAATATTATACATATCAATTTGCAATTTTTAAGATACTTTAATGTGTTCATTTATACATATAATAAAATTGTAACTAAGTCGAATCTGTACATTAAATATTTTTTGGAAAATCTAATTGAAATAGAAAATCTATAGTTTTTGAATTTTTGTCTGTCTGTCTGTCTGTTACCGCATCACGAGAAAACCACTGGACAGATTTTGATGAAATTTGATACGATTATAGCTGGTTATCCGGGTCAACATATAGGATACTTTTTACCGCGGGAAAATATCTCATTTCTGAGAAAAAATACAAAAACTGCATTGTAAGAGTATATACTAATATGTAAACCCTAAGAATTTGTTTTTTGTTCATCTGAACGCGGGCGGAGCCGCGGGCAATGCTAGTTATCTAAAAATATAAATAATTGAAGTGTCTGTTTGTAAGACCAAAATAACAGCTTTTTACTAAATGCAAATGAAATTATATACAGTATTTATAAGAAAAACCTTTTTTTTAATTTTTGTCTGTTCGTTTATTCCGGCGAATCTCCGAAACGGCTGGACTAATTTTGACGGGACTTTTACTGGCAGGTAGCCGATGTTGTAAAGAGTAACTTGGCTACTTTTGGAAAAATAATAAGGGTCCCTCTAAACAATGTACGGTTCTGAGCGTTCACCCACACTTCGCTCGGGTTCGTCCCCAGTGAAAAACCAAAACAAATCTATCCCACGGGAGCCGTACATTTTTCCGAGATAAAAAGTAACCTATGTACTTTTCCAGACTATATCTCTGTGCCAAATTTCATTCAGATCCGTTCAGCTGTTCTGGCGTGAAAGAGTAACAAACATCCATCCAAACTTTCGCATTTATAAAATTAATGGGATGTAGATCACTGAAGATATTTTACAATCGAGATATAAAAAACTCCAGACTTAATTATTATACTTAATATATTTTAATAACTGTACTTGTAGACTATTTTTATAATTTCTATATAAAATATGTGGAAAAGTTAAGAATGTTTTAAAGTTTAAAAATAATTCAGACAGCTTGGTACAACAGTTCAACAGTTTGGTATTCAAATAATTTTATATATATGTTATGAAAAGAAGGTATATGTTATAGAATCTTCTGATTATTATATTATTGTGAAAATTATAGGAAAGCTGTTTTCTAATATATTGAACAGTGCTGAACTATATCCATATCCAATAAAAATTGTTAAAAACATTGTTAAATTTATATATAATTATTAAATTAAAGCTACTAAAATATTGATATACACAGCATCATTTTGAAGCATAATACAACTTTTTTTTATCGCTCACTTTTTGATGCAATTCATCAGCGCTCTATCTAATATAAGTTATTTATACTAATTGTATGAAAATGTAATTGGCAAAATATTTTGCAAGACGCGTTTGGTAGTACTCGTAAACTCTACTTTTAATAATTGTAGGGATTAAGTAATAAAAAGCATTTTCGTTTTCTTTTAAATTAGTAAATCTTATAATGACAATTTAGAAATGAGTATCATAGGCAACACCAAGTTTGAATATAATTTTAATTATTATTCATTATAACATGCATAATTATTACATATTCATTGGAAATAAAACATACAAATCTTTTGTTGAGGCAAGAGAAAACACAAATGTCTACATAATTATTTTTTGGTTTATTTTGGTACTTTCAGGTAATGTGTTTATAATATTTCGTTGGTGTGAATGAAATGAATGATGAACTTACATTTACTAAGTATGGAATGACCTTCAAGGGTTTGTTGTATTTATGTTTGTTTTGGACTTCATAGGAGAAATTTTTTTGTAATGTGATTTTAACCAAACTGGAAACTGAAGGGGGATCCTGGGAAGCCTCCTCCAGCATTGAAGTCAAAATGTTGACCGCCACGACTGAAGAATGTTTGGAATACCATATTTGGATCTATATCTGGAAAATAGATAAATAATGTTATAGTAAAAAGTAAAATGCTAACTTAAATATATTTCTTTAAAATAAAAACGTTATCAAAACTCTTGATAAAAAAAAATAGTTTTCAGTTTTATTACATTCACAATTTGGTACGCTTTGAAGCCATCAACAAAAAAATTGAATTAAATTACATTCACAATTGTTATTGAAATATTTTATTTAAACCTGTCTACTTATATATAATATAATATATACCTGATATGAAATCGGGCATACTTTAAAAACAAAAAGAAAGTACCAACAAAAAAAAACAATTCTTAAATAAATGCATAAAAAAAAAGTTTGTGGTGTTCATATACTCATTTAAAAAAAAACATGCATATTATGCCACGATAAATAATGGTAGGCCAGTGGTAACACACTCGTTTGGAAAACCAAGTGGGGTTCAAATCTCGGGTCATTTGATATTATTACGTGCGATTCATTTCCAACATGACATATGATATCACTTGCTAATGCAGTGAAAGGAAACATCATGTGGAAATGTGCATGTCTAAGACAACAGTAGTCTATACAGATAAATAACATTGAAGTGTCCATTTGTAATGTCAAAATAACAGCGTTTTACTAAATGCATATGAAATTATATACGGTACTTATAAGAAAAACACAATTTAAAAAAAAACTGTCTGTCGGTCTGTTTGTTTTGGATAATCTCTGAAAAGGCTGGACTTTTTAATGGGACTTTCACTGGAAGATAGCTGATGTTATAGGAATTACCATAGGCTACTTTTATTTTAGAAAAAGAATTTGGGTTCCGCTCAAAACAATTTAAACGTACGCTGTAGCATATAAAAACAAATGCAACTAACCAGCCATGCCAGAGCCGTCTTCGTCCAGGTCGTGTCCGTGGTCGTAGCGCGCGCGCTTCTTGGGGTCGCTGAGCACACCGTACGCCTCCCCCACCTCCTTGAAGCGGCGCTCCTGCTCCCGGCGCTCGGTGTCCGGCGCGCCCGCGTGGCGGTCCGGGTGGTGGACTAGGGCACGCTTTCTGCAATTCGTACGGAACATCAGATATATATATTTATATATTATTATATAATATTAATAATACCAGATTACTTAATAATTAGAATTTTACAAAACTAAAAAAAAACGTGTGTGTATACTTATGTACGCACATAAGAAGTTTGGCGTAATAGAACAAAAATAGCTAAAGATTTAATCCCGTATGTCACAACTCTATGTTTGTAAAAGAAATGCAGCTAACTTTATCATGTCACTCAAATACATAATATATTTAATATGAAATCTTATCAAGAGGATACGAAGTGCCGCACAAAGAGGCGACCGCGAATTTATATTAGTGTTTTCTATTATATTAGTATAATGAATTCTATCTCATTCTTTCCCACGTTGAATTCTTTAGATAAATGTGTTTGTCTCTTTTTAATGGCGCTTTTTCGTTTCATCGAATTTTCAAGTTATAACGGAGCTAAAGAAGCTTTCACTTCAAAAACAGACTTTTAGATATATAAGAGTTCACATAATACTTTCTTAGATTTACGCGAATGTTTGACATTTTTAAATAAAACTATCTATATATTCGCGAATTTATTTTGATTTTTGGTTCCCGACGTTTCGAATGCTTTACAGCATCCATGGTCACGGGAGAGACAGGTGTTACATGTCTTGAAGGTATAGTTGTTACAGACAGCCTACCCACAATTAACAAAATGATAGAAGTCTATAAAAATATATAAGAGTTGTCAAAACGAATCATATGAGTTATTATAATTAGAGGTAGTTTAAATTGACTTACGAGATTTGATTACTTTGGTAGGCACAAGTGAAGCTTAAAAGTGTTTTAAAAAGTTATAACCTACAGGCGTGGATTTTGGTAAATTTTTTTTTGTTAAATCTAGCATAATCCTTAATTTTCTATACAAATATTGAGAATTAAAATAATTTATCAATTCAAAATCAATATTACATAAAACTTTAACTTTAACTTATGTCATATTCATCAAAGGTCACTGTTATATAAAATTTGATCGAGACTGCTGCAGAGGGTTATATTTGATATATTTGGATTGTTTTAAATTAGTTTGAGTTAAATATCACATGGAATTGAAATTTTTCAATTCAAAGAGATAACATTCTTAGAAGTTAATATAAATGTGAAAAGCTGGTACACACCTGTAAGCTTTCTTAATATCATCCACTGAGGCTGTTTTTTCAACTCCAAGAATTTTATAGTAGTCTTTACGTTTAGATTTTTTTAAAGCTATTTTGGCCTCATGAAGTAACTGTTTGTTTGTTTTGCTCTTGTCGATTTTGTATAGTTTCTCATAATCTTTCACAGCATCCTCAAATTCTCCTAGTTCTGTGTAACATTTTGCTCTCCTCAACAAAGCTTTTACATAGTTTTCATCTAATTCCAAGGCAGCTGTACAAGCTTCAGCAGCTTCCTTTATTTGATTCATTTTTGAACACACTGTTGCCTTATTAAAGTATAATTTGGCATTCACTTTTCTGTTATTTTTATCGACAGTTAGTGCTTCATTGTAGAGAGTCAAAGCTTGTTGCCACCGTCCCATTTTAAATGCTTCATTACCTGGAAAATGATCAATGAAAGTACCTATATAATATGAGTCAAAAAAAGCTATGTATTTATTTTTAGCTGTCCTTATAGGTGGTACATTGGCCTCCATAAAAAGGAGGCAAACCCACTCAAATAAAAAGGAGGCCCGTGTCCAGCAGTGGGACGTTAAAAAGTGTTGAATACAACATACTTATAGCTAGTGTCTAGTATATTTTTATTATATATACAATATAATAATACCTTCTTCTTTTTTCTGTTTTAACAATTTCGCTTTTTTGTATGTTTCCATAGCCTTTTTGTGATCAGGTGCTAACCTCAACACTTGTTGAAAATGTTTGAAGGCCTGTTCATCTTTGTCCTAAAATAAAGATGTTTTTATTAAATAATTAATAATATTTCACATTTTACAGGTTCAGAAAGTTTTTTAAATTCTAACTAACAAAAATACATTTAAAGCAAGTTATAATTTTTATACCTCAAAGTAAAGGCATAATCCTCTCACATAGATGGCCTCCGTATCAAAACTGTCGAATCTTAAAGAATCATTGGCTATTTCTTGAGCTTCCTGACATCGTCCAAGCATTGCTAAGCATTCAGCTTTCATGAGTTTTGCCCTGAAAAAAAAAATACGATTCTATGTTTTTGTTCAAGTTAGAGATAATAAAACTAAAACTATGGCAAAATACATAAAAATCTCTTGATTTTCATTTTAGTTCAATTTTGAGTTAATTTATCACTTTGGACATCGTAACAAAGTAAAAGTCACAAGAACAAAGAGACAGTCAAAAAATTATGGGTTATGTGAACACATTTTAAACAATTTTAATTCCTCAAACCAATTCTAAAAATGACTACAGTAAAAACTAGACTAAGCTAAGTGACTATAACAAAAACTTATCTCACTTAGAGCTTGATGGGCTGTATTCTAAGCAGCGATCCATGCAAAAGACGACGCGTCGAAAGTCGCCGGCCTCCATAGCGCGCTGAGCATCCTCATGTAGCCGTCGTAAAGACTCCAAAGCCTTACGTTCGTTCGAAGCACAATCTGTACCACCCAATTCGCTTGCACGTCGTATCGCTTGATCTGCCCCAGATAAATCATCTGTAAAAACAGTGAATGTTTCAAAATATTTTTATTCAAAATAAAAAGCCCTTTTATTTAGCACAAATCCAATCCGGTTCTGTTTTTTATTGAGTTACAGACATTGAAATTACCTAAAGCTCAATAATACTATAATTTTATTGTCATTTCATAAAAAATATTAAATTAAAGCATTGCCACTCCTTTTTACCCTTTTTCGGGTGATTTTGAAAATATTCTCGATTAAAGAAGTTTAGTCTGGACAATGATACATCAATGTAAACTATAATATTGTCGGCCTAAATTGTTAACCTGCTTAGTTCATATTTGAATAATTTTACTTTTAAAGATTGTGAAAAAGTTCAGAGGATAACCTGACTTATATTAAAAGAATAGCGACATATATAACTAAAAATAAAATTATTCAGCTTTTTATTCATCCCGTAAAGTGTGTAGAAATATACTTAGCAGGTTAACAAATTACATCAACGATATATAAATCTATAGTTTATAGTCAAAATAAAACTGTTAAGAATGAGTCATGCTAAAGCTTGTATTAAAAGAGCAAGATAGAGAGAGTTATATTCACTTCTCATCTGTGGAAAAATACATTAAAATAAATGTAGGTGGCAAGCAACGGTCATTCATATTTCATCCTAGCTGTGGTGTTCTGTGTAACTCATGCTATTTTCCTTAGAACAGATGCATATTTACTAATATATTTATATATGTACTTACATATAATTTTCTACTATTACATTACACAATCTATTGTAAGGTAATATAATGTATATTATTTCATTTTAATTGAACAAGATTGTTTATCTCAACAAGGATTATTACATTTAGTACAATGGTATTTAAAAGATATAGCTGTTTAATCTGTTCAATAACTATAGAAATATTTATGGGAGCTAAATATGCATATTAAATATGTAACTCTTTTTAATAATCTTTATATAGCACTTTAACACTAAAAACAATCAGATGACCCATATACATACATATTTAGATTAAATATACTAAATAATAATACAGTAGAATTAATATGTATTTTATAACTCTATACATTTTATTGTATACATTAAAAGTAATATATGCAAATAGTTCCCATTTATAAATGATACATGACTGAAATAATTAATGAATAGCATTTTAAACAGTTAAGTACATCAAAATGTATCTTTAATATATTTTCTGGGTAACATTGTTTTATAATACTTACCAAGGGCAATATAACACTTAGCCATGCGTATATAGCCTTTTGTAAAAGTTGAGTCAAGGGCAACAGCTTTTAGGGCATCTTCAAGAGCTTTTTTGTACATTCCTAACATCATATAACAGGCAGCCCTGTTTCCGTAATAAGCAGCATTTTCTGGGCATAATTTAATTGCTTCTTCATATAAAACCAGTGCACCTTTATAATTTTTGAATTTGTAAAGATGGTTCCCACTTTCTTTCTTTTCTTCAGCCAATCTATTATGTAAGCAACACAAGGAAATTAAAAAAGCATCAAAAGGTAATCTATACATATAATAAAATTGTAACTAAGCTGAACCTGTACATTAGATATTTTTTGGAAAATCATATTGAAATAAACATTATTATCAATACAGAGGCCGAATCTATAGTTTTTAGAATTTTTGTCTGTCTGTTTTCGCATCACAGAAAAACCACTGGAGGGATTTTGATCACATTAGGTATAGTGATAGTTGGTTATCCGGGTCAATATATAGGATACTTTTTACCGCAAGAAAATATCTCATTTTTGAAAAAAATACAAAAACTGCAATGTAAGAATATACTAATATGTAAAACCTTAAGAATTTGGTTTTTTGTCATCTGAACGTGGGCGGAGCCGCGGCCAATGCTAGTTTGTTTTATAAAACAAGATGTTTTTCGTATTGTAGGTAAAGGTGGTTGTCCTAGAAGTAGGTCGAGTGAAATAATTAATGAAAAAAAAACACGCTTACTTGTCATAATAAAAGTGACATTTATTAATATATTATAATAATAAACTCTAAGTACGCACCTATTTAAAATTTTAATCGACATTAAAATCTAGGGAAATTAAAAGATCAAAATACAATTATTTACCTTTCTGGACTCTTAGGAACTAAATCATCGATTGTTAAATCTAGTTCCACTTCAGGTTCTGCCATTTTATATATGTCTTATATTTTAATGCTCCTATAAATTAAATATTTATTAATAATGTACTTTTATTTTGACGATGAAATACAGGAACCACAAAGGAAAGAATGAAGCAGAGTGAGTAAGCCAGTGTTGCTATATTATTTACGAGAAATTGCTATTAAATCCAAAATTAAAATATAATTTTCACGCAACAATAACTTGAAAACATAGTATTATTTATACTTAAAAAAAAAACACCCAAATATTGTGACTTTCTTTTGGAATATGAATAAGTTGATTATTGGGAAGAATTTTGCCTTTTTCTCCCGCCAGTTGTCGCGATTACTATAGCATTCAGTATATCTGTCACTGTTTTCCAATTACAGAGCATAATGCCTACTTTGGTGCACAATGCCAAAGTGTGCTAAAACTTAATTGGAACGTGAATTAGTTTTCAAGTGCACCAGTAGAGGGCACTAGATTTAGTGTTGAAAGAAAAAAAATATAACTAATATGTATATAATATATAATAATACATATCATTTATATTATAAATGATATAATAAACTAGCGACTCACAATAATATAAATCAATTCAGCAAATCCAGAGATTACTCCCCTACAAGGTCACAAACTCACAAATTTTACCTCTTTATAATATTAAGTATAGATATATAAGAATATATAACTAATTAATATATAATTATATAAATAAAATATAAACAAATATTACTAAAGAAAATGTAAATAAAATTATAATCAATGCCACCTTGAAGAAAAATACTTCTCATATTTTCTTTTATTGAGATAGTATTCTTGCGCGCATCACGCCAACGCCAAAGCAGTACTCTTCAAAATGCTCGATTGAGCGGAACCATAGAGTATATTGCTACATATATAAGCGGAGCGTTGCTGTAGTTGGAACATCCTAAGTTAGCACTACACCGCATAATGCGCTTTAGTACTGTAATTGGAAAACAGAGTGTAGCTATAAGTATATTTATGTGTTACCATAGTTATGTATAGCATATTTTACGCATCACATAAAGCTTGTCTCGCTCATTGATATATAAAATAATTTACTATCTTTCTCTGTTATGAAAACGATATTTTTTTGCAAGAGATATTTGAAAATATTTTATAAAATTTCAAACTATTTTTGAAGGGAAAACTATTATAGGCAAGTTTGGATGGGAAGTTAATTCATGTAAGTCGTCATAGACATGGTCACGTTACGTGTTAATACCAAGTTTCAAGTAATTCCAATTATAAATAATTCTTTACCCATATAAAACTTTATTACCCCCTTTTAATCCTATAAGGGAAGAATTTAAAAAAAAACAAATGTACTTATTATTTCTTATCTTCAAGTTAAATACTACATTCAGTGTATTTCATATTAAGAATGACAAGTTTTAGACAATCTTTATTCCCCTATTTTACCCATTTAGGGGATGAACTACAAAAAAAACTTCTTATCGGATACCTAATACTTCCTCCAATCTTCACGTTACTACGACCAACGGCTTAGGCTGTGACCTGTGTGTTGATTCATCAGTCAGTCAGGATCACCGCAGTATGCATTTCCCCTTCTCAATTTTTCTTTTAGCTGGTCTAACTTCCAGGTAAAAAATACATTGCACAGGTGAAATGCGAACACAATAAAAGCAAAAAACCAGGTATACAAGAGATATTACAATAAATACCTTAACCTCAGACTAAATGTAAATAGGCGATACTCGTGGCGCCCTCCTTTCGAGAAATCTTTTCCGTTTGCGGTGTGTGACCCGTATTTTAAAGGCTAATATAGCCTGTTTTAGCTAGTCTCTTTAATCTGCGGTATTAGCTGTCAAACTTGTCGAACACACTGACAGTTTTATCGTGATCGTTGAAATGCCAAAAAATGATAATCGTATGATTTTCGTTGCTTGATGTTTCTGTTTTAAGTAAGATAAGGTAGTATTGTTGAGAGAGCAGACACATGTCTGATGTCAATCCAGATAAACTTTGGAAAAACTCTTACTTAACTCATGAATAAATAAAAAAATGGAAGAAACGGCTTCACCAGTAAGCGAAGTTTTTCTAAATAACGGTGAAATTGAATGGCAACCTCTGGCTCTCACTTTAGTTGAATATCCAAAGGGTATTTAATTTTAAATTTTATACAAGAAATCAATATTTTTTTATTTAACAAAAAGGTAAAGATATATTTTAATTAAATCATATTATATTTATGAATTTATATTTATTACAGGTGATATATTAGGTAAGTTTTTTGCCTTTACGAGCCTGGCCCCATTTGGAATTGGCGCTGGATTTGTCACATTGATTCTATTTCGAAGAGACCTTCATACTGTAAGTAAAAATAGCTATGATTAATATTTGCATATAAGTTTCGTAATGTCCTGACAACAAAATAAATTAGATTACTTGATATATTATTGATATTTAACAAAATAATTTTTGTTTTTATGTGTTGTAATTATTTAAATTAACTTAATTTTATTTAAACAGATTGCTTTCTTTTTTGGAACACTTGTGAATGAGGCGCTTAATATAATTTTGAAACATTTAATATGTGAAGCTCGACCCCTTGCAAGAGGACATCTATATAATGAATATGGAATGCCGTCATCCCATGCTCAATTTATTTGGTTTTTTAGCATTTATGTGCTATATTTTTTTATAATAAGGTATGTCTATATTCAAAGTTAAGATATTTTTGCACTAAGCTAGGGTAAAAATAAAATAAATAATTCCAATTTTATAGATTATAAATGTATAGATTATAAATGTATGTTGGGTACAGTTTATAAACTTACTACAGTCTGTTTTGGTCTGTCTCTGAAACGGCTGAATCGATTTTGATGGAACTTTCACTGGCAGTTATCTAATATTATAAGGAGTAACTAAGGTAAGGTTATTTTAGAAAGAATTAGGGTTCTGTTCATAAAATCAAATGTACCTAGGGATGCACCCGAGCAAAGCTAGGGTAAGAAGTATTAGTAGGATAAGTGCTAGTTTATGATGTTATTAAATTATTTTTAAATAAATTCTGTCAAGTGCGAGTCGATTTTGCAGACGAAAGGTTCTGTACCATCATACATGTACTTTTTTTAATATGACCTTTATGTATGTAGTATATTAACTTCAATGATCAATTACAAATGTAAAAAAAATGTTTCTTGTATTTTATATTTATTATTTACTGTTATAGCGGCAATAGAAATACATACTACCTAACCTATACCAGTGGTAGGACTCTGTCAAGCTTGAAGAGTCCGACTGGATGGGTACCATCCCCTTATCTGTTTCTCCCGTCAAGCAAATATGATTACATTGTTGTGTTCCGGTTTGAAGGATAAGGTAGCCAGTGCAATAACAGGCAAGAGGCATATCATCTTAGTCCTCACAGTGACAACGCACCTGCGGTTCTTCAATTTTGTAACATAAAACCTAAGTGCATGAACCGTAGACGTTATGGGTGACAGGAACCGCTTTCCATCAGGTGGGCTGTCCGCTCGTTTGTCACTGAATACCGTAAAAAAAATACTCTGTGTAAACTTCAACTATCTACCTATTACGGTTCATATTTACAACCCTCTGACAGATAAACGGATGGACAGCAGAGGCTTAGTAATAGCTCATTAAGACTCTCGCTTCGTAACTCGCCTCGTACCTTGTATCGTGTTCGCCTCGCAGCTCGCGTAAAAAAAAATCTGTTTGTACTGCATTTAGACCAGGGCTTGAAAACGATACCAGTTCACAGAAAAAATACCGGTAAATAACGGTATTTACACAGAGATACCTGCCATATCGTTATGATTTGGTAGCGTTAAATTTGTAACATAACATAATTATAACGTACACATATTATACGTTATAATTTCGGCTATTGTTAACGTTATTTTGAGCGACGTTGCCGTTTTGCCGTTGCCGTTGCCGACTCATAACATCGATGAGGTTAACGTTGCCAATGTTTTCGATATAACGAAAACGTAAAAATTATCGTTAAAACGATCAATTATAATATATATAATTACTAGCGGACCCGACAGACGTTGTCCTGTCTACACGTCTTTAATTTGAAAATTTCAAACTTTTTTTAATAATTTTTTTGATGAAAATTATTATTCAAATTGTGAATCTAAACCATTCTCAGATCCCCTTGAACACACACAAAAAATTTCATCAAAATCGGTCCAGTCGTTTGAGAGAAGTTCAGTGACATACACACTCACAGAAGAATTATATATATAAAGATAACTAGCGGCTCACCCTCGCTTCGCTCGGGTTCGTCGCTAGGTACGTTTTAAATAGATATAAAAAGAAAAAATCTTTCTTTCTCACATTTTAATTATATGTTTTAATACTTACCTATTCCGGACTAAGAGAAATCCAAAAATTAAAATATCATAAAAATTGGAACGCGGTCGAACGGGATAAAAAGTATCCTATGTCCTTCTCCTGGCTCTAAACTACCTCCCTGCCAATTTTCAGCTAAATCGGTTCAGCCGTTCTTGAGTTATAAGCGAAGTAACTAACACGACTTTCTTTTATATATATAGATTAAATAGTTAATTATAATTATATCAATAATCAACTTTTTTGCAGGTTACATCATATAAATAATAACAGTATTATATCAGCTCTTTGGAGAATTATTATTGTAGGCAGCTGCTTATCATTAGCATTAATTGTAAGCATTGGAAGAGTATACCTCAACTATCATACAACAGCACAAGTGATTGTTGGCGCATTTATTGGGCTTATATTTGCCACAATATGGTTTATAATAGTGCACAGAGTACTCACACCATTGTTTCCTCAACTAGTATCAATGTAAGTATTGTAGCTTTAAAAAAATAAAAAAATAATAAAGATTGATCAAAGTACTACTCAATATATACATATGTCGTGGCATGACTGTAAAATAAAATCACAGTCATTTTGCACTATGGAATTTTATGTATTTTTTCTAGCTATAAAGTCAGTATTGCATTCCTTATAAAATGGGAGTTCCTTAATATAAGATTTTGGTTTAAATTTCTCTGTTATTTATAGGATTTATAGATTTTAGTCCACATTTACTTTTCAATATTTTAAGTTCAGTATCTAAGATTAGAGGTAATTTTTTTCTACAAAATACCTCGTTTTTATCATTTTTCATATAATATATTACATACTAATATAGTGTTGTAACATAATTTTAAGGATGTTACTTTTATTGACACATTCACCAAACCAGTTTTATCCGCTTTGCAGCTCACACAATTCGAGACTGTGTATCCATATATATCAATGACAAGCAAATGATATCAATTTTTATGCATCCTATTTCAGTTTATGTGCAGTTTTATGTATATTTTTACTATAATGATAAATAATACATTTTTATTAAAGAACTAAAGAAATAGCTGACTAATGCCCGATTTCACCAACAACCCATAAGCTACTACCTCATATGGGATCCCTAGCTTAAAAGTCCCCTAAACTAGCCCCTAAATGAATAACCTAAATTTAAGGGGCCTTTTAATATTTAGGTGACCCCTAACTGTTGGTGAAACAGAAACTGTCCCCTAACAGCCCCCTAACCATGCTTAGGGGATCCTTAAACTTAGGTGACGTTGGTAAAATCGGGCATAAATCTCGAGATAATAATCTCATAAGATTAGACGCCCATACTATATATATATATATATATATATATATATATATATATATATATAGAAGAATTTACCTTCCCATGTGTCTAAAAATGTGCATATTAATACCATAAGGGTCTTAGTATCTATACACAACCACATTTTATAATGTGCTAATTAACTTAAAAATGCAAATTACTTGCTCTCGTATCGATAACGAGCGTAAGCAGCGTAGCACTTTTTGATTTATGTAGCCAATTTCGCTTAAATGTAATAAAAAAAATCGTGAACGTGTGTATATGAATACTGCAGTAGCTTTTGTTGCGCTACATGGTCATAACAAGTGTTGTTTGGATCAAACTTTTTTTCTCCGCTTCCGAAAAATATATCTATACATATAATAAAATTGTAACTAAGCCGAATCTGTTTGTACATTAAATATTTATTGGAAAATCTTATTGAAATAAACATTATTATCGATACAGATTCCGAATGTATAGTTTTTAGATTTTTAGATTTTTTGTCTGTCTGTCTGTCTGTTACCGCATTACAGAAGAACCACTGGAGAGATTTTCCGGGATTTTTTTTTTCCGGGTCAACATATAGAATAGGATACTTTTTACCGCGGGAAAATATCTCATTTTTAGAAAAAATACAAAAGTTACAATGTAAGAGTAAACTAATATGTAAAACCTAAAAATTTGGTTTTTGGTCATCTGAACGCGGGCGGAGCCGCGGGCAATGCTAGTATAATAAATATATATAAAGAATATATATATATATATATATATATATATATATATATATATATATATATATATACATAAAATATGATCGAGGTGACATTCGATTCGGAATAGCGTGTAGATGATTTTTGAAAAATTTATAAAATAATATCTCAAAAACTACTTCACATTTTTCAAATTTGAAAAAAGATTCAAAAAGAGGAGGAAAGGAAGTGGTTAAAGATCAGCCTTTTTTGGCCCATTATAGTGATGAAAATTCAAAGTTTTTATTAAAGCCATATTATTATATTTATGCGAAGTTTAGGTATTAGGCTTTACATTTATCCTAAAATAATAAGAAAAAAAAATTGCAAGTCACATAAAAAGGTCATCAAACTTGGCAAACTCATTGCATTTTTGCGATTTTTAGCTCGTTTTATAACTTTCATATTATAAAATCTGTTATGCGCTTTATCCACCACTACAGTTTTCGTTAATAACAATTAATTGCGATTCTTTGTTAATTAATTGTTATTTCGATTCTTGTAATAAAAACTTTTTAACAAAAAAATAAAAACCGACTTCAAACAAAAGCACTAAAAAGTAAAAAATAACTGATTGGTAGTTTTCATTTACTATACATACCTAATCAAATATTTTCGAAGTCGGTGTGCTTTGCTTTGTATGGGCTGGCACCGATTTCGAAAAAAATTGATTAGGTATGTATTTAATAGGTAGGCTTTAATTACTTAGCCAAAGCACACCGACTTCGAAAATATTTGATTAGGTATGTATAGTAAATGAAAACTACCAATCAGTTATTTTTTACTTTTTAGTGCTTTTGTTTGAAGTCGGTTTTTATTTTTTTGTTAAAAAGTTTTTATTTTTCCCTTTTTAGTGTAGACAGTAGTAGCACAGTAAGACTTCTAACGTGTTAGGCTTGTCAAATCAAACAAAATAAGCCCAAACTCAAAGTATCTACTATTAGCCGTTGAAGAGTTCTACCTATCCACCTTCTGGCCTTGCCATCAGATCAGGTCAACAACACCGAACCACTGTACTATCAACGGAAATAGAAATACTTGCAAAGTTTCAAGTCAATATGACAATTAGAAGTAGGTTAAATTCATCATTAGTTGTTTTTCCACCCTTAGGGGTGGTATTTTTTTTAAATTTAAATGGGACCATTCTGGAAGTATACCCTTTCAAACAAAACAAAAATTTTCCAAATCGGTTAATAAATGACGGAGTTCTGAGGTAACAAACATAAAAAAAAAAAAACATACAGTCGAATTGAGAACCTCCTCCTTTTTGAAGTCGGTTGAAAAGTATTTGCCCGCTGTGTACATGTTTTATCTGTACTTTAGTACTCGGTGTATTGGCATAGCCATGATCAAACTCAGACAAAAACAAAGTCTTGAGTATCCAGATACACTTGAAGATACTGCTTGATAATATGGTATCATATGGTGTTCCGCAAGGCAGTGTCCTGGGACCTACTCTGTTTGTCATCTATGTAAACCAGCTCTGTAATATACAACTAACAAATACTAAGGTATTCTCATATGCTGATGATACAGCTCTAGTCTTTACGGGTAATTCTTGGCACAAGGTACGGCTTAATGCCGAAATAGGGTTGGCTAAAGTAGCCAGGTGGTTGTCTAAGAACCTACTCACACTGAACATTTCTAAAACAAATTATATATGCTTTAGCATATGTAAACGTAAACAACCTAGAGAAGATTTCAATATAAAAATACATCTGTGTAATAATGATAAAAGCACTACCTGCAGTTGCTTAAATATAACGAGGGTTCCATGTGCTAAGTATTTGGGTGTTTTCATTGACCAGAGATTATCTTGGAATTCTCAAATCGATCATGTGGCAAACAGAGTCAGAAAATTGAGCTGGATGTTTCGGTCCCTAAGACACATAGTCCCTAAACAAGTTTTTAGCAGCTCATCTCGCCCCAGGAATCTCTTGAATGAAATATATTTTGCCTTAGTACAATCAGTGCTATCATATTGTATCCCGATTTGGGGCGGAGCTGCTAAAACGAAGTTTATTGAACTTGAGAGAGCACAAAAACTTACATTTCCAACTGAGAATCTGTACCAAGTTAGCACACTGCTCTCAGTTAGAAAGCTGTATATTACTCAAACTATACTAAAAGTACATAAGGCTGTTTCCTATGATGCGTCTTTAACATTAAAAAGAAGGAAAGAAAATATAATTAAAATCCCACAAACAAGAACAACATTTGCGTCAATGCAATTCGATAAAAGATCTGCACAATTATATAATAAAATTAACAGTATCATTTATGTTTACCCCTATAATTACCATAAATGCAAAAAGACATTAATAGATTGGATAAAAACCCTTAGTTACAATGATACGGAAAAACTGTTAGAACATATTCATTAAATACTCACACACGCACACACACACACACGCGCACACACACACACGGACACACACACACACACACACGCGCGCACGCACACACACACACACACACGCGCACTCACACACAATACACAAACAAATATATGTACGCTAAATTTATTTTTATTTTTTATTTTTTTGTTTGTCTTAATTGATCTATTTAAGTTTGTAGTATCACCCATAATATTATAATCAGCTAAAAGATAAAATTACTTTTTTATGAAAGGGCGGGGTCTCCTAATACAGGCAAATTATTTGCTTAAAAGGGGATCTCAACCACAAAATTTGAAATTTTGATTAGATTTGAAATAAATAAATAAATAAATTTTAAATTAATCAATTAATTATATGTTAATTTTTATTTCAAATGTATATTGTTATCTAATTTATAGTTTTTATTGTTGTTGTGTTATAATAAATAAATTATTATTATTATTAAATAAATTATTATAATGGCCCAGTGACTCTTCAGCTAGTGAAAGCGAGAGGGAAATAAATGAAGGCATTTGTTACACATAGTTTATAGCCACAGATCACATACGATCATATACTAGTATAGCTTTTGTTTTTTCTATTAAAAAATATATTTTTAACCCTCGACGCAAAAAGAAGGGTGTTATAAGTTTGACCTCGATGTCTGTCTGTCTATGTGTGTGTGTGTGTGTCTGTCTGTGGCATCGTAGCTCTCAAACGTATGGACCGATTTCGATGCTGTTTTTTTCAAATGAAAAAAACGTTGGGGTGGTTCTTCGCTATTTTTGGTTAATATCGGTCCAGCAGTGTAAAGCGTGTAAAGTGTAAAGAGTATCAGCTCTTCTCCAAAATGATATAAGGCATTTTGGTGTATGATTACTCGATTAAGTGTTTCACGCGTACCAGTGTAATCGTTAAATGACAATTAATTTGCGTACGGGTTTTTTAAATTTTTAATTTATAATTATTGAATAAAACCTAGAATTTTCATTTCGGATAAGTATCAGTATTAAAAAAATATAAGTATAATATGAATTTGTCAATGGACGAAAAATGACCGAATCTTTACCCACCACTTTCCAAAAAAAAAAACTATCTCCCGGAACTGTAGTTCCAATATTTATAATTTTTCCAGAGAGTTTAAAATACGGCCGAAAATGGGGATCTCTGGCTTGCGTAAGCCGCGCCCACTTTGGACCTTTAATGAATAAATATTATTTAAACTTATTAAATATGAAAATCAAAAATTGAAAACGATCTGACATTTACTAGATATACATGAACAATATTCCGTGGTCAAAATTTTTTGTCACGATTTTTCTATATTAGATATTTCAATTTTTTTTTGGTAAACTTCCTCCTCTTTATAAATCATTTTTCGAATTTGGAAAATGTTATATAGTTTTTGCAAAAAACCAAACTCCATTTTTTTCAGTTATTAACTAACTTTTGCATTTTTGGCGAGCTGCTCGTGAATTTTTTCAAAAATCATACACACGCTATTTCGAATAGAATGATATCTCGTTCATATTTTTCGGAGGCGAAGAAAAAAGTTTTTTGATGTTTGAGTTGAGCTTTTAAATTTATTCAAACGACATTCAATTTATATGTACTATATTCAGTCATCATAAAGGAACAGAATATTAATGAAGCCCCTTGTATTAAGCATTGATATATCTAGTATTATTCTCATATAAAAAGCTATTTTTTTAAATACACTTGAAAGATATGAAATAAAAATATAAACTTTTATGATAAAAATATGTTTAACATTATTACCAAAATTACTTACAGGAAATTGTGTGAAATGCTAATGATAAGAGACACAACATTGATACCGAACGTGTTGTGGTTTGAATACACAACGTCGAGGCAGGAGGCGCGCGCGCGGGGACGCAAGATGGCGGCGTTGAAGCCGACGCAATGACGGTGCGCCTGCGCGCGGCCCTCGCACACGTGCCTGCGGCTGCGCGCGTGACGCCTCGTGGCCGCCGGGGCGCTCGCTCTAATCGGCGGCTTCCTCATATCCAAGTCAGAACCACGCTCAATGCTATATTGACATACAATCATCATTTATCCATTCCCTCACGAACTTTAACCCACAGTGAATTCTCTATTCTCTGACTGTCACGGTTGACATGTGCAATAGTGCATGTATATATATATTACTTACTACCCGTATTGATGAACTTGTCTCATGACTTCATTCTGAAGTCTTCTTCCAGCATGAGACTAAGTTCTTCTTCAGAATGCAGTATGTTGGTTATGGATAGCTATAGAAAATTTAAATGTTGTTTGAATGATATTTTATATAGTTTATTTAAAGTGCTATTTTTAAGTGTGTAATGTAATGATGTTTTAGGTATTAAACGCTTTTAGCTTTAACACAACCAATCACGAACTGTAAAGAATCAAGGTCATGTCTGTCTTAGAGTCTGTTACAGGCATTTGTGTAAATTAGAGTGTAGTCATAAAAGTAAACGTATCTAGAATAACAAGAGGTGCCTGCTTAGATGAAATATAATAATCAATTTTTCTTAATTCAATTATAAATTACATAGTTTTATATGAGCCCGAACAGACAGACAGGCATGGTGTTTGTTCGAAGTTCATATTATTGTAAAATTGAATTCTGACAACGGTTATTACTCTAGGACTGCCAACCGTCCTAGTTGCGGGCGTTATTTCGATAGTCCAATTTTTATTATTAAAATAAAAGTGAACTTTTATATACAAATTACTAATAAATTAATATAAGTCTCTATGGCAGCCTTATAATTATGCACATTATAAAATAGAATAAATAAATACAATTATGTTGGCAATTAATGTCTTCCGAAAAAAAAAGAGTATATTTGAATATTTGGAAAATATATAATTTTTATTTGTGATGAACATTGACAACCATACATTTTCTTGTTCTTACATACTACATCTACATTGATGCTCCTTCTTTTCAGGGTAATTTTGGTTACAAAAAGGTTTATTATTGTATTTAGCTTTTTTTATCGTCCCACTACTGGGCACGGGCCTCCCTTAAATACGAGGAGGATCAGGCCAACTTCACATGTCTTTCGAAAACTTGCTAGGTTCTCTTAGACATGCAGGTTTCCTCACGACGTTTTCCTTCACCGTAAGACATGTTCTAATCATGTTGGAAATGATTTGCATATGAGAATGTCATAGGTGCAAGACCGGGATTTCAACCTGCTTCTCTCGGTTTCCCAAGCGAACGCGTGACTACTGGGCTACCATTGCCTTCGTTTTTTTAAAATACATTTACACGAACTTTATCCTGCGGCTCTGTTCGCGGACATTTAATATATATAGTATAAGTAACTGGCGCGATCAAGCAAAGAAAAAACCAAACAAATTCGTCTATAATATAATACATATTAGTATAGTTATAGATGCATATTTTTGTAACACAAGACTACCCTGTTAAGCTGAGGTCTGGATTTATTATGCCGATAGCAAAATAAATAATGATATAAATAGGAAATATTTCTAGGAAAAGTGGGCGATTGCGATAAGCTTATTTAATGTCAATTTATTGAATGAATATTTTTATTACATATTATATAAACTCACGACTAATCACATACTCTGATAATTTATCCAAGCAATAATATTATTTATAACTACAAACAAATTAATTCAATAACATGTTTTAGTGTAATATTATGAGTATAGGTCATATTTTTTTATTTCATCATGTCATTGTAATAAAATACCAAAATGCGATTCAAATGTTTAAAATAATAAATGTTTCTTTATAATTTGTATTATTGTAATTGTCCACTCATAAAACATGTGAGTGATAAGACAGCAAGCCAGCAAGTCTTAGAACTCAGCCTATTAATATACAAGTTAAAGGCAAAGTTCATCTTTGAACGCTTTTATAGATTTCATGATGGCAATATTTTATAGGGAACAATAGTAACTAGTTCTAGTAGTAATTAAACAGTGGCGTTATTATGCAACCTGTTTCTGAGTAGGTGAGTAGAAGACATAAGGTGAAAGTGAAATAAAAAACGTAAATATTATAAATAAAACCATCCATATGTAATCTTCCAATAATAAACCAAAGTTTTTGTATTTAAATATTATATATACAATTATAACCGTATTCAAGCCAACGCTCTAATAACGCCACTAAGGGCAGCTCCACATATTAATCCCTATTTAATTATAATTTGTTGCAGTGGTCAAAAATGTTAACATCAGTGCCGCTTATATTGATTGAATCTGATCAATGAAATTGAATAAGCTCGAACCTTGAGATATCCACGTTCATTGTATTAGATATGGCAAGGCAGTCTATATGTGGATGGAGGGCTTGTTGTTAAACACATGTGTATGTGAAGGTGCCCTAACTAAAAATGTGAATAACGTTTCTAAATTAGTTAAATAAGTAATTGTAGATATAGAAAAGGAAACGAAATTATGTACATGCTGTGGTATTATTGTTTTTTTAATGCCCTGCAATAATAATTGTTATATTATACACGAACATTATAGTACCAATTTAATAGCTCTACAACTGGCTGGAAAAAATTGCATTTTATATTTAGACATTTTCGTTTTATTTATGTTATTCTAAAGTTATCTACATACGTACGTATTTAAGGAATTATAATAAAAGTCAAAACCCAAATAAAATGGAAGTAGAACTTGTCCGTATTGAATAATAAGGAATTTACTCGATTTTTGAGTCAACTCAATAAAAATGTCTACTACCTAAAAATTTTTACGCGTTCGAATACTTTCAGAAAAATAGTCCTCTTAAATGTTCACATGCAAATTCCTTGTTATTTAAATAAACATATTTGCAGCTATTATTGTAAGCAATAAAAATTACGTTTGACCTTGTCTTTGTGGATACTCCGATACTGTAAAATACATATATTAAAGGACCTACAATAAATAAATCAAATAAACATGTAGGCTAATTATTAGTTTTGAAATCGAAATGATTGTCTTTAAGGTTGTGTCGTAGAATGTTAGGTAACAGACAACGGGAAAACATTACTCTTCCATTAAATGCTATGCAGAAATTATTATACGCTGGCAATAGATTAACTATATAAAACATTAATGTTGATGAATATAATATTCATTTTTCGCATTGTAAAACCTTTTTATACAAGAATTTACGTATAAGTACATGTTTATAGTTAAATTAATAGTTTATATTCAAATTATTCAACTTTATTTAATAATATTTAGTGTAATAACAGATTTATTATTATTTGTATATTCGGTACTCTTTGTATAACTATGAATGGTTTTTAGGTAGTAGAATAGTGATATTAAAGATGTTCTGAATATATTTGATTTGATGCGCAAATTGTTGAAAAAACTTATTGAATAGTAAGAACGCTAAGCTTAAAGCTAGTGAAGCTGAGAAACTGTTTGGGTCTGACACACGAATTAAATTTCCATTCAAATATGATGTAGGTATAATGTATTCGCAACATCTCTAGTATATTTAGAATGCTAATAAAATATTAGTTGGGTAAATTTAAATTAACAATTATATGGAGCGTGTTAATTAGTTGACATTTTTTTTCGTTATAAAACGTTCTTTTTATACAAATACGAACGCACATAACCTGCCTTGATGATATTTACATGATTCAAAAGTAAATAATATTTTATTGACCAATTATAAAAGCAATGCATTTGATTAGGTATAGCCGCTGTATGTAACTAGTCTAATCCGGATTGTTGATATAAATGGTGTTCAAAAATTAGTTTTATCAAATGTCATTGTAATATGTATGGAGTGTAGAGGTAAGGAGAATCGTGTGTATTGAAAAAATGTCCGTCGAAAGTAGTTAATTTTAGGGTGGCGCTATTGTAGCAGGTGGGTAATTTTTTTTTGTGTTAATCTGCAATCAGTCCCAAACTATAAGCAGATTTGTTCCCTGTCGCTGTTATCATGTCCAATGAGCTCCTCAGCAGGAGACACCTTATCCTTCACCATCTGTCACCAAGTTTCTGTATATCATGGCGTTTCAGTCGTTTAGTGTAGCTGATAGTTGGTAGCGCGGTAGCTATGTCGTTTAGGTGATTTTCCAGCCGTGTTTTACATTTATTCCCTCAAATAAAAAAATATGTTGGGACATTAACACAACACCATCTAGTTCCATGGTAACCACGAGGCCTGTGTTATGGATACCAGATAGTTGGTACACTACACATATATAACTTTAAAAACATACATATTATAAATATAAACACCCATGACTGAGTACAAACATTCGTGCTCATCACGCAAATGAATGCCCCCAGCGGGACTCAAACCCGCAACCGTTGACACAAAAAGTAGTGTCACTACAAACTGAGCCAAACGTGTCGTCAAGTTTTACTCCTCCTTAACAGTAATTATGTTCAGAGCTTTATGGATCTCTGTGTTGGTGATCAACAATGGTGCATTTGATATGCTTCTTAAGATGCCATTTTGCAGCCTTTGCATTATGTTTAAATTGGAGTCGCAACCACTTCCCTACAGCTACATTCATATTGGTTTTAGGATCATTATGTATATCAGCAGTTTTTTGTCGATTGACAGTTGAAGTAACGTGCCATAAGCCAGTAAATGTTTCAGAACCGCAAGCTCAGTTCGTCTCGTTTTGATTTGATGTGTTTTTTCCAGGTCAACCTTTTGTCTAGATGCATACCGAGGTATCGGACAGTCACTCTGTGGCAGAACATTTCCGCCCATTTTTACCGGAGCATAGCGTCCCCTTCTCAGCGTAAACGTGACATATACGGATTTAGTTGTGCTGGCTTTAATTCTCCATTTCTGGATTCATTCGTCGACCTTGTCAAGGCTATTCTGCAAGGCGGCGAATGCTGCGATCGGGTCCTTGCTGCTTGCGAGATTTGCTGTGTCGTCAGCAAATGTAGCCGTAGTTACTCCTTGTGTTTCTGGGAGGTCCGCAGTGTATATGGTATAAGACAGGGCCAAGGACAGGTCTCTGTGGAACTCCCGCCTTTATATCTTGAATGTCAGACAGTAGGTGTATGTAGTAGGTGGGTAAATTAAGAACTTATATTTAAGGAAATCCCCAAAAGTTATAAAGAGTAGGATAGTAAACTAGGAAAGAATTATTCTGGACAACGTAAATAGATGAGTTTTACGTACTGCAGTCTTGAGCTACATACTCTAGTCACCAAAAACATTAAATTATTTAATTTAGCACATTTTACTTCTTCTACAGCTGCTAAATTCATTATATACTCTTTTCCTACGCTAGCGCCATTCTGATGAATTCTTGAACTGTTATTTATTGCTTACAGCTGGACACTTTTTTCAACTGGTCTCACATATAAAAGTGTTCTCCTTACCTGCACTCTCCATAGAAATGAGTTTACAATTGTGTTTGTTGTTTGTCTTTTTATGGTTCAATATAATACAAAAGTTTTATTAAAAACATTTAAAGTATAATATAAACAAGGCCGATGTATTTTTTACATTCAGAAATACTTAATACTTACAGCTATACAACTCAGCTAAACAACCTTAGCTGATCGGTAATTCAATCTTATAAAGTACAATGAGAGCGTAATTAAACATTTTATAAGCAATAAAATTTTCATTACTACTTGTTTTTTTTTTTCAATATGTACCCTGTTAATTACATACCTCCATTCCCGAAGAAACTTAAAAGGGTAAACCATTGACTATATTAGGTACCGACAGATTGATAGACTATTAGCTTTAGATTACTTACTAGATTTTATTTTTTGTTTCTACTTTATACATCTTTAATAAGAAGGTACCTATATTCTTATTGTAATTGGGCCGAAATGCTATGCTAGATAATTTCACCACTCTATAGCATTTTGTACTCAGAAATAAGCGTGGCAGAGCGGCAGGCGGCACAGTTATAACAAGAGCAATATACATTTAAACTTAAATGATATGGTCATCGACATTCTTCACGCATTTTATCAGACAGTGTTTAAAAGAATTTTTATTACTTCATCCCTACCTTTGATAAGACATGATCAGGTAGAAAACATGCCTGTCTCCACACCACAGGATGTAGGTATATACTAAGCATCTACATTCCTTCGTCAGTTTGTTCCCATCTCTTAAATTCATTTTTTCAATTAAAGTGAACAATATCAAATTAGATAATTAAAGTTGTACACAAAATCTGGTGTGTCTTGTGTAGATAATACAATCCCGGGATTACGGGATTTTTGATGAGTAATCCCGAGATCCGGCTATCCCGGGATTAGATTGTGGTTTCTAATTGGGCTCAATTGAAAAAAAACTTTAGTAATTTCTTAAGAAACGTTTATAATATCGTTGCACAACACAAATCCCAATATACTAAGAAAAAGAAAATAGACAAAACAAAAAAAGCCTACTTTTGCAAGAAATCAAAATGACAACATAAAAAAACCGATTTAGATTTTTGAAAATACAATCGCAGAAATATCAAAGCATCCAATGTTTGAATTCCATGCCAGCTTCGTAGTTTATTGCCAACATAAGTAGCAGCTGAAAACGCTCGCTCAGGCTTTACGCTGGTTGGAGAAATAAACAATAGATACTTATGTATATGCCGTTTCTAAGTGATTATTCCGAGCGGGGAAGTACCTTTTAAGTTCTACGACAAACATATTATTAACATATTATTAGGGCTGTACCTATGTAGTACGTATCGTACGGCGTATCTAAGGGTTGTTTTTGTCGTTATGTAATAAATATTATTAATATAATCTAGGCAAGGTTATTGTCAAGGTGCATTGGACTACGGTATGCAAACTAGACCTGTTTGTGGCAATCCCCAAAAATCTCGATATTAGCCAAATACAGCCCCGGGATTCACAAGACCAGTAAACGGTCGGGATTGCAATATATCTAGTCTTGTGATACGTGATGGCTGCATACATATCTTAAGTTGGTTTAAATTATTTTATTGTTATAACTTATAATCATATTCAGATGTACTGATGAAGTAGAAATGATAAAATAAAAATTTGTGCTTAATTTATAATTTTGTTTATTAGACTATGTGTGCTAGGTATATATAATAAGTATAGTCATTTTATCGGCAGTTTCCTTATAATTCCAATTTTCCGGCCTGTTATTGTGCATCCCATTGACGAATCTTTTTACTTATTAGCAGTTATGACTACTGGATTGATCTTTAAATGTACAAAAGTGTAATTGTTATTTATTATTCTAGGCTCGCAATTGAACATTATTAATAAATAAATATGTTGGGACATTAACACACGGCACCATCTTATAGTTCCATGGTTAGCTACGAGGCTTGTTTTATGGATACCAGATAGTTAATACACTATACATACTGTTATGCAATGCTCCCAGAGGGACTCGAACCCGCGACCACTGGCACAGCAAGTAGGGTACAAAAAGTGCAAGAGTACTACAAACTGAGCCAAACGTATCGTGGCCACTTTAGGTAGCAACTGGTAGTTATATTGTGGTAGTTTATAAAAAAATAAAGCCTTTGGTTAGTTCCACTTATTTAAAATTAACACCTCCAGGTAAATTTCTAAGAAATTAATTCAAATTCTAAGAAATCTATTGTTAACTGACACGCCGGCGTGTCCGCGGTCGTGGAGGGATTAATCATATGTGACTATCGATGTTAATGCTGTCACCCCTAAAACTGTTGGCCTCCTCTAAGTTACACGCCCATGACTAAACCTTACGTAAATCCGCCAATATTTGGTTACCTTTTAAATTCTATTGCATGTAATATAGATTATAGATATTAAATATGTTTTTATGAATTAAAAAGAAACGATAGTGTTACAAAAATTAGATAGTAAATAGGTACTACGCTAATATATCACAACTCACAAGTTGTTTTTTTAAAAGAGATATTACCATAAATCTGTAGTCTCGATTTGGAGTCCGTTGAGCTACTGGAGATACTTATTTCGGTTAAACTCTCCAACCAATGCTGTAAATATTAGGTAGATATGAACATAATTTAAAACATACCTATCGTATAGATTTTATTAATTTCATATTTAGTAGTTAATAACTAATACGTATGTAAACAGTATCTACCTAGGTTTCACTAACTCTTAAATAAAATCTAAAAGAACTCTTTCGTGCTTACTCTTGCAAAGAATAAATGTGTTTTTTATTAAATTCTAATAAGTTCTGTATACTTTAAACGTATAATATGATTACGAGTATTCGGATTATCTACGAACTATCCCACAGCACATAATACCTACTACCTAAGTAACAAAACCTTTTGATTAACAGTAACATATTGAAAACATACCACGCTACATATGTATGTAACTACCTCTAACTCTCTCTCCTCTAACCTTATCTATTGGAATGAGTCGACCAACTTTTTTCATGCAAGCAAAATTAGCTTTTTGTCCAACTAAATGCTTCGTTATTTCAGTTGTTGACATAACTTTATTCACTATTCCTTCTAACATTTCCGGATGTTTTTGTGACAGGCCGGGAAACATTAAAGCTATCGGCTGCGTTTGCGGCCTATCTTCACTGTCGACCTAAAAAAAATTTTGTTTCTAATTATAAAAAGTAGCGTTTATGTTATAAGTTGGTACAATTTTTTTATAATATAAATTACATGTAATACTTCCTCTCCATCACTCCTACTACAAGATTGTTTATCAATAGGTGAATTCGGAAAAATATTAATCCATTCGGAATCTTTTGCCAACAAAGCAAATTGTGGTTCTTGAGCCTCTCCTTCCTGTGTTACTCTTTGAACATTTTCAAAATTCTGAAAAGTGATATAATAATAGTAGTAATAGTATAATGAAATATGAATAATAAGGTAAATATAGATTATTTTATGTCATAGATCATGTTTAACTTTATAGCATTTTATGCATTCATAGCCGACGTACAAAATTAGGATTTGTAGTCGCTAACGTTTTATTTTTAGGTCGTTTGTACACCCTCTTGTTATAATTATTCATGTTTTTAAGATCTTCATCGTTCTATTGACCTAAGGCATTTTTATGTTTTTATTGACTTTAAACCGACAATCAAATCTCACCACTAGAAAAAAGTTTTTATGATAAGCCCAGTTTACATGATATAGTTTCTGTTTGCTGAGTGCGAGTTTCACAAAAAAAATTCAAATGACTACTTACCTTAGATTATTTATTTGTTTAGCTAATGCATGATTAAAATAAATTGGCGAATGTTAAGGACATTAAAAGAGAAGTTATGTCTCTTTTTAACCCCCGACGCAAAAAAAACGTGTATTGTAAAAGTTTAACGTGTATTTGGCTCATAGGGCTCGTTCATGTTGCTAATGCTTTAGTGAGAAATTATTAATAATATGTAATAACATAAAATCAACAATAAAATCAAATTAACTATTTTTAAATATTCGTATACATTATTTATTAATTTTCGCTTACCGACGTATCACTGTCATCTCCTACATCTATACATATAATAAAATTGTAACTAAGCCGAATCTGTACATTAAATATTTTTTGGAAAATCTTATTGAAATAGTCATTATTATCGATACAGAGGCCGAACCATAGTTTTTAGAATTTTTGTCTGTTACCGCATCACAGGAAAACCACTGGAGGGATTTTGATGAAATTTGGTTTGGCGATAGCTGGTTATCCGGGTCAACATATAGGATACTTTTTACCGCGGGAAAATATCTCATTTCTGAGAAAAAATACAAAAACTGCATGTAAACTAATAATCTAAGAATTTGGTTTTTGGTCATCTGAACGCGGGCGAAGCGGCGGGCAATGCTAGTTAATAATAAATCAGGTAACTACACGAGAGACGTCTGAACGGTACGGAATGCAACGACGGCGTACGGAGTGCGGACTAATTATGACTTGCAGTGTAATCGAGGCCTAAGCGCCTTATCTGCAACTAATCAGTAATCACGTGAAAGCGCAAAATCTCAGTGCTTGGTTCATTGGCCGAACACAGTATAGACTGTAACAATCTTTCTCTGTGCTTTTTATCCAGATTTAATTTTTAATTATTAAATTAAACTTTATTTTGTTATATTTTTAGTACATATAAAAAAAACAAACTTAGTATTGTGACCCACCTAAAATAGGTATATATAAGACTATCCACGGTATCGGTACCTTGACCACAGATTGTACAATATTATATTAGCCTTGACCAAAATCATTTTCGTTATAATTATGTTTATATTATTATTATAATTTTGTTATGATTTATTTTGAAATAAAAGGATTATTTTAGAATATCGCTCAATTCGATTTTCATGATACTACACATAAGATTTTTAAATAAAAATATCTATTTTTACAATGTATTTAATATTCAATTACATATTTATTTACATAAGATTATAAAAAGGTAGTGTTGTTTCTATGAATAATCATCATCTTCTGTGTCATCTTGCCTATTCCCTGAAGGTGGTGGGATATATGGTTGAGGCGCCCCTTCAACACCAACCAAGCCTTGTTGTTGAAGCAATAACCATTGTTGGTGTTCCTGTTTAGCTTGTTCTTCTCTAGCCTAGAAAAATATTTTATTATTACACAAAAATCTGCCAAACGTAGATTTGTACTGCATAACAAGGTTTCCATTCAACCAAATAATATATTTGTGTTACATATTTAAACTGACAAAAAAGCTTTTTATATCAATAAGTGGCTGTAACCCATTATGCTTGTCCAATTAACACTTACTAGACTTTTTCACTTGTTGGTTTATTTTCAAGTTAACAATTTGTTCTTGACACTTCATAATGAGACAAAAATCAGTGAACATTTTATATTTGGAATTTTGTGAACTATATTAGATACAATAAAAGCACAATAAATTAGGGACAAACCATACTTATTTAAATATAAAAATTTACACTATATCTCTGTATAAGAAAATAAATAGAATTAAAATATCTTTATCTACTTAAACATACCAACTTCAAATTTTTGAATTATCATGTTATTCTCATTGTTATTCCCAATTTTATTTTTATTGTTATTCTCATTACTCAATATCAAGCTCAACTCAATATCAATATATTTAAAATTACAGCATAAAAAAGATAGCAATTATACTAAACAAAAAATCATACTTTTGCAAAAAGCTCTTGTTGTTGTCTTAAAAGCTCTTCTTCTGGTATACCTAGATTTTCAAGTCTAGTACTTTGTCGCCTTCGTTTTGCTGCCACTGCTTTGCAATCTTTCAACACTGCCTCTGCTTCCACTGTATAGTCACTAAAACCTAGTCTGTCCAGAGCTAAAAGTAATAAATAAAAACTATGGAAAATGCATAAATTTCAAAATAATACTTAATGACAATGATTATGTTCATAGTAAGTACTTTCTTAAGTGTATTGTGGAAGTACCTACCTAGGTACTAATACCTAACCTTAGGAGGCAGATAGTGGGGAAAGCATTTTATCACTATAATATCATTGTCAAGACATGTAGACAAAGGAAGGGTATCAATAAGGCCTCATTTCTGCCCCCGGATAGTGACAAAACTCATGTGATACAATTTGATCTTTACATATCCTGAAAGTAGACTGTGTGCCTGATAAGACAATATATTTATGAGAGAAAAAAAACTACAATTAATACCACTTGTAAGACGTCAAACTTTGGTTAAACTGGTAACTGGTCTAACATTTCGTCCAAAATGAGAAATTTTCAGTAACATTTCAACTTTTTTTTATATACAGTGCAGGATGGAAGCAGTGTAATTTTTAAATATATTATGTAGTAACATAAGAACATTAAAATAAAAAATAAAGTGCTTCTCATAATATGCGCTCTATATGAAAAAAATGGAATGTTACTGAAAACGTCTCATTTTGAATGAAAATCCCAGTTAGACCAAAGTTTAGTGTCTCATAAGATGTAGTTTTAGTTGAGTTTTTTTTTCTCATAAATATATTATATTACCGGGCACAGTCTTCTTTCAGAATATGTAGAGATCAAATCATATGACAATTTTTTCGTTATTCAGGGGCGGAAATTAGACCTTATCGATACCCTTCTTATAGAAAATTTATAAGTAGTATAAGTAAAGTAATTTATAAGTATACCTGTGAGGACATGTTCAGCATTAATCGTCTTCTTATTATTTTGATTACATACTTCATTTGCTTCAGAACTTATCAAGTGTATGAATTCAGTACAACAATTTAATATTAACTCTCGTGATTCAAAGGCAACTCTTATAGAGGGTACTAATTCTTTGATCATTTTGTTTATGCTGGCTCTTGGAAGAGTCAATTCATCTTCTTCTGAAGGTGGAGGGCACAGTTCTCGTTCTGGACTTCCCATATTACTTGGCAGTTGGCACCAAAACTATAATAAAACCTGTGACAGTAAATTTAAATTTACTGTTGTCAATGGTTAACACTAAGCCTGTGCTAATTTTATCTATTAATAGTAATCTTACAAAAGCATTTTTCCCTAATACACTAGTTACAGTTATACTAAGCTAATAGTTTCAATCATGGATGACAAATAAAGATTTCAATTAAAAACTTTAATTTCATTAAAATAACTATTTGACAACTGTAATCACTGGACCAGGAACAACAAGAATTGATGACAGATTGACTGACAACTGACAAAGACAAACAAATTTAGCACAGAGTACAGAACTACAGACTATAAAACAAAATAATTTAATGTGCATGAAATCATAATAGGTGGTCACTGACAAATACTGCTTGTAAGAAGAATGAAAATATTAGACTTTAAAAATGGCTTTAATCGTTGTTTATAAAGTATTCTCATAATCTTATTGCTTTTGTGGTCTGCTTAAATAATATTTAAAAAAGAAATTTTGAAGTACTATAATAATATAATTGCTAAAGTTGAGAATAAAGTGAGTGTGTTAATTCTACACACAGTGATACTACCTCCGGTCCAAACAGATGATCAAATTTTGTTTAACATTGGATGACGCTTGACGAGAAATGCAAAAGTTATAAATAAATAAATTTTAAGTTTTAAAATTGTATATTGGAAATTCAGAAAAGTTAACAAGCACAAAGAATATAAATTTATTATTTTGTTAACATTTTTAGTCTTCGCGTGACTTGCCATTAATTCTATAAGCTCATTTTGAATATTTTTTCCGAGATGTGGACATTATTTGTATCTCTTTAGAATTCACGGGCTCGGAGGAGCCCGGCCGTTTGTAAGGCTTGTGTTCCTCAGGTGCAACACGTAGAGACCCCTGAGATTTAAGCGTTTAACATGAAGCAACAGCCGGAATCCATCTCTGAGTAACCCATAAGGAATTACTCAAATATGGTCCGGATAATGCGAAGGGACTATGGAAAATATAAAAAACTAATAGGGTCTATGGAATGGATTTTGGATAGGCTACAAACTGGGCTATTGGATAAGACTATCGGGCGTCCGCCTTCTCAACAGTCTCAGATTTGGCGTACGGTTACTCGCCTCCCACTCACGGTATAATGCCTCGGGCACAGCATCAGCGTGGTTGGCTAAAGATGTCGAGAAATGTGCACCAGTTTCACCATCGCAATTGCTCATGAGCGGGTTCCTCGTTATTTTGCATGTTGAGCACTTCTACTCTTTCAAGCACTTGGCTCTTGCGCTCCACTCTGGAGGGCCAAAGACTCTGGGCTAAAGAGTCAATAGATGTACAGCTTTTTTAAACCAGTCTCTAAATTTAACCATTTTAACATAGGATCTTTTTGCAGTCGACTAGATTAATGAAACTTTAAATATTTATCCAAGTTTTTCCAATTGAAAACTTCTGCACTGGACCCAATTTTTTATATTCTTTTCTGAACACTCGACAGAGAATGCAGTAAATGGCATATTTTGTTTGTGAATAAATCATCCAGTGCCTGTCTAGTTTTTGGCCATTAGCTAATATTTTATTGTAATGATACCTATACAATGAATGAGTCTTTCTGTATAGTAAGTCTCAGTAACAGCCCGGAGTTGAGAAGTTGGCGGTGTTTCACCCCCGTGCCTCGGTGAGCACGTAAAGCCGTGGGTCCTGCGCCTTAACTCTCACCGGTCGTGTCGAGAGGTCGTCCCACCGGAGTATAAGAGTGACAGGAATAGAGAGTGCACTTGTGTCTGCGCGTACACTTGTGCACTATAATATCTCCTGTGTAGTTGGCTAGACTCAATGAGATTGGCCGCCGTGGCCGGAATCGGCTAGGAGAACATCATCATCATCAATAAATCACCGTCCACTATCGTTTGAAAGAAATTCTGTCTTAGAACGGATTAGACCTTTCAATGAAATCTTAGTTCGGTCTGCATCATAATTGATGGCCATAAATCTGGGTCATTTCAAGGATTCAGATTTTCAATTCCGCCACTGGATGTAGACATAGATTTAGATACATATTTTTGGCTGGATAGTGTTGACGACGGCTGCGGCGGTGGGGTAACAATGATGGTACTTACTCACTGTTGTTGTTGAAAAAATTATGTCAGCTGGATTAGGGTTAGAATGCAATAACATGTCACTTTCAGTCACAAAAGAGTCTCAAGGACTTAGAAGCTTCTTGACCATTGTCTTTTATATATTTATACAAATACACATAAAGATATTCTCTGAATGCTTTCTTTTGATAGTTTGTTGCCTTTTTGAACTATCGAACTAATTTTTTCTACTGGCATCACAATCGGCCAAACTCAGTTTGAAAATCTTTTTTGCACATAAAATTTATAAAAAAATTACAAGCAGTTTTACGCAGTTTTTTTACTAATTCACTCTTTACTATTATTACTTATACTTAATAGTGAAAGATTTAATATTAATAAAGGCTTATTGAAAGATATGTGCTTGTACTTGCACGTTATGGGTTTTTAATGTACGGCGTAAGGCACAAGATTCTAATACACTTGGGTTGTTGTGCGAAGGCGCGAGGCCCCTGAAAGTGCGAGGCCCCGGGCGGTTGCCCTGCTCGCCACCCCCTAAGGCCGCCACTGGATGTAAGCATAAAATTATCACAAAAAAATAATACTATCTAAATAAAAAATATGTATAATAAAATTATAACTAAGGCGAATCTTTACATTAAACAATCTTTGGAAAATCTTATTGAAATAGACATTATTATCGATACAGAGGCCGAATATATAGTTTTTAGAATTTTTATGTCTGTCTGTGATCATATCACGAATAAACTACTGGAGGGATTTTGATGAAATTTTGTATGATAATAGCTAGTTATCCGGGCGCGTCAATAAAGGATACTTTTTACTGCGGTAAAATATATCATCTGTAAGATCTACAATAAGCGTTAAAACGTACGTAGGGATGAACCCGAGCGGAGCGAGGGCACGGTAATGTCATACATACAGTATTGTAACTCGGCCCTGTCCTTGAAATAATTACCTACAGCTGCGCGGTACGTAACTACGAGACAGGGCGGCCCGCCTACATTATGTTAATATCATGTACCTACTTGAGTTTATTTCTAGTTTTGTGATAAGATATAAAATAATTTGTGATAAAATAATAATTGCAAATATTATATTTTTTATTTAAAAAATATTATTAGTAGATTTAATTAAAAAATCTCAAATTTATAAGGATGATATGTGACCCTTACAAATTAGAGATTGAAAAATATTTGCACCTCGACTGAGGCTACGAAATGTTTTATTGTTAAATTTAATAGTTTAAAAACCCGCATTCGGATAAAACGTTTAATTAAAAATACTTAAATTTTTATTTTTAATTTATTTATATTAATTTTAAAACATACGATGTCTCGATATTTTTTTGTTTGATATTAGCGAAGTTAAGGGAGGATAAAATGTTTATTTTTCTATCCAATTATAAAAGTTACATAACACCATCAACAATTTTCGTATCCAATACATGATCTGGCAGCCCCGGACGGTTGTCTACCGAGCGTATACTGAACTCGAGGCGCGTACGTTTACTCGATTTCTGACCGTTTGTATGAAGATGGAATAGTGTAGTAACATTACCGTGGCGAGAGCAAGTCGCTAGTAATATAATATAGTACAATTATATTATATGTCAGTGTACGATACAATATATTATAGTACTAATAACAATTCTAGATAACATCCTTATTAATGTATACGAGCGAAAAAAATTAATCTTCATTGGCAATTGTATCTTCAAATTTGTTTATATTTCTTTTATTTCGGACAGTCCCAAATAGAGGTCAAAAACGAGTTTCTTTACTTCTTAAGTGTTTTTAATTTATCAGTAAGCCCTCCACCTTAATTAAAATATTTGTACTCTGTGGTCTCTTATGTTACAGTATACAGATTTTATGTAGCAAATAACAATATAATCTATGTTACAGATAAAAGAACTTTGTCAATTCATCAAATGTCAATAAATTTACTATGAAAATGATAATGAACGTGGTCCTTTTTATTTTGTTTGTTTTTTAGTTTATTTAAACGTTGTATAAAAATGGTTTTCTATTTTACAAGTAATGTTGTTTCACCACCAGTAACTCTTTTTATGGGTGCTGATAAACATGAAAGTAAGTTTATAATAAATATATATAACTTTAACCTTTCTATTATTGATTTATCTATATAAATTACAATAACATAACATATAATCTGATCAGAAATAAATTTTATAATTTAATTTTTAGACGAAGATTTAATCAAATGGGGCTGGCCAGAAGATGTTTGGTTTCATGTTGATAAAGTTTCTTCTGCCCATGTCTATCTTCGCTTGGCACCAGTAAGATTTAAAAGTATTTATTTAGAAAACGAAGTTTATAATTTTAAACTCATAAATTTGAATATTTTTTATTTTATTTTAAGGGTCAAACAATAGATGATATACCAAATTCAGTACTAGATGATGCTTGTCAATTAGTTAAGGCTAACTCCATAATGGGTAATAAAATGAATGATATTGATATTGTTTACACAATGTGGGCAAATTTGAAAAAAACTCCAAGCATGGAGGTAAGTTATTAATCCAAAATTTTGGATATAACTTATATATCATAACATATATTTAAATATAAACAATATAATAAAATTATTTCATATCTTATTAATAGGTAGGACAAGTGGCTTTCCATAAGGATCGAGATGTAAGAAAAGTAAGAGTTGTCAAAAGAATTAATGAAACTGTAAACAGACTCAATAAAACAAAAAGAGAATCATTCCCAGATTTAAGGTTAGAAAGAGAAAGTAGAGATAGGCTGGAAAGAGAAGATAAAAAGAAAATATTGAGGGAGAAGAAAGAAAAAGAAAAGGAAGAGGAAAAACGAAAAAAAGAAGAAGCTGAATTAAGAAGTTATTCTACCCTTATGAAAAAAGAAAATATGAGTACTAATTATGATGGAAATGATTCTGATGAATTTATGTAAAATTTAAATTAATAAAAGTGTACATGTGCATTTAAATTATTTTGTTAATGGAATTAAGCCTTTAAGTTTGAAATGAAAATATTTAAGTTTCAATTATTTTAATTCCAACAGAATTCAAAGAATTTATAATCCAAGTTGGGTAATTTTTGTTAGGATACATTTCAGAGATAAAACCCTTAACAAATTGTGGAAAGGTGCCTTTTTCTATATTGTCTCTCATGGTCCTCATTAGACGCATCTGAAATAAAATAGAGTATATAAGCCAGTAAGTCATACTCAATAAAAATATTAAATGATTGAGACAAAAACAAACCTGAAAGGCAATATTATGTACAGATATAAGATGACAAGCAACTGTTTCTACTGAGACAATACAGTGCAAATAAGCCCTTGTATAGTTTTTACATGTAGCACAATCACAATTAGTATCAATAGGATTTAGGTCAGTCTCATAAATTTTCTGTTTCAAATTCAGCTGGCCTTTGTTTACAAGTGCACATCCAAATCTCTGCAAAAACATTTAAATGTAATAAATTATATTTAAAAAGTGGTTATTAAGAACAATACTATATTTTGATCTTACAGCTGTACGAGTTGGGTACACACAATCAAACATATCCACTCCGAGAGCAACACATACAACCAGATCAATCGGTACTCCAACTCCCATTAGATATCGTGGCTTATTTTTGTCTAATATTTCTGTGCCAAGACTGACCATTGGCCAAAAATCATCCTTAGCCTCTCCTCCACTGTAAAGAAATATTGATTGAATAAAAATTAAATAGATAAATACATGGGTACTTAGAAAAGATTTTTTTTTGTAATTTTCTTTTGTTTCTAACTAGTAAGAATATAATCCTTTATATAAAATTATATTGTGGGAATTTTGATTTCACATTATATTTTATAGTCTAGGGATCTACAAGCAAAGATTTAGGTCTGCGCTTGTTTTATGTTATATGAAGATATATAGAAATAAACTGTATATTTATTAAAATAAAGTAGTTAAAATATAAATATTTTCTTTGTTTATTCAATTCAATTTTTTTATTAATAGCTTCAATTCTTTATGTCTAATTTTTATTGATCTGATATGCTATAAAATATTTATTTGAATTAATATATATTGTGTACCTAAGGCCTCCTATTGCAAAACCATTAACATTTTTTGTCATATGTTCTTGAGCACTTTGCCTTCTAAGTTCAGGATTTAATAAGCCTTGTACTATCGGAAATATGTTTTGGTCATCAGGCTTTTTGTGTGCTTTTAAACAACGGTCAAGCCATCGGCTTGTTCTTTCTGTTGCTTCTTTGATGCGATCATAATCTTGAAATGTGGTTTGTACTACATCATCGAGTTGCATTATAATGTCTGCTCCTGAAATGTATTGATTGATTAACATAATAAAAAATACTCATACTCCATTTTTCTCAGGGTACACATTCCCTATTTTTTTTAATAATTGTTTAAAATATAAGCAGAGAGAATACCTAATAACATACATATAATAACTTACTTAACTTAAACCTCAACAACTCAACTCTCTTATAACAATATATTTATGAAATAAATAAAAATATATAGGGTTATCAAAAGTATCATAAGTTCTTTTCTGTTGCAAATATTTACACATGAGAGTTGTTGTGATCCTGTATATAAAATTCCAAAACTATTAGATTACTTTTGAGCAGGAATATGCAAAGAAGTATGGGGGATGCTAGGCAGTAATATAAAAAATGCCGATCTAGGAAAAGTGGGTACCACTTAAATTGCCTCATACAGAAGTATAGAGTGATGAACTTTTACATCTCTTACGAGGTTTTTTTTATCCCATATATATCCCAATAAGATAAATATGTTTATCATTAACCCAACAACTTACTAATCAATTACTTATTTACTTTCTCCCAACTTGAAATAAAATAAATGAAAAAGTACAACTTATAATTTGTGTTTATTTTTTTTATGTAAATTCTTCAAAAATTATTCCTAAATCCTTTAAATACTTACATATTTTGCTTTTTACCTCATTCTCAGACTAGATGTCTTCCTTTCCTCATTATTAGTTTATTAATCATAAACATTTAAAATAAAAATCCCCAATGAAGTTTCACTTCTAACGTGTGTACTCTGTACAAATTTTATTTTTTGTTGTAAATCTATGTATTTATATAATATAATGTTCTTTAAAAAAAATTGTTTGTCTATCTTATATAATTTAAAATATGTTGCTTTATACAGTATTTTTATATTATATCACTTATGGAAACATACCTATATAATTCTGAATTTCTATAGATTTTTCTGGAGTTAACATAATTTCAGTGTCATCATATGGTGACCTAAATTTAACACCTTCCTCAGTTATCTCAGCTAATTTAAGCAATGAAACCATTTGAAAACCTCCAGAGTCAGTAAGGAGAGCTCTATTCCAACCCATAAATTTATGAAGTCCCCCAGCTTTTTTTAGTACTTCAATACCAGGCCTATTCCCTAAATGGTAAGTATTTCCCAGTATAATCTCACAGTTTAAATTTTCTAATTGATCTGGCAACAATCCTTTCATAGTTCCCTGAAATGTAGTCGAAACAACGGAATTTACGTTTTTTTTTCGATTTTACGAATAATACAATGTATTATATGAGTTAAGTATACCTGTGTACCAACTGGCATAAATACTGGTGTTTTAACTTCATAATGTGGTAACTTCATAAGACCAGAACGAGCTTTTGTAAATGTACATTCCGATTGCACAGTAAATGATAAAGCTTTAGCCGTGCTTACCATTTTAAATACACTTAATGTTTATATCTTAAATTTGTTTCTATAGAAATGATTGTTATTATAACGTTAACGTTATTAACTTCAATTTTTTTGTATTGAAAAGTTAATTATTTTACGCAAAAAAAATTCAGCTGGAAACTTGGAAAGATAAAAATGAATAAATTTAAATATAAAGACTTTTATTTAAAACATCACACAAAAAATGAATAAGTAAACCTAATTTTGTAAATTATAGAAAAGTCAAAAAAGGCTGAATTACAGAGTTGTCATCCATGCTATAGAGTACAGACAGGCTGAGGGAGGCTGAGCTTGTCTACATTCTACAATCATGGGTGACAAATAAAACACAATATACCTTAAGTCTTAACTATTTATACTTATAATAAAATTGTAAGTAAGGCGAATCTGTACATTAAATATTTTTTGGAAAATCTTATAGAAATAAACATTATTATTGATACAGAGGCCGAATCTATAGTTTTTAAAATTTTTGTCTGTCTTTCTGTCTGTTACCGCATCACAGAAAAACCACTGGGTGACTGGAGGGATTTGGATGAAATTTGGTATGGTGATAGCTGGTTATCCGGGTCAACATATAGGATACTTTTTACCGCGGGAAAATATCTCATTTCTGAGAAAAAATACAAAAATTGCATTGTAAGAGTATAATATGTAAAACCTAAGAATTTGCTTTTTGGTCATCTGAACGCACTCGGAGCCGCGGGCAATGCTAGTCTATAATGAATACATGTCGTTGGACAAGTATAAAGAAGAACATTAGTTTTTCATTAGAAAGAAAGTGGAAAATGTTAGTGTAAAGTGTTACATTCAAAATTATGAAACTAATTATTTAATCAAATAAAACTTAAAAAGGGAAATGCCATAATGGTGTTGTAACTTGTAAGTTTATCTATTCAGGAAGACTATTTAAATAAAATTCATCGCAATTTCAATGTGTATTGATAAATTTTTTATTCTTTATTGTAATGAAAAATAATTATTTTATCGTATAGTTGGAGTTGGGATGTTGGATATAGTTGATATATGATCTTCTTTTTATCTGTGTTGTATGTCTAATGTCAGTTTTTAGCAATACGGTAGACATTTGTCAAATTGAGCAATTAAGTTTTATACATATAACCTAATTTAGTTAATAAAGATTGGTTAAAATTATAAAAAAAACCCTTAATATTAATCGTGCAAGTACTACTCGTGTGTTTATAAATAATTCACTAGTGTTATTTTAATGTATTGTGAAATAAGCATGAATATTAAAACATACGTAAGTACATTGTAATGTTAAACTGAACTTGAGTGTTTTGTGAAATACCTGTTTTTAAAGTAGATATTTATTATTATACACAATTTCCATATTATATCTCAATATTCGTGTTAGTATAGAGTCGTAAATATAGCTCAGTTTTTTGACTGGTAGCACGTGTTGTTACGACGTCTGTGACGTTGGTTCGATTCCACCTTCCTGGTTAACTTATTGATATTTTGTTTTTTTAAGTATTAAAATTAATAACGTACATATATGTTTTCTTTTTTTTTATGTTAATAAATCTATATAAATATATTGATCTATATAAGTAAATCTTATATTTTAAATGTTTTATATTTTATAGTTTGTTAAATTGGTTAGTTAATTAAAATGTTAATTATAACTATATAACTTTTTTTTATAATTTTATTCTCAATTTACAAATGGTATCATGATTTTTATATAAAACAAGGGTTTAGAGGCAGCTTAGTGGGCACACTGTACATTTTTGTTAAAAAAAATTTAAGTTCTGGGTTCAATCCCAAGTCAAGAATATGTCTTTCAGTTATTTTGTTTCAGCTCAAATTTTTTTTTACAACATATATTGATATGAAACTATAATTATGAAACTAATGTTTTGCTTACAATGAGTTCCAAAAAACTTAAAAAATCTACTTGGGACAAGTGTCATATAAATACAATCAGTGGTAATAATCCAGAAGTGCTAGTTTTACCACCTGATATTTTACAAAAATTAGGTATAAACTTGGGAAATATTGAAAGTTCAAAAGAGATTACTATAAAAAAAGAGAACTTAAAAGGTGAGATCTGTTTAAAAAAATGAATTTTGAAAAATAATATTTAGATTTTTTAAATTGAATAATCTAGGTATATAGTTACACTTAACATTATTTTTATAGCATATTTATTGAATTTCATTTAGTTTTAACATTTAATTGGTTTAATACCTACAAAATATATGTATATATATATATATATATATATATATATATATATATATATATATATATATATATATATATATATATTGTAATGCTGGAATTCATTTGTGATTATTAAGAAATCGTTTTTACTCTTTTCTATTAATAGAATTTATAATAATATGTAAATGAGTATTTACTTTCTGCTTTAATTTTTACTAAATTATTATAAAATCAGTGTTACAAAACCATATGATATTAAATTTAATTTTAGCTAAAATTAAAAATCTTATATTAACCTACCATGATAGTTAAATTGATCTTGAGAAATTACCCTTGTGACATACTTTTTCAGGGTTCCATACCCAAAGGGGAAAACGGGACCCTATTACTAAGACTCCTCTGTCCGTCTGTCACCAGGCTGTATCTCATGAACTGTGATAGTTAGTTGAAATTTTCACAGTTAATGTATTTCTGTTGCCGCTATAACAAAAAATACTAAAAAACAATAAAATAAATATTTAAGGGGGCTCCCATACAACAAACGTGATTTTTTTGCTCTTTTTTGTTCGATATTGATAACGACAACAGTTAGACTTTTGAAATATTCACAGAATATTTAGTTATATATTTGCTTTAAAAATAAATAATTAAATTAAAATAAAACAAATATTTAAGGGGGGCTCCAATACAACAAACGTGATTTTTTTTGTTTTGCTTGTTTTTGCTCGATATTATAGATAATGGTACGGAACCCTTCGTGCGCGAGTCCGACTCCCACTTGGCCGGGTTTTTTTTTTCAATTTAATTCTTGTGATGATATAGTCTTTTGGAGTCAAAGAAAATTAATCAAATATGTTAGCCTAAGCAAATAAAGTAACCAGCCAAAATAATTTGTGTAGGTTTTGAAAATTGTATATATATATATATATATATATATATATATATATATATATATATATATATAAAGTCTTTAATATATATTTTTATTAAGATTCATACGTTAAAAGCTACAGGATATTTAAATTAATAAAAAATTACTTAATTAATGGAATGAACTAATAAAAGTAGAAACTACTAAGCTCTTTTATATTATGTTATGAATTTTAATCGTTTTTCCGACATAATTAATGGTAAAATATTGAATTCGTAAAATGTGAAAAAAAATATATATAATGAAATATGAAGTAAGTAAAGATTTAGGTCTGCGCTTGTTTTATGTTATATGAAGATATATAGAAATAAACTGTATATTTATTAAAATAAAGTAGTTAAAATAAAAATATTTTCTTTGTTTATTCAATTCAATTTTTTTATTAATAGCTTCAATTCTTTATGTCTAATTTTTATTGATCTGATATGCTATAAAATATGTATATAATGATTGATTTAAATTTCATTCTTATAAATGATCTTATTAACCACCGATTCAAAGAAGGGCGTTATAAGTTGACGTGTCTGTTTGTGTGTCAGTGTATCTGTTTGTTTGCTCCTAAACGAATGATTTTGATGTTTGAAGCCGATTTTGATGCGGTTTTTTTTGCTTGAAAGCTGACGTGTCGAGATGTTTCTTAGCTATAATTTATGAAGATCTGTTCAGGAGTTTGATGATTATCACTCATTTCCAACTTGAAAGTTAATAAGACCCTTCATATTAACTTTCATAGATCTAATTGATTTGAAATTCGATGTACTGTAACTTCGATGTTATTTCCAACTCATACCTTGAGCTGATGGTAGTCTGTGTGATGCTCAATTCCTCAGAAACTTACAACAGGTATAGCGTGTTTGGGCTCATAAGTATAGTTTCAATAAGAATTATCTATTAGAATTAAGATCCGCGAGTAATTTAAACAGAATGAAATAAAAATAAAATTAAATTTTATGTAACCACCGACACAAAAAAATCGTCTAAAAAGTAAAAAAAAAATCTCTCTTGGCTTTTTAGCTTCATTAAAAGTATCTACATATTAATATTTTCATGATGAGTATCGCCGCGTCGGCGAACCGCTAAGTAAATAAAATAAGAACCAGAATACAAATAAAAAGAAGATTGATAATGATAAAGTAATCGCGGTCCCCCGACGTGTCGACGCTTATTACCGAAATGTTAATAGGTAGGTAATTTTAATAAAGTTAAGGGGCCAAGAGAGAATACGTATATTTTTTTACCTTTTAGAGGTTTTTTCTGTATCGGGGGTTACTTATTACTTTCGTTTTTCTTTAATAAGTATAATAAACGTGCTGCGTGCGACAAAAGGAGTACCTTATCAATTTTATAGGTCCATTCCGCCAGGTTTTAAAATAGGTACATTACTGAGTTTGTTTAGTTTTCAATATTATTGAGTATCGCTGGCTGTTCAGACAGTCTGAGTAGAGAGAAGGTGCACTGTATATTGCGTAACCATATAAGAACGTAAATTTTTTAGCCTTTAATCAGCTTTGTTAGTGCTTCTAAAACGCATTTGTAAATTAAATGCATAAAATTGAATGCAGTTAATTTATTTAGAAGTAACTGTAATGATATTATTATTAACAGTTTTTGAGGTATGAGGTAAAAAACCTTAAAAAGTTCCTTTGCACCTCTTCCTCCACCGCCAACTCAACTCTCACTCTGGGGACTTTTCGTATTTAAATTATGATGCCTTAAGGAATAGCCAACTTAAAAAGTTACACGAATTATTTTGGTTGATCGATGATTATTAGGCCAATTTTCTTACTCTAGTTAAAAAAATATATATTGTATTAATATTTTTGTAAATGTATATACATACATACATACATATATATTTAATATAATTTTTGAAAATATAATGTTATAGCTTTTTATTATTTCAGACAGAAACAATGAATCTAAAGGTTCTGCAGATAAAGAATCTATTGAAAAAACCTGTAATATCGAATCATCTTTTTTAGAAACTGCTAATTTAATGAAAGAGTCCGTATTGTTGAGTCCAACATTCCATACCATGAAACATAATTCTGCTTTAAATGAATTAAAAATGGTTCATACTAATAAACATGAAAATTCATTTGATATCCAGCAAAAAGACAGAAAAGATCTTAGTAATAGAAATGAATGTGAAATGCACACTTTGCAATTTGATATTGAATCAGATAGTGTTGTTGAAGTTACACATAATTTAAACACAGAAATCAGGAATCAATCTGAAATAATTAAAGAAGAGATTCAAACCTTAAACACAAACAGTAAAATCCGAATTAAAAATACATTATCTAAATCTATAGAAACGTCGTCAGAAAATGTTTCCAAAAAAGTCTTCGATTCTAATGCTTCTGAGTCTAAAAATCAAATAAATATAATATCACAGGAAATAATAGGGATTGATAGTATAGCAAAAATAAAATATTTGACTTCACCTGATAGAAGACATCTTATCCCTGTAAAAATAGATACACTATTGCCTAGCAATAAAATACATAAGAGCAAAGAACAAAGATCATGTCTTTCAATACCTGAAACAATTTCTGGTGCAAGTCATATAACAAATGTACAAAGCTTAGATAGACCTGTCAAGGAACAAGAAAACAACATAGTAAATACCAAATCACTATCACTTGAATCTGGAGAAAATTTTAACATAACACAGGACCCTAACGTAAGAATTACAAATGAAATCAACAAATTAAGTTTTAATAACACCTCAAATATTGAAATGGAAAAAAGTTACCAACCTGAAAAATCTAAATCACAAATAAACATAATGGAAGAACACGTGGAAAATAATTATAATGATAGAAAAACAATGTTATTAAATGAAGAAAATAAAGAATTTGATAATATAGCAGATTGTAATGAACAAAAAATATATTTAAATACTTCTAAAGTCAAAGATGTGGAATATCAATTAGTACCTGCTAAGAATGATGATACTTTATCATCTAAATCACTTGTAGCGAGGAATACAAAATTTGATGATAGTAGTAGTAGTAGTTATCATGATATTGAAGAATTAAGAGACTGTAAAGATAAGAAAATTAACTCAGAAGAAAAGCTTATAACGTCAAAATTATGTATACAAGGAGTCGAAAAACCCGGTGGAGAAGGGAAACTTGTAAATAAAAACGTGGAAATTCAATGTGTACGAACATATTCTAGGAGTAAAAAACCGAAGTCTTTGAATTTCAATATTTTGAAACCAGACAGCTTAGAAAAAAACTTAAAATATGAAGACGCTGAAAATAAACAAATAGACGAAATATCCTATTTGGACATTGAGCAAAATTTTTGTTTGTGCAATGATTTTGGCCGATTATCTTTTTATGGGTATGATGCAAACTACGAGCATATTCATTTCGGGGAACGTCAACCGGTCTGTTCATTGGAAGTGTTTTCTAGTATTTACGAAGATAATAATATGATCGAAATAAGTGAACAAGACATAAATAACATTGAAAATAGTACAATTGAACTGGATAATAGTGTAGAACATGAATATTCTCATAGTAGTTTATTTATATGTTTTAAAGACGATAAAAATTTGTGCGAAAATACGAACAACGATAGCACAATTCTTTGTCAAAAAAATAAAATATTACAAAACCAACAAATTACCAGTGAAGGTACGGAAAATGATGAACACTTAATTAATAAAAAGCATATTGTTGCCGAAAAATCGAATGAAAGTGACACACCATCAAGAGAACGCGTAAGTATTTATAAATATAAATCATTCGGTGTATTGGGATATAAGTTTTGGCAAGAAGCATGCCCCTGCCATGGTCTTATTGTAGGGGTTAGATAAGCGAGAGTGGAGTATCCTACGCTGCTACTGAGCGCTTCTCTTCTATAGGCCCACAATCGCTCTTGTAGTAATTTTACATATATGTACCTATATACCTGTATTTTATTTAAATTATTGCCTTGATACCTATGATATACCTATATAAATATATTTTTATAATTGAAAACATTATGTATCGTATAATAAACTAAAAAAACTACGTGATAAATTTTCATGTATAATAGTTAGTGTACCTTTTGTAAATTGAAAATGAAAATAATAATTGCAAGCTTAGAGAGATTTTTGACTATGTGTTACAGTAAATTACTATTTATACAAGCCTTATTAACATGTTTTTTATTAATCTTTAAAATATTTTGTCATAAAAATTTTAGAATGCAATAAATAAGTCGCCGAAAAAACGTAACAATTTGGATACCAGTTCTTCTAATAGGGACCAAAAGGAAGACCTTGCAAATGAGAGTATGAAATCTGCTGAAATAGTGACCACTAGTAAAAAGACAAAGGTGACTCATGTATATTTTTTTTATTTTCTATTGGCCCTATTGATATGTATTATATGTCGTAAAATGATACTCAATGTCGTACATACGCACCTGTAAGTGATCATGATACAACTCTTTCGATATACCTAGATAGAAATGTCACTTCCCTTGCATAACTTTGTTTAGAAAAGATCCTAGGTCTTTTTAACTTAACTTCAAATTTTATCCAAATAGTACAGATCAAATTGTCTTGACATCTACTGACACAGCACTTGTTTACAATAGTTATATACTATTTCACTTGTCATGAGTTTGATTTCCATTTAAGTTAAATGAAAATGATAATTAATTGTTCTATAAATGAAAGCGTGATGAAGATACAAAGTATTTATTTATAACCTAATTTCATATCTTTACAGAAACGAAAAATATCTAAAACTGATTCTGATCATGATAAGTCTAATTCAAAAAAGGCTTGCTCTGATACAATCTCATGTGGTGTTTGCAAACAAAAAGTGGCTATCGATGAGTGGAAAAACCACATTTCTAGTGAACATGATTTTATAGCATGGGCAGAGGGTGACACTCTTGTGAGTATCCTGTCCAGTGTCCTTAATACTATCTGGAAGTTTAATAATGTTTCTTATTTACGGGTAACCTATTTCAATACGTCTTCTGAGTACCTGAGAAAGGTATGACAGAAATTGCATGTGAGATTGATTACCACTCGAATTTTGTTTAGTTTTTATAAATGGTTTGCATTTTGAAATATAAAACCTATACAACACTAACCACTGATAAAACAAAGTTATACTCAATTTTCTTAAACATTGGAAATAATATTTACAGTTACGGGACTTAACGCGTGATTTCGAAGTGGCTATATACCATGTTCCCGACGTTTCGACTGGGGTGCAACCCAGTCGAAACATTGGAAATATGAAGTTTACTGTATTCCTATCAAAAACTCTGGAAATAGATTAGGGAAATAACATGCGTTAGTCTTAAGAAGAAACGAATAAAGAAAGAAAATGGAAATAAAGTTTCTTTTTTTACTTTATTACAACAAAATTTTTATCCAAACTTGAAATCACATGATACGCAATGAAGGTTTTATTAAAGTTTTTATTTAAATAGATTTTAACTTTTTTAATCAAGCAATAGTATAATTTATATTATACTAGGGAATCACCCTCGCCTCGCTCGGGTTCGTCCGTTTATTGTGTTACTTTCTTTACTTTGTTGACTATTCGCTCGATCTACTGGTCTACGGGAAACATTCCCGTAGATGACCCGTGGGATCGACTAAATTTAGTACAAGCTTTTAGATCTATAGGAAAATTTCCCGTACTTCTCAGTTTTACCTATAAATAAGTTCTCAAAAATAAATTATGTGATGTTTGTTAAAAATACATGATATTAATTAATTAAAAGAAAAAAGTCATTGCACTCTTTTTTCTTGTTTGGGGTGTCAATGTTATTACTTATTAGCACTTTACTTTTTGGAAATGATTCTCTTTGTTATTTTAATTACATATCTATATATCATTTCTGAATATTGATATTTTAATAAATGCTTGAATCAATTATAACCTTTTTTAGAGTGACTGCATATATTTATATGGAGACACTCTAAAAAATAAAAAAATGGATCTGAAAACTTAAAACTAAATTCAGTCGATCTACGGGTCAGCTACGGGAAAGCTTCTCATAGATCGGGCGAATAGTCGCGTCCATATATTATATACGAGTATATACTCGTACATAGGTATGATGAGTTGTTGTTGATTGTATTATAACGTGTTTTCCCGTGGGTATGAGATAATCTCCCGCGGTAAAAAACAAATAATCAAACACACCTTCACATTTATAATATTAGTATGGATTTAATACTTTTCAGGATTTAGAAGACAAAAAGTTGCTTCGAAGATTAAATAACAGATTACTCGAAACTGGAAAAATAATATGTACATTTTGTGATAATGAAATATGTGCATTGGATGAGTTTATTGATCATATCAAAATATGTATGCACAGACAAGTAAGTCAATTTATTATTATTTGCTTTAACAACAATTATTAATTAAATAGTGAAAAGCTATTTTTCGTATAAAACTAAAACTATCACCAATTGTGTTTGTGTAAATGAGGGCGCTCAAATGTGCAATTGAGCGCTCATTGGATGAGGACATTTTTTATGGCTACTTTTCTGATCATGTAAAAGTAGTAAAAGATATTGGCAAAAGTAGAAGTCAAAATAGAATAATATGTTAGACGTTATTATTTCTATCGATTTGTCTATATTTTTATTTGTATGACATTGATTTTTTTTATTATCTAGCTATTACTTTTAAATCATTATTTAATTTTTATTTCAATCTGTTGGTAGAGTCAAGTTACAACAATCCAACAAACACGCATCAAAAGTACTAAACACGTTATTATTTTTTAAATTTCTTTGAGTGTATTATATATATTTTTTCAGTTGAATCCCAACCACCGGATCAAATGTGGCGTTTGTCAGCGTACAGTTGAAGGGTGTCTATGGATAGAACATATTTGTAAAGAGCACTATTATCTTGCCTGGGAGGACGGTGAACCACCTCTGGTAATTACCTCTTGCTATGATCAACAAAATGCAAACTAACAATAAAATAAATAAAGCTTCAATATTTAAACAACGTCCTTAAACGGTTGTTTCTATAATTATGTATTATATCTTGCGGCTTTAGATATATGGTGCAGGCTTTTAGTAGTAATTAAACCTAGTAACTAGTACACGCCCGCGGCTCTGCTTGCGTGGTAGGTGTATTCTAGCCCACTTGTTAGGTCAAGAAAGAATGTAAGCGATTCTGCGAGGCCCCATTAAGATGGGTTTCGTTGGGTTTTAGTCAGTAGTACTGGCTTTTATAAGCGGTGAGTGTCCACCGCCAATATATGTATATATTAAATCTTAATTATATACCCAACGTAAAAAAAGGACAAGCTATATCTGTTTTACGCAACTCAGTTGAGTCGTTATTGCGTAAATTAGTAACAATTATACTCAAGTCATGAATGAATAAATGAATATGTTGGTACACTAACACACAGCACCATCTAGTCCATGGTAAGCTACGAAGCCTGTGTTATGGAGACCATATAGCTGATATACTACACATATAGACCTTATATACATACACATTATAAATATAAACACCCATGACTAGAGTACGAACATTTGTGCTTATCACACAAATGAATACCCCCAGCGGGACTCGAACCCGCGACCGCTGGCACAGCAAATATCAACAAAGGTCACTACAAACTGAGCCAAACGTGTTGTCTAAGAATGTCAACGTTAGTTCATAGTAAAACATTTTTTTTTAATTTCACAGGACCTAACCGATAGTGATAAAATTATGGCCTTCTTGAACATAACGAGCAAAGCGGTTGGAGGTTTAGAATGTACTAAATGCGGTCTTAAGCGAAAATTTGTCAAAACATACATAAGACATTTAAAGAAATGTGCTAATATTGTAAGTATCATTTATACAACTCCTTTTTATTTAAGCCAATTTTAACAAACGAATTATATTTAACTTTTAAAGAAAATATTTTGTGAGTCGAATTTTTTTGAAGTTAGATTTCTTTTGGCACGTATGAAAAAAATTATAAGAGTAAAATTTTTACGATGCGCGCGCACACCGACAGCCAAAAAGCGTCATGATGAAGTTAGCTGCATTCCTTTTACAAACAGAGAGTTGTGACATACGGGATGAAATCTTTACCTATTTTTGTTCCGTTACGCCAAAAAAGTATATAACTTTTTACGTGCGTACATAGGTACACACACACATTTTTCTTTTACAATTTTAATTATTTTGAGATCGTTTTCACTTTTGTTCTGATAGGTCATTGTTTAAGTTTAAATTAATAGTAAAAGTCATTAACTAGTATTTCGCATATTTTTAAGAAAATACTTCCATCTGATCAAGTGGAAGATGATGAGAAAGTTGTCGACAAAAGTGATGAGAATATTATTGAAGAGAGCCCTAAAAAACCTGTTATTAAAACGGATGACAGCGTTACTGAAGACAATGCTGATGATGTGACTCAGAAGACAGAACTCACTTCTGTTGTGTGCGGAGTGTGTCAAGCGGATGTAGAAACTGAGAAATGGATAGATCATATATGTATGGAACATAATTATGCTGCTTGGAAGGAGGGAGAAACAGCCATTGTAAGTAAATGTAAAGTAAAAATAACGATACATACAGACAAACATAGAACCTCCTCCTTTTTGGAAGTCGCTCAAACATATTTCAGATTTAATAATTTGAATATCGGTGTAAATAATGCATTAAATAAATGCATGCATATATCCGAATCATATGAAAATTAAATCAAGAGATGATTTTGGTTTAATTGGTGATTAAATGATTTTTTGATAATTTTTTTTGAGTAATATTGTTTTTGGATCATTTTTATGATAAAGTATGAGAATCAAATATTGTCATCATTTAAATTTTAAACAATTTTGATGGAGGCAAGTAAATTCGTTTAGATCCCAAGAACATACTCGTAGCATTAAAGTTTGTGTTTATTTATATTTATTATTTCATATTATTCTTATAACTAGCATTGCCCGCGGCTCCGCCCGCGTTCAGATGACCAAAAACTAAATTCTTAGGTGTTACATATTAGTATACTCTTACATTGCAGTTTTTGTATTTTTCCTCAGAAATAAGATATTTTCCCGCGGTAAAAAGTATCCTAGGATCGCGCGCTACATCGCCCGGTTTATATAGCTTGAGCAGGCGGTCGAGCGATGCGGGGCAGAGGGGATGGACTCGCCGTAGGCATCTCAATGCTCGCCAAGCATTAAAAATGTTTCGCTACTAATTACTTCTAACAACGATATCTCAAAAACTATTCATCTGATTGATTTAGTGTAAAGAGCAATTTTAATCTGCATTAAATGACTAAGCTAACTAAAATATTCATTTGGATAAGGATTAATACCGAACTAAAGAAAATAACTTTGAAAATAACGTAATGTTTTTAATTAAAAATGTTAACATAAAAGTGGTTATTGTAAGTCAACCGTAAGAGATAGAGATATGCTATCGCGGACTTTTTTGTAGCATTTTTATAGATTTTGAATTCTCTAGTACATTACTTAACTGTATCTTTGCTAGTTTACGCGGCGTTCGCGTGGAAAGTTCCCATTTGGCGAGATTTTTTGCGACCTCTTCAACATTTGTCGCCGTATTTCAGCTAATTTACATAAAAGCATAATAAATTATATACCTAAACCTTCCTCAAGAATTACTCTTTCTATTGTTGAAAACCGTATAAAAATCCGTTCAGTAGTTTTCGAGTTTATCGCGTACAGACAGACAGGAGGACAGACAGGAGGACAGAAAGACGCGGCCGGGGGACTTATTTTTATAATAAGTATAGATATCCTTGTAATGTTTAATGTATTTGATGAATATGTATTTTGTGCAGGATGTTAACGATATCAAGCAGTTGAGTGAGCACTTGTACGTACTTTCGAAGGCTCAGGACGGCCTCACTTGCGCCAAATGCGGGCTTCGACGGAGATACGTTAAATCTTTCTTAAATCACATCAAAACTTGTGACGGCACCACGGTAAGATTGAAATATTGAAAAAAAAATATAGTTTTCCATGACTTTTGTTTATTTTTAATTTATATATTAAAAGGATTTAATAATAATTATATTATAATAAATAAATTTTTAAATAACATTTTTTTTGGTATTTTTTTTCTCCTTATTTAATTTACCGTTGCTATTGAATACAATATACACTATAGAATCAACTAAACTAAAATTGTGCACAGGCGAAAGTATTGGGGTTTAGGAGGTTAGACAGGTTAATCTATAGTATAAAAACAATTTTAATTTGGCCAAGATTACTTGTTACATATAAACAATTATTTTTATAATATTATTATTTTATGAAGTAATAATAGTTTGAAACCATGAAAGATATAATAAGTTTTAAAACACCCATGAGATATTATTTAAAAAAAAACAGTCATAAATTTCATATTTCTAGCACGACTCGACACTAAATGAATTAAAAAAAGACGATATCACGATTGAATGTGGCGTGTGCCACCAACAGATGCAGGAAAAGCGTTGGTTCAACCACATCCAGCGAGAACATTCGTACTTGGCTTGGAAGGAGGGAGAAAACCCCATCGTAAGAACATATTGTTTAAAATTCATTTTATTACGTAATAAAATCATCAAAGAATAATAAATGGATAATATTCTTCAGAATTTATTCGTGATTGCCAATAAATTATTAGGACTTAATACTTTCTTAGATTTATGCGAATATTTGACATTTTAAATAAAACTATTTTTTCGGATTATTCGGGAGAGTCTCTCCCGTGACCATGATTGCTGTAAAGCATTCGAAACGTCGGGAACCAAAAATCAAAATAAATCTGCGAAATAATCCGAAAAGATAGTTTTATCAGGACCTGTATAATATATATATATATATATATATATAAACCAACTTCTAAAGCAGTATACTAAAGTTTTAATATTTTTTATAGGATTTCACTAATGATGAAAATGTTAATAACCATTTATACGCAATGAGTAAGAAATATGACGGGCTTATTTGTAATAAGTGTGGCCTTACAAGGAAGTATGTGAAAATGTTTCTGGCGCATATACAAAGTTGTGAATCAACAAGTTTCTTAGATTATTCCAACGCAGGAGATGGAGTAAACGATGACGGTAACCCACGAATTTTGTTTAAATACTTATTAATGTATTAGTATAAACTGTATTTTGCCATTTTTAATGTCCTACTGCTGGGCACGGGCCTCCCTTCAATACGAAGATCAGCCAAATCGAATTCAAAAATCGGGGCCAAATGCATCCATGACGGACTTCACATGTCTTTCGAAAATATACTGGGTTTTCTCAGATGTGTAGGTTTCATTTCTTCATCTCTATCATTCACGATGTTTTCCTTCACCGTAAGACAAGTGGTCATTATGTTAGAAATGATTCGCACATGAAAATATCAGACGTGCGAGATCCGGGATTTGAACCCGCTTTACTCCGTTTCTCAAGCGAGCGTGTTACCACTGGGCTACAACTGCCTTAGTATAAAATAAAGATTTTAAATATATTTGTAATAGAAAAGTATTCGGTCGTGAGAGATTGATTATATCAGACTTTTTCTATACTAGGTATGTGAAGAAAGTTAGAACTAAATCATTGTATTTATTCTGCAAGAGAATATGTATGAAGTAACTGCCTCGGTGGTGTAGTGCCTAGCATGTATGGCTGCACACCCGGAGGTCCTGGGTTCGAGTCCCGGATCGGGCCAAGTTTAATTATTGAGTCTTTCTGTATGGTAAGTCTCAGTAATAGCCCGGAGTTGGGAAGTTGGCGGTGTTTCACCCCCGTGCCTCGGAGAGCACGTAAAGCCGTCTGTCCTGCGCCTTAACTTTCACTGGTCGTGTCTCGTGTCGTTCCACTGGATTATGAGAGTGACAGGAATAGAGAGTGCACGTTGTGTCTGCGCTCTCCCTCACACGCGCTGCACTATAATATCTCCTGCGCAGTTGGCTAATCTCAATGAGATTGGCCGCCGTGGCCGGGATCGGTCAGTAGAATATCATCATGTATGAAGTCCTGTCATCAAACAATTTAAAGATGTTTAGGAATTATGATGTTTTTCAAATATAAATGATACACATTATATTTATTTTTTAGACACTTGTGAGTGTGGTGTTTGCGGAAAAGTTGTTGATAAAAAAGATTGGAAGTCGCACGCCATGAAGAAACATTACAATGTCGCGTGGGCTGTCGGCGACTACCCAATAGTGAGTAAAAATAATTATTTGAACACTCATTTTATAATGTTATACTCAGGAAATTTACTAGTACGAATAAAGTTTATATATTATGTCTATAGGTATTTTATGTGTAAATGACTTAGTTAAGTCCATTTGTACACAAAATATTTTTAATACAAACATAAAAAAAAACTATACTGTAACAACTATATATTGAATTTTAATAGACGTTTAAAACCTTAGTCGCTCGTGACGATGGCATTACGTGACCAGTGACATTCGAACAACACGGGCACCAATATAAAACCGCGTTAAAATGCGGAAAGATAGTTTCATTTAAAATGTTAAATATTCATTAATGTTGAATATTGACAACCATCAACTATCATTTAAAAAAATGTCTTATATTCCAGGATGTCAAAAATCCCAACGTGGTTGAGAAATATTTGAAGGAGTATAGAAATTTGCATAAAAAGTTGGTATGTTCGCTGTGCGGCCTCCTGCGCGCCTCCATCCTCGGCTTCTACGCGCACGTGCTGCAGTGCGGCAAGACGGAAGAGGTATGTGTATATATAAATTTTAAATTAAATTTGTGAATTTTTATTGTGGCGTTTTTATAGAAATTAAAATTAATATCCAATTCAGTTAACATTGCTAAATAAATGAAATAATCTAAGTAATATAGATATAATTATTTTTATATGTATATTAAAATATATAATAAATTTTTTTTTTAATATTATGTTACAAAATATAAAAAAATACATATTATTTTATTGTTTCAATACATATTAGTGTATTCAAACAAAGTGTTATTGAAATTATACCTTTTGTTTATTTTTCCTATATTTTTCCATTCCTTATTTTCTTATCTTTTCTTTTGCCAATGTCCGGTTTTTTGGGCCGTTAACGCTTTTAATTACTTATAAATTGTTATAAATAAAACAATCCCATATTTATAAAAATATTGTTTCAGGAAATAGATATGTTCAAGAACTACTGCGATATATGCAATAGTAAATATCTTTGTATCTATAAGAACCAGCATTTATCGATGCACAGGGAACAAGAGCTGAGCAAAGAACGCAAGCTTTCATTTGAATCAAAGAAACTCATTGTACCCAAAGAGGAGATAGAGCGCAGCGAAGGAAGGCAGGCTGCTAGAAAGTATGAACAGTATTCTTATACTATGTACATTACATTAATCATTGTCAACTTAGGTATTTATGAGATGAATATATTTAAGTATTTTTCCTTTATTTCATATAGAATATCAAATTAAAATGTATAATTAATTGACGTGTTACATATTATGTGCCTTATAAAAAATCTTAATGATTATATTTTTTCCTATAAAATATATTCTCTTATTGTTTCAGAGCTCTTAATGTCATAGAAAAATATAAATCGGTAAGTTATCTATATCTATAAAATAACTATATGAATTAGGTAAGTTAATTAGGTAATTATCCGGTCCTTATTGTATGCACTAGTGATTGTTTACTAAAAAGTATTTGCACAGTTTATGTTTATTAGCATTTTTGGAAAGTTCAATTATATTATACATACTAGCGACTCACCCTCGCTTCGCTCGGGTTTTTAATTTTTTTGAGCGGAACCCCAATTCGTTTTCTAAAATAAAAGTAGCCTATGTTACTCCCTATAACATCAGCTATCTACCAGTGAAATTCCCGTCAAAATCAGTCCAGCCGATTCAGAGATTATTCGGAACAAACAGACTGACAAAAATTTAAAAAATTGTGTTTTCCTTATAAGTACCGCATATAATTTCATATGCATTTATTAAAACACTGTTATTTTGGTATTACAAACAGACACTTGAATTTTATATATCCGTATAGATTATTTTTCTTTTCTGTCCATATAACAATATTGACTTGGTTTGGTAAACTATATACATATAAATAAAATTAATATTTTATTTTTATTACAGTACGAGTATAACTGCGATGTGTGCGGTTACGGGGCTGATGATGAGAGAGAATTGGAGGAGCATAACTGTGGCAAATTGTATAGGGATACGAGCGATTCGGAGGTTTCGGTGAAGCTCGAGGACAGCTCCAGTGACGACACGGAGGAGAGCGGCGTCGATAGATATATATCCGACGACGTGGAAATAAAGAGGGAAAGGAAGAAAAGGAGCAATGACACTTGTAAGTAGTCATTATTATTATTACTAGAGTTAGCAGAGTGGTCGAACTTTGACCATGATTATTGATATATTATTGATTATTGATATAGTATTGATTATTGATATATTATGATTATATTATTGATTTTTTTTTATTTATACAACTAAAGTTCGTCAATAGCTATCTATTAAACTAAAACAAAAAATAAACAGATCAGTTCACAAACAAAATGTTTATTAATTTAATGTACTTTTAATGTATTTTATATATAAAGATTTCTACATAATACTTTCTTAGATTTACGCGAATATTTGACATTTTAAATAAAACTATCTTTTCGGATTTTTTCGCGGATTTTTTTGGATTTTTGGTTCCCGACGTTTCGAATGCTTAACAGCAATCACGGAAGAGACTGAGGTGTTAGAAGCCTCAAAGGTATTATATAGTTGTTACAGACAGTCTACCCACAAATAACAAAATGAATTCAAAAAAATGAAAAAATGGCACTAAAAATACCTTACAATATTTTTAAATTTAAAACATTTTTATAATTTTAATTAGTGTTATAATTGAATATGGAATATTTAATTATAAAACATATTAATGTTATTTTTCTTACAGTTTCAGCTGCGTCGAAAATAAAACGAATACCCTTTGATGTAAGAAATCCAAAACTTTATTTGCAGCAGGCTGGACATGAATAGTGAGTGTTTTTGAATAATTATAATAAACTATGCTCATGCCGATTTTTTTACTTGGCCTAAGAGATGTAGAGTAAGTTGAATAGCAGTAATTGAAGAGATTTTAAAGTAAAAAAATATTATAATATGTATGTTATGAATGAATTTAAAAGTATACATTTTGACGACACGTTTGGCTCAGTGTGTAGTGACCCTCCTTGCTGTGCCAGCGGTCGCGGGTCCGAGTCCCGCTGGGGGCATTCATTGTGTGATAAGCACGAATGTTTGTACTCCAGTCATGGGTGTTTACCGTGAAACAAGATGGTGCTGTGTGTTAATGTCCCAACATATTTATTTATTTATTATTTATACATAAGTTATCACCAATCATGGCAGGTATCCATTTTAGTTTTGTCGTAGGAAATTATAACCGTACAGTAGTAGGGTTGAAAATGAACAAGTTTAGATAATTAAATATAGGGTAAATGTTAATGAAAACCTTTAAAGTTCCAATGTTACTGATAATTTTTTTTTAATTCCCCAGAAGAGCTTATGAGCTTTTTGAAACCCATATCTTAGATTAAATTATTTTACTGCCGATTTAAATATCGGCAATTAAATTTGGAATAAATATTTTATTTTAAATATATGTTTATGCGGTAATGATCAAAAATCTAATATTTATTTTTCAGCGTTAAAGCATATCTTAGTAACGATCTGCTTTACCAACAATGGCGAGAATGTAAATACGAGGCGATACCAGAAGAACAAATATCAAAATATATGCCACCAATAGAAGAGTCTTGTAAATTAAAATTATGCAAAGGCGATTGGACTGTTTTTAAAAAGTTTGAAGCTAAAAAAGATAGTGGTAATTATATAAGATATTTATTTATATTAATTATTGAAAATAACACATTGTACTAAGTATGTACTGTACTCAACTTTACATATAATACATAGGGTTGCTACACCATTTAGAAGATACATAGTACTGGTTTTCAGCCGGTGAGTCTCCACAACACCACAATACAGGTGATGTGCGTGATTTGATTTCGATTAGTTCTATTGAAACATTGCCAGCGTAAGCACGTCCACTATGCCGCAATATGTGTTTAAAAGTTGCAAAAATAATGCGCGAAGAAGGAATTTTTCAGACAGAGCGTCTTATTTTCGGTAATTACATGTAGATTAAGTCAATATTTTAAGATTTAATCTACGAAATAATATAAAAATGAACAGAAATTGACAGAATTTAGCTTTGATTTTGTATGTGACACGTTATATAGTAGTATCGTTTATCGAAGATTTTTATTTAATACTTTAAATAAGAAACAAATTGTTACCAGCGGGCTACACTATATTCGTGGGCAGCTCTATCCAGTGCATCGCGTGGGCGGGCGCGGGCGCGGGCGCGGGCGCGGGCCGCCAGCTGCTGGCGGTGGCGGCGCACAACGCCGCGGACACGCCGCGGCTGGGCGCCGGCGCGCACGCCCGCGCCAACATGCTGCAGATATGGGACTTCGCTGCCTTGGACAGGTGACTCGTTGACAGTTGTGTTATGTTTTTATTTGGGTAACAAACGGTATCATTTTTTAAACAATTATTTCAGAAAAGTCTTAATCGGTTTAAAGTATATTTTATAAATCTGAATGATAGAAATGATATTCCAATTCATTCCAACAAAAAGTTATGGGAGAACGATCAATTTTGTTATTATTGATTATTTTTTACAGATCTACACCAAAGTTTGCACTTGGAATAGCTCATGATTATGGCATGGTGTGGGGGATGGATTGGTGCCCGTCTGGGACGAGGGATGATTTAAATGAAAATCAAACAACGTTTGCGAGACTGGGTCTTTTAGCTATAGCCTGTTCCGATGGACACGCGTACATATTATGCGTCCCATATCCTTCCACGATAACAGACGGGTAATTAAATGTTTATGTTATTTAACTAGGCATCAGTGTAAATGTGTATGTGTGACTCGAACTTTATATTGGTCGCCGGTTCAATTCTTACGTGGGTAGAATATTTGTATAGGTCATATGTTTGTTATTTTTTACTTTTATATATTGAAGGCACTTTTTATAATAATTTGATGGGAAATAAATAGGGGAAATATCACTAGTCGTTTCTCTCCTTTACAGAAACATACAATGCCATATTATTGTTCCTCTTCTTGCTTTATTTTACGCTCGCTTAAAAGTAACTAGCGATATATTATAAAACTCAATGGTGCGTTTTGTTAAGTGTGATTAAGACCAACATAATTACATACGGGAATTGAACCTGTAAACTGCGGCATAATAAACATAAACCTACCACAGACAATTTTCGTATGTAATGCAATAACATCGTTACTATTTTCACAGTGATAGAAAAGTATACAAGTTACAGCCAGTTGCAGAATTAAGATTATGCAGAACGGATCGGGAGAAGTTTCAGGCTACTTCTATAAGTTGGTCCTCTGTGAGTACTAACTTGTAATAGATACAATGTTTTAATTATTATGATTATGAATTAGCTAAGCCGAAGTTCCAATTTTGTCTGAATTTCAATTTTGTTTAAGTTTTTAGATTTCATACGAAAGTCCTATCTAAAAAGGCAGTTTTACCAGAATTTTCCAGTTTTCTAAAAATGATGACTCCTATGATGTTAGAGAAAGTCAGGTTTGTTACAACACTTGAGGTCTGCTGGACCGATTTTTATGATTTTTGTTTTGTTGGATTTGTCCTCTCCCCGAATAGCAGAATAACTATTAAAACATAGAAATGAAATTACGAAAAAAAAAGAAACAAAAAATCTATTCCATACTAAGCATTAAAACGTACCTAGGGACGAACCTGATAACCTGAGTGTGAGTCGCTAGTTTAAAATAAAAGCCGAATAGTTCCTGCCGTTCTCAAGTCTCGTGTTTACCAATATCGACGAAGTAAATGTTTAATTAACACGCCTAAAAGCCATTGAATGAACATTAAATTTAATACTGTAAATGTTTTGTTTATACATGGATATAATTCAAATATTCTGATTCTTTTTATTTTACAGGAAACAGACCATGCGAGTGTCTTGGTGGGATATTCTGATGGCACTCTAGCACTATATGATCTGCAATCTGAGTCACCTATTCTGGTACACAAAATTAAGGAAGTTAGCATATTCTATCCATATTATGAAGAAAGACCGCATAATACGTGTGTAACAGGTAAGATGCTTATTTTTAAGTCTTTAAGATTTCATGGTCACATGGTTTTTATGATGTAAAACGGGATAATTATTATGTTTTTCACATATTTATAAGAGTTCCTGATATTTGGGCAATTTTACAAGTGACATGGTCATGGGTATACTAGTTTTGCTGGTGGATGTTGAAATTGTTTCTACGTGAAAAATATTCCAAACAAGTTAGGAGGCATTTTTAAGAAAATGTTGCAAATGGTCACCAAATTTGAAGCGCTAAGAATTGACTTTATTTTTGATGGTGTGTAATAAATGCTATGCTAGCAGTCTTATAAATCATCTAATTATTACCCAAGTATTATATATAAAAATCAGCTTTTATACTATAACGTAAGTAGAATTATGATTTCATGAAAAGGGGGTCTGTCTGGCAAAGGTTTTCCACGATGTTAAGTATCTGGCATTGAATGACGTGATTTTTAATAATATTCTGAAGGTCATAACAAAAAATCACACTTTATTATTTGACAAATTTAGGTCGGTATTTTACACACCTTTAGTACAGTGTACCTGCCAAAGCCACCATAGACTGAACTTCATGATGGTCCATCGTTCTTATCCGTGTTGGGAGCACGCGCTGACAAACAATCAGCTTTTATAAAATGACGAAGGTCTGGCGTTCACAGGCTCTTAGGCCATCACCCCTCAAGTCAAGCGTGCGTAAAGAAGTTTTACTTCAAAAAATATTAGGCAGTATAAAATTTGAAAGGGCTCCTCCACAGGCGTGGCAACGTTCCCGCTGAAGTACAGCGCGCGCTCGCTGCTGAGCAGCGCGTCGCCCACGGGCGCGGAGTGCGCGCGGCGCGGCGGCGGCGCGCGCCTGCGCAGCGCGCTCGCCTGCTCCGCCGCGCGCCACGCGCCGCACTGGCCCTCCGTGCTGCTCGCCGAGAACGATAGCATCGGTCGGTATTTGCATACTGCTTATGTTATAAGGGATATTCAATGTTTCAAAGCGATAATTGTAATCGTTTTGCTTTTTCATACCGGTTAATTTATATGATCGTGTTGTTATATGATCTATATATTGATGGACTGGAGGACATCGTTAGTCACAATATAAAACTCATGTAATTTTCATTAATGTTTCTATATAAAACTAAGTGTGTCATATTTTTAGCGTTCGTAGTAGTCATACTAAAGCAGCTGTAGTGGACGAAATTGCTGAATGCAAACTCAGATACGAAAATGTTCTTCTTATACTTCACAAAAACACCAATAATAATTATCATAATGTTAGAAATTATTATAGGAATAAAAATTTTTAAACATTAATATAGTAGTTAAAAAAATTATTCCTTCTATGGTCTGTGAAAATATATTATGTGAGCTTAATCTCATAGGTTTAAATAAAACTTATCAGTCTATATAATTCCGTAGCATCAATATATTGGATATGTGTAAATGTTTGACAGATTTTTATTACATCAAATTATTTGTTAAAATTTCATATTTAACGTTATTTATTTAACGATATTTAAAAATTGCGGTCCCGTACAATTGACATTTAACTACACATCTAACTTTAATGAAGCCGAAGAGATGTATTTTATCTGTATAAATATGTATAATCTTCATAAAGCTTTGTTTTTAAATAGAGGAAAAAAAATCTACTTTAACATACAATAAGTATTGGTTCTTTGAACAAATAAACACTAAGTCTAAATACATCCAAGATATAAATACAAAGTAGGTTATTCACAAATGAAGCTATCAAAAGCATGGTATAACTATCAACCAGTGAACCAAGCGGTGAACGAGCTGGACTGGTGGTGCTTGGGGCGACGGCTGGGCGCCGTGCACAGCTGCGGCGGCTGCGCGCACTGCGGCCGCCTCGCCGCCTACGCGCCGCCCGCGCTCCGCCTTATGACGCCGCACCCCGTCTACTGCGACCTCAATAAGGAGGTAAACGAGCACCTTATCACGTCTATACGTTTCATTTATTTTCATATATCTCAGTGAATCTTACGGTTTCAATCTTAATTGAAAAAAGTATATTATTAAGTTTTTACATATTGATATATATAATTATAGCCTATGTGTTACTCTGAAGTATAAGTCATATTATTGTAACATTTCATCAAAATCTGTTCAATAGTTTTTTTTGTAAAAGAGTAACAAATGTACATTTATATTTTATACATTCTCACAAACTTTAATTTTTTTAATATTTTAGTGACATATACACAATATTAACCAAAATTCTTATCCAAATATCATAATTAATGCAACCAGTTAAAGACAACTATTCCTGAATACAAAAATGTACTTTATTCTGTATTCAGGAATATTTTTCAGATTTGAACTTAGAATTTAGTTGTAGAAAATACACTGTGGAACTACAACTCGGATCCCCATTTTTTTTACTAATACCTGGAATCTATATTATTCCCGAATTTGTGATAGAGACATTTTTTTTATTTCGCCAATTATTTCCTTGCTTTAGTATTGCAAAAGTTAATAAAGTGTAAAGTGAATAACTAGGGCCTAAAAAAAAGTATGGATAATTAATTTATATAATTTCATCTAATATTTTATAAAAATACTTTTTTTTAGACGGTAGCTATTATCCACATGGTGCCGCTCTCTCGAAAGCGGTCGAAGCAAAAGAACGACGATTTCGGCGTGAAGCTCGAGCCGCTTACATATAAAGACGCTGTCAAGTCATATGGTATTGAAGTTAGGTTTGCGAAGGAACTTGATAAGGTGAATATAATATAATTTTTATTTAAACGAATCCAATAATAACATGATTTTATTAAATCTTTTTAAACAAATAAATTTTTCGGAAAAGAAATAAAATAAATAATAGAAAGATAGAAAAGCATCTGAGATTAAAAATGTATATTTCATATTAATAAAGTATATTTTTTTTAAATTAAAACAAAAAATATACTTACAGTAAAATAATTAGAATGCTTATTAAACAAATATTGTTCTCAACAGAAACAAATACAAAATCTAAGTAATAAAGAGCAATGTCCAGAAAGATTCCCGCTGGCCGACATCCCCTCTATGGCCTTCAACCCGTCTGCAAAGCATCACAAGCAGTTGGCATTAGCCACGCACTCCGGCTTTGTCTTCGTTATAAACGTATGAAATAAACCTTATATTTTAAATGTATCAAATAGATTAATTGCCTTTAAATCATATTTATGTACCAGTTTTATTTAGAAGGTACAACGTAAATCGTTTGCAATTATATTATATATAATGTTATTATTTATATGTTATTTTGAATGTTATTAACGTGGAAGTTAAGGCTGCTTTTAAGTTGTTTATGAAATATAAAAAATTGATGTAAATTACTTATCACTTTCCTGCGAATGAAACAACGCTTTTATATTATATGTGTATATTTTCTTCGAGTTAGGGCTGTTATTGTTTTTAACAGTTATATTCTATGGAATTTGAAATCGGATACATATTTTTGTTAAACTGCGTGACTAATTTTACTTATTTTTAAAATTAAGTGTAATTTGAAATGTCAGATTAAAGAATTATATAGATGGAGTCCTCCAAAAAATTATCAAAGTCAAAAATAGTAGCATGATTACTGCTGCATACAATTTGTTTACTGCTGCTATGAAATGAAAATATGAATAATAAAATTAAAAGTATATTATTTAGATTTTTTTTAAGTATTAGCTCTCTTTCCCTTGAAAAAGAGCATAGTTTTGGCTTATTATTTCTTCATTATAATAAACTCCGTTAGGTATTTTTATTTTTTAACATTTATTTACTTATCAGAGTAATAAATATTTTATTAGTATTCTGTTTTAAAACATTACGTATTACTTTAAATCATTATTGTTTGACATCATATTTACTTCTATGACACTGTCTATATTTTTCTTTAGTCTGAGTTTAAAATATGTGATGTGTGTAAATATTTTTTAAAGTTTAAAATATTATTACTCCATAGAGCTTCAAAGTTTCCATTCATAACAGTCCCATTTCAGTTCTATAACTATCTTGATATAGTGATAATAGTTTTAATATTTTATTAATTTTATTATTTTCTATTTTAAATATATATCAATAACTTCACATTTCTCAGAATCCATTATTCTTTTTATAAAAGATTGGCATTATACTATACGTATATTATGCTGAATATGTGTCAGTGGAACTGAAAATTCTTCTTAGTTATGTTCGTCATAGTACTTAGTTTTAGTTCATATTATAAGCTTTGTTGAAGTGACTGATAATGTATTTCTTTTATTTTATAAACTGCAATACTTTGAAAGATAAATACTAAAAGGGTTACGACATCAATTTTGATTATATTATCTGTATATATCTGTATAAATTCATTTAGAGTATGTAGATTTGTACATACTGATGAGTATTTATCTCAACAATACTAACCATAATTCTGTAGCTAGATGCTAAAGGACCAATTTGACATAAATAATAATAAAAAAATATATTCTTGAAACTCTTTTGGCACAATGTTACAGAATTAACAGGGTTACGTAAAATGAAACTTTCATAAGCGAAAAACACCCTCACAAAAAAGGCGGAGATATTGGTTGTCCACATTATTTCTGCGTAATGAAATTTTTTAAAGCAATATTTTTACAATAGATCTTTATGTGTGAATGTGTGATCTAACTGGGTATAAAACGAAGAGCTTTAGGCTATTTTAAACACTGTATTAGGCTGTTGTTAAAATTTAAAAAAAAAACATTAAGGCCTTATCTTCTCCTTTTTTTGAAAGTCGATTAGTAAAAGAAAAAATGTACCTATTTCTAATTTCTAAGTACACCAAATCCAATTAGGGATTTAATTTTATGTTTTTAGGTACAATTCGGTTTCGTTTACAATTTGGTTGTACCAATATTCACAAATTACTATGTAATGTATTCAAATATTCTTGTACATACTGATGTATATAAACAATGTGAGTAGAAAACTCGTCTTCACATTTACTTCCTGTAAATATTTCAATTTGGAGTGAAAACGTCACGAATTGTCTTAATTTTTTCGATTATATTAAATTGTCAAAAGAAAAGTACAATCCAATGTGATTTTTATTTTGCAACTATCAAACTTTAATGTAAATGATAAATTTAAAATGTGAATTTCCAACTTTATTTTTTTAATTTACATTTTATTTTAGTAGTTAGCAGCAGTAAAGTTAACAAAATAGTCATAGTTAGAGGGTTTTACGATTGAAGTGATTTCCATTTTATTTTATTGTTTAATTTTTTTCCCCACCTGACTGATTTATCTTGTTTCAAATGATGCTGACCCATGTTCTTAACCTTTATCTTTACTTTGATAAACTTGTTTGTGACTGATATAAATCTGATATATTATCTCAGAACCGTATTAATATTTTTGCAGAAATTGAGATTTTGATATCTCTATCTCTTCAATTTACTTATAATTCTCATACTAGTTATTTCTGGCTCTCTACGCCATGCGTTCATTTTTAGCTATTTTACCTCTGCAGTAAGATCACCATGTATTTATTGCAGTTTGTCTCACCTACTAATATTATAAAGCATAATCTAGAATGAAAGAAATGGCCAAACAGTATGTAATAAAAATACTGTAAACTAAAACAAGATTCTTTTAATTGTGTCGATGAATAAATTCATGATTTTAAAATCGTTAAATTATGTGCGTAATATGAAAATTTATCAATAAATAATAATTAATTAATCACCGGAAATTCTCTGTTTATTTTTATTTATTATAACAGGAAAACGAAACTTAAATCAATGAAATGTATTAATTACGTCATAGACCTACACGAAAAGTCAAGAGTGTCTTTGTTATCATTAAATAGGTATGTTATGAAGGATCCATACACGCTTGATTTCCTAATACAAACTGCTTAATTAATTAAACACGATGGCTTTCCAGTGCTTCAAACTTTGCCTTGTTCAGTCAATTAAAAAAAAAAAGAAAATGACTGCCTTGCAATTTTGTTCTCTTCAATTAAGTGAGAGTAACCCTATATCAGCCGGTCTAAAAGAAAAACATTTATCGGAATTTATATATTTTTTTAAACTCTTGTCGATTAATACAAGCATTTCGATCGCTTTTATGCTTATGTCAAAAAAATGATAGATTTCAACGATACTAGAAAGACGTTGGCTTAAATTGAGACCATCTTGACGCAGTGTATTGTGGCGCGAATTATTTTACCGCATGAGATGAGTATTCGTACTAGCCGTACGGATATTTTTCTTTGTCCAAAGCACTAGCTGTAAATAAAAAAAATATATATAAATAATATCTGTCTGTTTGTCTGTCCGATACGAATACGAATAAATCAAAAAAGATCTAACAACTGTTCGAAGTATCTATTATGTAGATTTTTTACTGATAGTGGATGTAACAAAGATTATGAGTGACATGCATTTAGTTTATCTACATGATATACTCGTAGTAATGTGGTTTTTACACTTTATACACTTTATATATACCTAGAAGTTCAACAATAGTTGTAACTAAGAAATGTACTTTAGTTAATATCTATTATAATAATAAGTATAAACAACTTGTAAAGCCGTAGCTCTAAAATATTAAATGTATATACGTTTATGAATGTACATCCTCTCCATAGTAACTGTGTTTTAACTTTTAACAAATCTTTACAAATTTTCATTCTCAAAAGAAAAATAAGTTTAAGCATAACATTCAACTGTATAAATTTATTTCGATTAAGGTTACTTTTAGTTATCTATTTATTTCTAGATGTAACATAGAACCACATATATCGGATTTCAGTGATATTAATATATTATTCATCGTTTTGTAAGTAAATAGGAATTACATGTTATGCTTGTTGCCTAATAAAGTTTTTAAATTAAATTAATTTTTAGTTTCCTTTTATACTTATATTATTGAACCTATCTCTATTTTTTGTAATTATTTAAAGGTATCTATGTTGTATAAATGTGTGTATCTATAAGTATGTATGATACTTCGTTTTTAATAATAAAATCAATCTTGATTTATTTGTGTATATTGAAATGTTATTTTGAAAACCATGAGCATGTTAATTTATAATTTGTTTGCTATATAATAATGTTTCGTAGATACCGAAAATCCGACAGTAAATGAAAATACTGCATTGGCCTAAAAATAATATTTCTGACAAGACTTTGTTTTGGGACAAGAGTTTCGCACGTTACTACTACATTTGATACTGATCTCCGCCAGTGAGAATCAAACCGCGTTGACGAGTGAACGTGTATCAAATAAATACTACCTCGATCGCGCGTTCGCATTCTACGAAAATAATAAAATTTAAATCAATTATTGTAAATAAATTTTGTATAAATTTGTGTAAACTATTCTATTTTATATAAAAATCGTGAGATTTATTTTAATTTTGAATTGACATTATGATAAAGTTCTTAAATTTTTATTAATTTTGATTCATTTTTGTAACGTCCGAATTTATTTAAAATGATGATGGCCAGTGCAAAAATGATAAGAGACTGTAGCTCAGAGCTCAGCTCTGATGTTAGATCACTCTCCGTGGCTTCTTCTACCGAGGAACAGGACTCTACCACCACTGACTCCGAGTACTCCGAAGAGGAGAAAGAGTACGAGTTAGAAGATCTTCAAATTCTTAAAACTATAGGTAAGTTTCTTTATACAAAAAATTACCAATTAAAGGTACATGTAAATTTATTTTTGTTTACAATATGAAAATGCGCAAAATGGTTCACACTGACTCTACGTTCACTTATATTGGAGTAGTAATTGTGCAGTTATCTATTATATGTATATTAATTTTGTCTTTTTAGCTAAAGTTGCAAATTAAATGAAAAACATTACCTTAATTACACTTGGAATTTTGTGTAATTTTTGCATTTTTCTCTATATTAAAAGTTCACCTACCTATATTCAAAACACCGTAATTTTCCAGCCATTACTTAAAATTTATTTGGTAAGCTAATTATTTTGGGAAGTTATATTACATACGTACACACGTGAAGTGGACTTTTACTTGCATTCGTCATAAAATTGAATTACACGAATGTTAATGTAAAATAATACGTCGTTGAAATCATTAATGTTTATGACCCTTTCGCTATCGTTGAAAGTTCTTCGCACCTATCTGCTACTTGACAGTGATTGATTGAAAATTAAATATTCAAGAATAAAGAAAACTATCGCTATTTTCTATTCATGACAATAATTTATAAACCAATAACCAATATTTTAGAAATCAGGTTTTTTGTACATACTTGCATTTAACAGTTGTTTATACAACAATGTTTGTTCAACAGCTCTATCTATCCATAACTCCTATGTAAGTGGTTTGAGAGATAAAATAATATCTAGTCCTTGATCTAAATATGTCATCGCAAAACGTTGCACAGCGAAAGGTGTACGTAGCCCCCTTTGACCTAATTTTACTAGGGAGGCAAGAGCCAAGGCCACTCTAACTAAAGTATGTCTTTCCAGGACAAATGCTCATGTAATAGCTTTGAATAATAGGCGTAATTTTAAAAACCATACGTGTAAATAATAATAAAGTATAAAATACTATATATAACTCGTAATACCCTCACGTTTTTAATATCTATAGGTAGAGCTTTATAAATTGATATCGTATTAATATAAAGAAATATTAGTAAAACCGAAGTAGTACCTATTAGTACTACATCGATTATAGCTTATTTCCGGCGGTGTGACACTATTTATGCGCTTAATTTCACAACATACTGTTAAAAGGTAAGACTTGGAAACGAGAAAACCAAACATTCTTCTTTCTATTTATTTAAACATTAAATAATTATAAGCTTGTAGAAACAATCCTTTATATTTAGAAGTTCGCTGTGGCAACCGAGGTCAAAGTCTTAAATAAGATTCGAAATATTATAAATGGCTTTATGGAGTAGGCGACTACATAGTAGGCGATGGTTCGCATAAATAAAATATGATGAGTGAAACATTTTATTTATTTAATTTTTACTTATGATTCAACATCAAGGATAGTGCGAACTTCCAGTAAAAAGTAAACTACACGAGTCAGGTCAAGACTCAAGACATGCCCCAGTTGTAGTTTCTGTTATGTAATGAACGTTGCTACAAGTTGCTTTTAATGTTATGTATACATGTAAATTAATGAAATTAACTTATAGAGAAAGTTTAATAAATTTTAATTATTAGTACCAACATTTCTATATTTTATTATTTTTTCTTTAAATGTTAAGTTCAATAACCTTATACATATTTCTTTTATTCTCTGTAAAATTTACCTCCCACTTACAAGATGTTTCCTGCTTTGAAAAATCAATACTTTGCAATGGCGTAGAAAGTAGAGTATCTACAATTCAGTTTAATTCTCTTACTCATTTTGAAATAATATAAAAATTATATAAATATTAGTTATTATTTATTAATAAGTATTTATTCGTGTTTATTTATTTTTTTGTGCTACAAAGGATTAAAACTGATCGAAGTAGCAAGGGCCGATCTCAGCACCACACCCATCTGCTGAATAATAAGCATTTAAATCTGTTTGTTATTGAAAACATAGCCATAAGAAACGAAAAAGTAAAATATAACACCTACATATTATATAAACAATTATTTTTATGGGAATTTGATGACTATGATAAGAATCGTGAAAGTTCAAATTATATTCATAACCAGCATTGCCAGCGGCTCCGCCCGCGTTTACATGACTAAAAACCAAATCCTTAGGTTTTACATATTAGTATACTCTTACATTGAAGTTTTTGTATTTTTTCTCAAAAATGAGATATTTTCCTATATGCTGACCCGGATAATCAGCTATCACCATACCAAATTTTATCAAAATCCCTCCAGTGGTTTTTCTGTGATGCGGTAACCGACAGACAGACAGACAAAAATTCTGAAAACTATAGATTCGGCTTCTATATCGATAATAATGTTTATTTCAATAAGTTTTTTTCAAAAAATATCTAATTTACAAATTCGGCTTAGCTACTATTTTATTATATGTATTGATTAATGTTGTAGCACATGTATGTATTTAAATGCAAATAATGATTGTTAAATCTTACACGAAGAGCTTATTAGATGATGTTTAAACGTAGGCAGAAGCGTTTGTGCCAGTGAAACAGAGCACAAAACGTCTCGCAGTTAAATGTATCTGGTTTACCTATTATCCCCTCAGCGTCCCAGTTTAAACTGTAACGACTGCATCACGATTTTACTTCAGCAACTTCAAACGCGTCCACGATGGAGGCGTCTATAATTTTTAACAATAAAGCCCTCTCGTCTAAGTATTTATGTTGTGTTGGGTATTTGTCAAATAATTATAATAAATATTGTTATTATTACCTGACTAAGATAAACATATAAATGGAACTGTCGGCAGAATGCTTTGCTTCATGACTTGCATTACACAAATTGGATATAACTTATTAATTTTATGAAGAGTCATACTATGTAGTGTGCATGTTGATATTGTCACGCGTGATTTGCGGGAGAATGTGGGTCAGCGTATCATGCAAACTTGAAGAACAGAAAGTAACTCGCGTTTGCTCTTTTGGTGGCATTATCTTGTTGAATTAATTGTTTCTTTTAAGTTGCCGCAGTTTATACTATTCTTTATTGCACATATATGTAAAATACAGAGAGAAACAAACAATAAAATTAGTTAGCAAAGGTGGACTTATCTCTAGAAGAGATCTCTTCCAGTCAACCTAAGTGAGTTAGAGATAGTATTAAAAAGCAGACTAAAGCAGTTACTCAAATATAAATACTTAAATAAATATATATTATAAATACATATAAAAAATAAAATTACATATAATAAAGTTTAATTGATAAATAAATATGATTGGCTAATTTACACTATCTTTATGCTAATGGAATAATTGCCAAGTGATATAGTCTCTTCTCCTGTATTAAGCTCGTAATAGCCTTTAATTTTAGCACGTATAAACGTTAGCGTTATAAAATTAATGTCGCTTTTTGATATGTGCCCATAATTATTTTGCTCCATAAAACTTGACATTAACACGACATACCTGAGCCACGTGCATTTGTGACCGCTTGTGTTGCGGTTGGAAATATAACCACACGTGATTCTAGCATAAGAATAAATGGTATTAACTGACGTTACTATGGTAACGTGGACTTTGTATGTAAAAAGATTTAAAAAAATTCGATAGTAACCTAAAATTTAAGTATTTAAACGAACAATTCTTGTATAATATAAATATATATATAATCTGAATCTCGGAAACGGCTCCAACGATTTTCGTGGCATTCAGTATCCAGGGGGTTTCGGGGACGATAAATCGATCTAGATTAGTCTTATGTCTGGGAAAACGAGTGTTTTCGAGTTTTCATGCAGTTTTCTTTTCCATTATTCCACGCAAAATATGGTCGCTAATTTGCACGCTCTGGAGTAAGCATCGTGGTCAAGCAGCCAAGGCGCAAGAACAACAATCACAGGTGTCCAGGTTCCAATCTTGTTCGCATACAAAGTTTTTACTTTTGTTTTTTTTTAAATATTTATTCGAGTTTTTAGTTAAAAAAAAGAAAATTGTACTTTAGGCCAAAAACTCCCAGGTACTTGTATTTAAACCGCGATATGATCTAAATAAAACTATTTATGCGGTATGTTATACGATACACGTGGAATATAATAAAGTTACAGATTCCTATCATAATTCACACAGATTACTAGAACAAGGTTTGTCGGATTAAGAAAGGAAAGTGAGTAAAACAATGCGACCAGACGTGCTTCCACACGGAACATCTTATATTTCGGATGTGTGAATTTGCCTCTTGTGATGGTGTCACGTATTCGTCGTTATAAAAACTTAAAGTAAATCATCATCAAATAAAAGGCTTAATCTTTACTAAAATCCATTTAACAGACGTTCTGTACCTAATATTAAAAAATAATAAGTAAAAAGAAAAAGTAGGCTAAATATGATTATAGTATTCGTACTATCGGTAATTTTGTCGCTTAGAAACTAGTTCAGCGTCCATTACTCAAACAATGCAATTCGTTAATACAGGTTACTGGTTTAGTCGTAATATTGACCGCGCAACCATTTGCAGTGTACTGCAGGGCGGCACACACATAATATCTGACTGCGATATCTGCTGTACATTATAATTAATAATGTATGCCTTTAATTTAGGGCAATATACAAGAAAAAGAAATTGGTTAACGTTATTTTAGTAATTAAGTTTGTGTATGTACTCTAGTTGGTAATCCTTATTCAATAAATAAAATAAAAAATAAATTACGTAAATAGTAAATACAACTAATCCATATTATCGATTATATTATAATATATTTATTGTAATAATCAGCGGCTATTACATTATAAAAATACTCTTTAATAAACTAAAACTAAAAAAATATGTTATAGATCGTTTTGATCTTACTGCAAAACAAAATTGAAAATATCACAAGATTATTCACTGGGGATAAAATCTCATCTCAATCTCATATCAATCGCACCTAAAGTAAGACTTTCTAAAATCTTAGCCAAAACTTACTTTTTACACCAAGTTAATACAATGTGAATAATGTTGTTACGAGATTTACATGCGGTAAAAAGCCAATAATAATAAATTTAAGACCAGGTAAATAACAATAATTTAACATTACTATAT